TAGTCGTTTTGTCTGATAGCTAGTCAAACGGGTGGGAGTTTTTGGTGGTTAGGCACCCAAAAGGTGGGGTACCTGTAGATGTAGGAGGGAAGCTTGTGGGGGGACTGGTTAGATAGTAGTTTAATACCTAGTGCGAATATTCAACTTACATCACAGACAGTAAACTATTAGTTCTTGTTAGTATCTTCACAATAACTAATATATATACAAGATATGCAGAAATCTTTCTACTTACGCAGTCGCAGTCTGCAGGAGTCAAAGCTGCGGTAAAGGTCACGCCCATGAGGACGGTGAGGAGAACACGGATCTGCATGTTTATGGTAGCGTTTTAGGTATTGGAGCCTCAATGATTTGTTTGATGAGATGAGCTGTGAAGAAATTTACATTTGCAGACAGTGCCGAGTCTTTTATAAATCTCAAGATAATTTCTAAGTGGACCTACCGGAGTTTTCTGATCACCGCCGGAAAGATTATCTACCCGAACCAAGTTTGTTGAAGAAAGAGAAAGCAAACGGCATTATGTTTTATTGTTGATCATCATTGGTCAATAACATCAACAGGCACGGATGCATGATGAGCATTTACTGGGGTCGTTATATAATCATTGGATAAGTCATAAATACTACATGTGGATAAAGACGTTCTACAAGTAATTAAATTGTCAAGTTACAGGCTAAAGTATGTTAGAAGGGGTAATGATTATCCTTTAAACTGAGATGCATCTCCGGTCCCTGTCATGTGCCCTGGGTCACACTTGTAGACTCAAGACATCCGGCATTATGACTGGGACATTCTTTATAAAATCATTAAATGGTTTTTGGTCTTAATTTATCCTGGAAATGATCTCGTCGCATCAATGTTTTATTGTACGGAAGGCTCAAAGTAATTGAGGCTCCTCATGAATCGTTGAGCCTTCGATGAGATCAGCCGTTACATTAATAGCGCCAATCTCGGCTAGTTTGTCTGTTCTCTCCGCCAAAGCTCTGTAGTATGCTTATAATTCTTTTATTCCAGACTAGGAAGGAGCTCGCAACTCATCCTAAACCATGAATCCATGAGCCATGTTGCACTGTACACAGAATGCGGGCGATAATCAACTATGTTAACTTTTATCTCAAAAGCTTGATCATACGATTGGCCATAATCTCAGTGGGAATCTGAGCATTTCATATTTTATGTGCATTACATCTGGACAGTCGATGTGCTCTCAATTCACTATCATTTCTCTCTCACTGGATCTGGGCCTGCATATGTACGAAGATATTGCATAATCATTTGCTCATCGAACACCTAAACTTCGCTCTCATAACCTATTTGGGAAAGCAGTTGGGTTAGAAAGCCAAGCCCCTGATTGTTAGTGATGAAACTGCATGGGTAATATGATTATATGGAACCTACATCTGACATTTGGCCTACTAACAAGACTCATTTTGTGTCATATGCAGTGGAGATATAATTCACCGTAGTCATTTATGGAATAGTAAACTCAAGAGCAAAGGGGTAAAATAGCTCATGGGTCTCAGAGGCTGAGATATGTATGAATTTTGAGCAGAATATTCCTTGTATGTAGTGGAGAATTCAGAGGCTGGGGCGTAGCCTTCCTCTGACCTAGCTGTTGCAGCTGTACTGAACCTCCTGATAATAAATATAACCTCTATGTAGTGGAGACTTGATTTATAAATGCTTCAAAGTCTTCAAGTAGAGCGAAGAGCTTTTGACTTAACTAATGGTATCAATTAATTTTGATCAACAAAACGCATGTTAGATCGTGGGTCGCAATTGCAAGTCTTTTGGCAAGGTTAGAACAAACAGAAAGTAGTTGCATTTCACACAGGTGCATGTGTTGTTTGTCCAAGAAATAGTTTCAGTCGTAGACATTGTGGAGAACTACATGAATACACGGCCACATTGGGGAATTACATCATTGTCAATGAGAAGATACAAATAGTCAAATCTAATACTATGGTTATTTCCAACCATTTCATACCTTATGGCATGTTGGTATTCGAGATAGACTCCTAATTTAGAAACACACTGCTCGTGCTCATAAACGTGCATCTCGAAAAATGGACTTTGTCTATCCAATAATAAACTACTAAATATATGGAAATACGACTAACTTAAAGTTAAAACATCGCACTATGAAACGTAAAATCAGAGTATCTGTACTAAGTTCATCTATTGCGTCTTCTTTCATCGGCTTGATACATCTAAGACTAAGTTTGTAAGGTAGCGAGCGGCTCTACACAGGTAAGTATTAGCAGCGTGTGCCGCAAATTCACAGCGGCAGATCCTCAGTCTTGAAATCCGCCATCTTTTTATACTCGATTATCCGCATGGCTCGTGCGTCTCCCTTTTTGAAAAGCTCATTGTAGCTTGCGCTGTACACCTTCAAACCCTCAGTAAAACCAGGTTTCTTTTGTTTCCAACCAGCAGCCTTTTTCAGCTTTTCGGCACTCATGGCGTGAGAGAAACCAGTCAATTCTTGATAAAGCTTCCCGCTCTCCACAGGCTTAAATGTGATCGTATGTTGTCCCCCGTATTCTTTGCTGACTGCCTCTGCAATGGCGCCAAGAGTTTCGTACTCATCGTTTGCTATATTGTACAGCTCGCCATGACCCCGCGACCCAACCTTGGTCGCCAGCAAAAAGTATGCCTCGGCCACATCATCAACGTGCACGCCGTGGTAGACAACATCCTCAGAGCCATATAGAACGATTTGATCCCCGGTAGCAGCTTGATGAAGAATTGTTCCATACCAAGAGGCGCTGCGACCGTAGATGAGCGTTGGTCGAGTTAAGATTGCGTGGAAGTTGGCAGCATGATCAAATGCCTTTTGTATAGTATTATGTCGTATAACATGCATTGGGAGAGGATTGTGGGGAACAGTTGACTCGTCCGTTACCACGAAACTCTTGGATGAGACAAGGCCAGATGGTCCGGTGTCTTTAGCGCCAGTGGTGAACAAGAGGAGAGGTTGCTTTCCTACACGATTTGCTGCCGCCGATGCAGAAGTAACGAGGGCAATGATGTCGGCAAAGTGGGCTTCGTAACGGACCATGTCTTCGGTAGTAGATATAATGACATCAAACTCGACATCTTTAATCTGCTCAAGAAAGCCCAGGTTTCCAGGCGCGCCCACGAGTGGTATAATCTCATTTTCCGTCAGACCGGCCGCCTTATCAGCAGAACGCACCAAGCCATATGTCTCCCACCCCTCGAGGCAAAACTTTCGACACACGCTCTCTCCCAGGAAGCCGTTTGCTCCGGTGACAAGAACTCTTTGTATAGCCATTGTTGTGCTTGTTGGTCTCTTTTCCTGTAAGTCGTTGTTTATGTTGTCTTATTGGGGCTTGCCACATCCTTCTGTGCTGTGCGCCATATTTATACTTAAGTTGAACATCCAAGAGCGGGCTAATCCTGATATCCCAAGTGCCTCAGTCTCCTCTTCCCATACTTCGCATCGGTGTCTCCATGCATCCGCAATTTCCGTGCATGACCGCATTTCCAAGTCAATTGGTAACCATTTGATCTGAATTGGTTTGTATTAGACCGACGGTCGCATATTCTGCGCCGATATGCCGGTTTCATCTCATTGATTAGCAGCTCAATCTGTCATCTGTTTGGTGGAAGAAGGTATCTACTTACTCGTTGTCCTCGTCTAGAAGCCTAGAGAAGAGTTGCTTGCGGAGTGGATCATATTTTGCTCAGCAAATTTAGATGGCAAATGGCGGGAGCTATCCTATTTAGCTTAGTCGCCGCATTCAAAGTAGTAGCAGGGATGCGGGAAGTCTTAGAGTACTGTACATGGGAGTTGCCTCCTCTACGAAAGTTCCAACGTCCTTCAGTACGTTTTGATAGTGGAATGATTGGAAATCGCGTACTACGTATAATACTTCCAATTGTATCGACAGACATACCGTGAAGTGGCGGCCTATGTAAGCAGCCACGGTATATATTCCCGTTCTATGTGCCGCCAAGTCTACTGGACCGTGTCCGCTGACAGCGCTTGCCGCATTGAATACCATGATTTGTGCCCATGACTATAGCTAGAAGAACTGAGAAACAGGCACAGTATTATTTCGAACCTCTTGGCTGCGTGGGAAAAAAATAGGCGAAGCTGTTGCAGTACAACCCGAGATTCTCACAGCCCATACTTCAATACAAGTAACTGCGTATGGTGTCGGTGGAATGGCCGAAGGCTGTGAAGAAGCTAGTCGTAAGGACAATGAAGGGCTTCATTTTAATATGAGACATGGGTTATAGAAATAATTATTATGATCAAGGTAGGATGGTCGGTAAAGCTGTAATAGCTGGTGCAGAGGAAGGATACGCCCCAACTTTTGATCCCAGATCCAGAATCAATACTCGGGCCAACCTGATGAACGACAAATCAAAATAAACGCTGTGAATACTAAACGTTGGTCGCTGGTAAAGCTATAAAAGAAGTAAAGAACTCTGAACAAGATTTATCTTTGACAAGTGTACTAGCATTGAGTCCATCGCTCCATTCTTTCTGTTCCATATGTACTCTCCAGGATCATCTTCCCAAAATCATCAATTTCTAAAGGATTAGCTTCTGTAAAAAGCTTTTCGGTCTCAAATCTCTGGATGAACCCAATGTCTGTCTCTAAGCACAGCATCTCCCATGCCAAAGCCGTTTTGGCTTCCCAAACTCCGTGGCGTGTCGTAAACATCATGCCTCCGGGACAGAAAGCCCAGCCTTGCTGGAGGGTTAAGTACAAGGCTTGTAGCCCCGTAGCTGTTAACCATGTACGCCGTATGCTTTCTGCCAAGATCCAGGTGTGCCAGAGATGCTCTGTGTTGCCAGTCAGGCTCGGTGGGTCAACTTGGCAAGCAGTTTCTACAAGATCGAGGGGATCGAGCGTCAACGATAGCGGGTATAGACTGCTACTGGCACACTCGACCATCTGCATAACCCAGCGGTCCAAGATATGAGAGCGGCCTTCAGCAAGATGGCGCGATCGGATATCGCCATCGAAGAGACATATAATTTGGTATACCATCAAGGCGTGGACTCGAGCCAGTTGCTCCAAAAGGTCGAGAGGTTCCAGCGCGTCGTTGACGCCTAAGTCTGGGCCAGTCAGCAATTCTTTCGCTTGACTCTCTATTATCCTCAGGATGATTTCGTAATTGCCTTCGGTTCTGTTAATATAGGCTGATAAAGTGGTGTAGGCAACCTGAACACAGGTTGGAAATCGAGTCCGATACAAATGAGAGTGTATGAATGGGTTACTGCCCGACATGGCCCAACTCTTGAGCCAGTGTTGGATCACCGAGACATAACGCTTGAGCATGGAGCTAGAAAACAAATTCATGTTTGGATTAATGTGAATAGGATAAGGCTCGATCTTCCATGTCTCTGGAGAAAGAAACCAGCCTGAAGGCGAATGTGCGCTAAAAGGTTGATGGGAAGGGGCTGAGAGATCAATTGCCGGTGATAGTATTGCAGTATTAACACCTGTAATCTCACGAATGCCTGCGGAGTGTTTTGGCGAGCCAGCGACCTCATTAGACAAGACAGAATCGTGTAATAGCACATATGAAGACTGCCTTGGAGGTGGGTACACGCACTCCATACCCGCGTTTTTGCATCTCTGGCAGGACAACATCTGCTTGTCACATTTTCTCTTCGACTTCGCGCAAGCATTGCAAGCTCTTAGTTCCAAAGGCGCAGTCATTTTAGTATCGAGCGGCTCCTCGAGGCTTGGTAGCTAGCCACTGGGTAAATGATTGGACAATTGAGAAGACAATAATCTTGAAGCAAGACCGTGTTTTGACCGGCCGCGTACGTGGCACAGGTGCTGGCAGAATCTGATTAGCTAGAGACGATTTGGGCATCGGCTGATACATGGAGATAGTAACCGGGTTAAATGGCATCCATGAAGGGACTGCAAGGATTAGCGCTTACGGTGATGATTGGGGTTGTTTGCATCGTATCTAGGCGTCTACTCTGCGGGGCACAGCTTTTTGAACGCGATCTTCTCCCGGCAACGCCTGTAAATGACTTCTCTGATGACATTGTTTTGCCATTCTATAAGTCAATTTTTGAAAGTTAATAAGCCAGTATATAAGTAACAGTACACCTACTCTTTTGTACCTATGATAATGCTGCTGGTGGATCATATTATTGCTGCTGCTGCTCTTGGTGCTGGCCAATAGAGCAGGCCGTTGACAAGAGAATTGGAAAACAGTCTTCAGGTTCACCATGGGGGGTAATTGATGGCAAAGAATTTCTTTGAAGAAAAAAATGCTCCAGGTGCAGCAGGAGAACTTGTCTCCCATATTGCTGTGCTATATAATTGTGTTCATGCATGAACAACTTGTTGTGTTCCAATTGGAAGGGAACTGTAGCCATGTAAAATATCCGTTGTCGTTAGAACGCAATGCATAGTGTGCTATTGCATCCCCCGTGAGGCCTTTTATGTCTTAAAAATATATCCATCGTTAATCTACAGGAGCAGGAGCCGCTTCAGGATCGTTGGCCAGCAATGCTTCAATTTTCGCCCCCCTTCTTCGCCTCTCATCGAGGGAGATCTCGTCATCGGGGGCAGTAGACCAACCAAGACGTAGCTCAGGATATTGAAATGGGACCTCGTCACTTTTACGCGGCAATCCGTCTAGGTAAATGGGCCATGGAGTGCCCAACCAGGCATTCCGAGATTCGTGATCTCGGCGTTGTTGAGATGTCAGAGGATGGACCAGGATACTATATAGTTTCTTAGAATCGAAATGAACCGTGTTTATCTTGGCCATCGGGAAGCATAGTGTATTCAGGGTTGGCAAAGTAGACCGTGGTGGCTTGCGCCTCACATGTTAAGCAAAAAGGCGGGGGCTCATACCTCAGGTTTCCCCGGTTTGTTGCCAAGTAGAAAAACACCTCAGAAAATGAAGTGTCCGGAACCCAAACTTTATCCAACAATTAGCCTTGTATCATTGGGGTCAACCGCAGTCACCAGCGTTTCCACTTACTCTCGTACGATCCAGCAGGATGAGGCCCGATGGGTTCCTTATTCACCCTGTGTAGGGGGACGGCGACGAATGCGCCTACATGACGATAGTCAGCGAAGGCTCGAGATCACCTGGCGACTTGCTTACCATCACGACGTAGTTTCAATACAGCATCACGAAGCGCGAGCGCTGCGGCCGTTTCAGTCGGCGATTGCAGGAGAAAATAGATGTGAAAGTGCCATTCCCTCGTCCGACTTTCTACAACAGTTTGTAGATCCGTTTGAGGGCCTAGTGCCGTGGGAAGGGTGACTTGAGTCATCGTGAGACGTCCTCCTGGCGTTTACGAGTAGGCAGCTTCTCTGAATAAGTGAATGTCTTCGGTTAAAAGTTGAAGTGTTTGTTTTCTGCCCTAGCCAAGCGGTAAGCACGCCATTCCATTGTCATTTGCGCTACCCGATGCGGGGATCCAGATCGCGCATGTGGTGGCTAATGAAACTCGACCCCGGCGCGCTCCGGCAGCCCAAAATAGGATGCTCAGTCAGATTACGTTACGTCGAGAACTTGGCGACAATTTCGAGGATCTTCATAGTAGAGGTTTACATATCTGAAGAACCATCAATGCATGGCCGAAATAGCCTATTGCTGTTCATTAATTATTGGTCACACATAACGCCACAGTCACGTCAACCGCGTGAAACCATTTGCCAAAGCTGGTGATTCATATTTTCTCATCTACTCTAGCATTCTTTGTATCTCATAATGTCAGATTTATGCCTTCAGCTTTGCAAGGCGGGCCTTGGTGTTAGACACAACCTTTTCCTCATTCCAGATTCCATTCACACTGGGGTGCTCTACCACTGTGGTTGCCCATTTATAAAAGTTGGGTGTCTTGGTAGGCAGTTCTTTGATCAAACTCTCTGGCCCAACGCCATTCTTTGGTAGAGAGAGCAATCGCAGAATGAAAGATCCGGTAAGAACCTGTCATCAGGATTAGTACAGACATGTTTTTTAATGACTCTTCTATTTTATTCTTTTGATAACATACCTCAGCCAACGTCAACGTCTTGCTTCCTCCAAAATACGGGGCTGCATCGCTCAAGAGCGGCTCAACCTCCTTCTCAAGCTGCTTCACAAATTCCGCCGAAGCCTCCTCGGCCTCTTCTTCTGTCTTGGCGAAAAGCGCCTTGTGGTAAAGAGAATTGACCTTGCTAAAAAAGGTATCCACGAAGAAGTTTATTCTGGCGCGAGTAAGGGCCGCCTCAGGAGTGCCAGCGTTCGGGACTAGGTGGGACGGATAGGCATCGGCCAGAAACTGGGCGACAATGGCAGACTCTGTGATAATCTGGCCGTTGTAGGAAAGGCTGGGAACGAGGCCACGAGGATTGATTGCCAGGTACTCTGGCGTACGAGGAACACCCAAGTCAATGATTTCCTCTTCAAATGGGATTTTCAGCTCTGCCAATGCAATATGAGCACGGTGGGCCCCTGTGGTATCAACTAATGTTAGTGTTGTCATGGACGTGGCTGTGCCTAGTGATACTTGTATACGCACAAGGGCAGCCGTGATTGGTATACAGCTTGATTGTGGCAGTCATGATACTGGCAATGTCAAATACAGTAACTGGTCAGGTGGGTGAAATAATGGCAGAAATCGCTGTCTTAGGCAGCACGCAGTTAGAAAGACAAGAGGGGTAGCCGTTTATATAGGTTCCATGCCAATGCGCGATCAACGCCCATCTTGATGCAATTCCGCAATCTATGAGATGCTTTATAATACTCGCAAATACCCCGCACACAACTAGCCACTTGATAGGACGCGCTGGGTAAGGCGTCATGGGTTGTGCTTCTTCTCGTTCAATGAAAGGCAAGGATGTTCTCTATGTACTATTCATTTCGTGCTCTATGGCCCCATTGCGTGTGTCAAGGGTTCTTCAACAATATGTTGTCGTTAAGTGAGATATTGGCTGACATTCACTAAGCACCTACGGGGTTTGCGACGAATGAGGGAATCGAGAAATGATGATGAGCAATTCCGCATAACACACCAGACAATCCGCAGATATGCACCGGACTGAACACATATCGAACGGTAACTGTATTCTCCCCATGCATGCGCTATTCAGTTTACGGTCCCTGTTTTGCGAACCGCGCGGCAACTATAAGCTGAGGCAGAAATAGGGACTTTGTTTGCGGACAATGGAGTAGACACAAGGACTTCAATGGCGGACTTTCGTGTTGAACGAGTCCAAGATCGGATTTCGGCATTAGCGAGAAGCGAAAATACAATCTAGGTCCGGACCACCTGCGGAGACTATCGCCCTCTCCACGCACCCTTTCTTCATAAGCAGTGGTAGGTTGAAGCGGCACTCGCGTGTGCCATCCGCTCTCTTGAACCACTCCCATCCGGTCACTGCACCGCAGCCTTTGACCTCCTTCTTGAGACTTTCACCTTCATCGTCCAAAACCCAACTGCCTGTCATGTCAATTATATCTAGTCGCCACATGATTGGTGCGTAAAGCGCAATCCCGCATGTCACTTCTGGCGCCGCTGGAGTAGGTTCTGGAGTGGCCTCTTCTGCGGATGTCGAGATAATCTCCGAAGTGGTCGTCGCGGGTGACTCGAGCAAAGAGAAGAATTCGTCTTCGTCTGTAGCGATGGATGCGAAAAGATCTTCATTTCTCAGCAGCTTCATCCCTTCGTACCCGACAACCTTTGCAATGTAGGTTGGATCTGGTTCTTCACTTGATGATTTGATAGTCGTCGTGACAGTCATGTCGGCAGCGTCGCAATCGACTACATTCTCGCACTGAGTTCGAGTAGTAGTTGACCAGCTAGTAGTTGGCTTCGTCTGCACCTCGGTAACGCTGATGAATTCCGTGCAGTCTCTACCCGTTTGTAACGTTGTGCAGGCTTTGGCTGTTGGCTGACGCCCCGGAGGACAACCAATCAGGCCGCATGGTGCGTTGCACAGGAGATCCCAAAATGGACACTCAGGGAGTTTCGGACATCCAAAGAGGCATGTAGGCTTTGGGAAACTCACCGGAGTGCCCTTTGGACGGGGAAGAGGTTTGATAGTGAGTCTCTCGCATTGTCCGCCAGAGCACTTTGATCGAGGGAAACAGCCTTTGCCCTTGCACTCTCCAGAATTGCAGCTTCCGGAGGACTTTTTAGAACAGCCGCCTCCTCTTTCGCATGCTTCTCCTTCACAAATTCCTCCTCGTTGACAATGAGAACCCACGCAATTTCCTCCACGGACGCATTTCTTGCCCCTGCATTTTCCAGCAGACACGCATGATTCGCCGAAACAATCACCTCCCCGCAAACACTCGTCATTCTCGCAGTCCTGGCCCTTGGTGCATGAATCGTTTTGACAGTCAACAATACCAGGAGGAGTAGGAGGATTGACTATTGGTTGTTCGTCATCATCAGGAAGCTCCGTTGGGGCTGGTGGCTTGGGAGTAAGCATTGACGGAATTCTGTAGCTCACCGTTGGGAGCCAGGTAATAGGCAGCAAGAAGCCAATTCCGCCATGGGATGAAGTGGTGGTGCTAGTCGCTTGTGGAAGCCCAATGATTGACTTGGAAGGCTCCGTTGACGACTCTTCCTTCGTGGCCTTTCCTATTCCTGTTACCGTCCAGCCGGTGGGTATGAGAATCGTAACGGGATTTGGCGTTATCCTGGGAGTGGGGTTATACGTGAATGCTAGTCCAGAACCCAATGAGCTGATATCCGACTCGTTAAATGTAAACGGCTGATAGCTAACTTCTGAGATGGAAAAGGGTGCGGATACTACCGTCGTGCTAAATGACGTTCCAGACTGGAGCGTAATTGTCGTATATGCCGTAAGCGTAACTGCAGCCGGGAGAGGCGAGGGCTGAAGAATATTCGTGCATCCTACGACTGCCTCTATGGATGGATTGAGCCAGTCCCATATCATATCGTCAAAGACTTGTATGCAAGAGGAGCTGTTGTATTTCCCATGCGGGCCAAAGGTGTCCGCCCCGTTGAATTCTTGCAAATCAACTGCCCAGTCAACTGATCCGCCAAAGTTTAGCTGCTTCCACTTGTCGCGGCGCATTTCCTTTGTGTGATCGGACATGTAAGCTACCCATTCAACGTCTGTATCGATGTTAGCATGCAATGCAGTATCTGGAGAAACCTCAAGTGCGGATAAGCTTACCATCGTACACCAGATAATCCGACGCGGTATCCTTGTCGAACCATGTCTTTTTTGACTTTGACGACTTGGATATGATCTCGTTAATCTCTGCATTGGAAAGGTACCCGCTGGCGTTTGTACATCTTCCTTTTGAGGCATCAGAATGACCGTTTGCGCCTGTGAATGTACAATTAGGCCCAGTACAACCAGCCTTGGCCATTCGAAACGATCTTCCGTAACTAGATTCTCCTACAACCACCTTGTTTGCATTCACACCGGCTTTGGTAACTGAATCCAAGGTAAACAAATTAGCAATGCTATATATTTTCTCTGTGGGTATCAATGAGCCCGACTGTTGACTTACTCATAGAAAGCGCCAACATGACTTCTGTCTGGTTAACATGGCTTCTTAGGCAATTTCCACCTGGGCATCCGGACATAGCCCATCCATTTCCTACATCCCATTGACCTGTCACACAAGTTAATCATCGTGGCAGTAAATCTTGTCGCAAGGTGACGGTGTTGCTTACCATGAAGATCGTACGCCATGTATACGAGATAATCCACGACTTGAGACATCTCTTGGATCGGAAAAGGCCGTAGATACCAATACGAGGCAGGGACAGCAATGGACAAAGAATACTTGGCTGGCAACGCTTTTCGTAATGCGCGCAGTGTATCGAGATAGTTGTGGGTGTCGCTTGGTAGACCTGCTGGAATACCAGGTATATCTGCTGCCTACATTGAATCGGAATATTAGCAACCAACAGTTGAAGCACTAGGCAACGTATGACGAGGTCTCACTCACGCCAGGATATTCCCAGTCGAGGTCTATGCCATCGACGTTTGCTTCTTCCACAAAAGAGACAATGTTCGAAATGAAGCGATCCCGGCTTTCGGGAGACATAGCCTTGCGGAGTACTTCATACGAGGCGACTCCAGTGGAAAACCCCCAGCCGCCAAACGAAACAATCTTTTTGATGTCCTTCAACTCAATGAATCCATCCCATTGACCGTATGTATCGTTGACAGACACCGACATGTCGCTTTTGACGTCTCCAAACGCCCAGTGCATATGAGTGTACTTCTGCGTGTTTGACATCACTGATCTCATGTGCAAGCATGGACGCTCCCAGTTGAATGCTTCGTAATAGCCGATGCGCTGGAATCCGCTCGAAGGGGGTTTGTCGTTGTTTACAACGTCGGTGCCACAGTTTGAGATGCATCCATTTGAGCGAGGCGGTGCGGTTCCAGGGTTTCCCGTAGGCCCATCTGCTTTTGTGCAAAAGAGAGAATCGATTCCACATTGACCCCATATGTTACAACAAGAGTTGAGGGGGCATGGGTTGAGCTTAGCCAGAGCAGAAGCATCCTTGACTGGCCCTGGACTGACGGTGCCGGGCTTCTGGGGGCCACAGACGGCGTTGCTGACGGGTGCTGGCATCGGGGGCGAGCCTTTGCTTAAACAGATTTTGAGACCGATAGTCAAGTCGGGACAGCCTCTCCAACCCCAAGTTACCTTGTCGTTGAACCCTTCTATGTCCTTTGGTGTAAGGTTCCAAGGCAGGCCGATCTTTTGACAGTCGTCGTCCGCCTTTATGGTGTATGTAAAGCAGTCACCATTGTCTTCAGGGAGTGGTTTGCTTGAGCCAGATGAACAGCATGCATTCTTCCCCGTTTGCAGCTTCCTACACCAGTCGTCTCCGTCTCCTTTGACGTCGTTGTATTTGAGAAAATCGGCGACTGAGATCTTGCATGCTTTTGCTATCGAAGTGCATGAGTCACCGAGGACAATTTGGTGCTTGATGCAATATTTGGCATTTGCATTAGTATCCAGAAGCTGGGCGGTGTTTCCGAATCCTTCCAATCCCCTGAATAAGAACTTCATGTCTGTAGAATTCTTGGCTTTTGAGCTCACAGTGGCTGGCAGAGGTATTTGGTGAATGATGAGCTCTCGGGAAGTGGATTGGTCGTTCGCTGCTTTGGGTTTGCTGGCACACTCTCCCTGGTTCCACGACAGTAATGCAGATTGAACATAGTCAATGTCAGTTTCCAATGCCACTGCCACACCGGCTGTATGATCCATGTCGTTTTCCTGGCCACAAATCTCTGCTAGCATACTGACTGTAGCATTGCTAAGTCCATTGTATCGAGCAGACAGATGATCAATCATGGATGAGATAGTATCTGAGGCCAATGACTTCCCAGCGTAAATGCCTACTACCAATCCATCAAAGTAGCTGAGCATAACATCGTTATCTTTCATGCAGCCATTGGCGTCTATAGTACTGCCCGAATAATCCTTCATTTGGTCAAGTAGTCTCACCAAATGACCGCTGGATATAGCCGTGGATTTGTCAACATTCTGCGAAAATTGCAGTGGGACTTTGGTTTGGACAAAAGAATGTCCGCATGTGTCTAACTCTTTCTTCGCAGCTTCCGATCCCTGCAAAGACTGTCCATTCGATACAGCAGCCGTGCATGCACGAATTAACACCGACTTTGTTCGGTCATTGATTCGCGTATGTATTGCCAAGTCAAAAAGCATGGGGCGGTCGCATTGCGAAAGTCGTTCGAAAGAAGAGTAAACGCTCCAATTTTCGGGAGTGTTACCCGAACATAAGATTGGGCAGCGATTGAACTGAGATAGGAAATCTGTCGTGTTGTATGTATTTGACAAAAGCTGCTCTGGTTCTGCTGCTACTAATGTTGTAACCAATGCAAACAGGCATGTAATAGCCCAAGACCTTATCCAAGGCATGTTTGCCTGATAAAGACAGGAAAGAAATTTTGATCAATGAGAATTCTTAACCTCAGGCGCGAAGTAGTAATATTTGGGCGGTATCAGCTGGTGTGTGTAATGTCTTCGCTAGAATCGTAAAATATTGATGATGGAAGCATTAGGCGGTGACTATATGGCTATGCGTCTCTTGATTTCATTTCACCAATTAATCTCTACTATAATATCACCAACAGTATCCCCCGCCTGTGAGATCAGATGATCTATTGACAAACAACCGTTGGCTGTTGGGCTCCTACTGCCGGCGACTTTCTGTTATTCTCAGGCGTGTTAGTATTACGGCGATATGTCATCATTGGAGAATTTGTTGGTTCCTACACTAGGAAATCTGTTTGTTTAATTTCGCGAGGACAACAGACTGTTGGTGCTGTTGTATTGCCGTGATTTTAGAGTGTATGTTCAACGCCGCTCCAGCGCTTCCCATATCGCGCCGATTTGCAACCTCTATGTACATATATTGCTTGTTCTGGTATACTACTCGGATGAACTTCATTCAAGCAGTCAGAGTCACTTGTGTTCTTTTCTTTCACAACCATGAAGCGGTCACTACTTGCCCTTGTTGAACTGTTTACGCTTTTGGGCCTCGTACTCAGCACGTCGGCTCTACCAACTGATTATCCAATTGCAAACGTCACTGCTTCTCCAAAAGTCAGACCAAGAAGTAAACAAGATGCTTTTCAAAACTGTCAGAATGGGAGGATCGTTCCTTACGTTGAACAAGCTTTCGAGGACGCAGAGCTCATTGTGAGATATACCACTTCCTGTTAGTGATTGAAAGCATTACTGACCTCGGGTTTAGCTGGGAAATGCATTTGAAATGATGGATTTACTCATTCCGCTTTTTAGCGGCGACGGCACCGGTCTACTCCGACCCGAGAAAGCCACAAAACAGGGCCGAACCTTTGATGAAGACAATGTGTTTTCAACATACAGCTTTCTGATTAGAAGACTGTACTTTCCTGATAATCCGGAGTGGAACAGGGGAAATATGGATGCAATGTTACACACGCGCAGTAAGTATTACTTGGTGGGAGTCTCGACTAGAGAGGAATCTAACGCGTTTTCGCCTTGTATAGCTATGTTATTCACCATGAGGTACACGATTCAGCAATACTTACTCGGTAACCACATTGCTGGCCAGCCAAAACTACAAATGTATTGCGACGAAAGAGAATACATGTTTTAATACAATGACCGTGGCACACGATATATCGACGGTTCGATAAACCCCAATTTCCTTCTTAAACGTGCCGTTGCCTCTATTTACTGACTTTGGCAGACTATCCCCAGTCTACAAACCGTGAGTTTTCGAGATTCAGATGAGAGACTGTACTGATGCTAATGGGTAAAAAGCCTACAACGGAATTTATTTTGTTTCACGGGCTGTAGGATCGCATTCTGCTCGCACAGGCTATATATGGGTTGGAGTGACAGAGATCTGCGAAGAATCCCGTGGACAAACTCACCGCAACATAGGATCGCTCGTTATTCCAACTTCGGACATGTACGCATATGTGGAGAACCCATCACCCGAAAATCTCGACGAAACCTTGACTCTTTGCCCGGCACGGTCTGATCAATGGATAACCGCCGAATCGAACTCGGTAATGGATGGTCTTGAATTTCGGCGGCTACACGTGCCAACGGATTCTCAGCCTAATGAGTACCAGAAAGCGGCATTGGATAAATTGATTTATCAGAAATCTGACATAGGTTGGCTAGGACAATTCCTTGTCACAACTTTGATCCATGAGCTATCGCATACAGAAGCTTTTACACCCACAGGCGTCCAACAACGTAAGCGGTACATTCTCGTCTTATCTTAGGTCAATGCTAATGTAGTTGGATGGAATAGAAGATATTGAATGTCTCGCAAGTGGAGAGCCTGTCATCACATCTGGAAGCATCGAATGTCTCTATAGTGTCGCTAAAGGGACTGATGGTTTAAATCCAGATACCAACACTCCACAAGGTCATTTGGATGCAGGTAAGTTTCTCAGAGAACCTGCCTTTGAAGAGGTAGTTGTGCTGTACTAATACATGAACCATTAGAAGCATTGACTTTATTCGCCATGGGTAAGTTATCTCCAAAATACACCTTTCCACATCCATGTTCAAACGGATCCTACCATTGGATTTATGCTAATTGACATCCATGATCTTTGCAGCATTATGGGCAAATTCGGCAACTTGGTGGAAGTCTTATGAAGCAAGGCGCAGACAGAAAGACCCCCAGGCACAATGAGGAACTTGGCCCAACACAGCGGGGTTGGTGAGATACAGTGAGGTGTGCAGTTCGGTTAATGCACGTCATGAAATTGAGTCATGACTATTGGATCTTACCACGATGATCTTTAATCTGAGCTATATTTAGCTACTTATGTTATCAAGAGTATACATGTTGAACCAGCAACCGAAAGACTAGATTGTTGTTCCGAATGCTATGTTTAAAATGAGAACACGCTTCTGATTCTTCTAACCACTTCTCTTCTCAGGGCGTGGTATTCTGCCAATGTTCTTGACGCGGCGTCTTTGTTCTCGTTGGCACGCCGTAGAAGATAAAAAATGCAGTCGCCAATTGTCCCCCAAGTAAGGCATTTGTATACCTCACTAGGTACAAACCCTTGGCGTTGGATATCCTGGTTGTTCCGCTGAAGCAGTGTGAAGCTTACTTCATCTGCCATCCCTAGTAGCTGGCCGTATTGAATCTGAATGCGCGGCAGTCCGGCGCTTGTGCGCGACTGTTGCAGCTCCTGAGCCTTGAGAGTGCTAGTACGATTATGGGTTGCCAAAAAGAGCTGTAGCCTCGGAGAACTGAAAGATTCATCTTGCTTCCAGGTAGCCGATTGCCCTTGGATGAGACTTTCTGCCATGATATCGTACGAAGCATCTGTCTCTGCCTTGGTATCGTGGATAAGATGGCGAGGCTCTGTGCTCATATAAGCACCGCGAACCAGCTTTATACCAATTATAAATTGTTCCTCTTTCGCGCAGTGTAAATGGTCAAGAAGGGTTACCGATGTCGACTTCAGATAGGCCTGATAGGTGTTGAATACCACCGCTGCATCACCCCGATTGTAGCGACGCATCAGATCGATGGCGACTTTAGCAATTCCTGGCTGAACATGATGCTGCTCTGCATCTAAGAAAATGTTTACACGTCGGCGAATAGCTTTGCCGCATATATCTACCAATGCGTTCTCCATCTGTGTGGGAAGAGGTTTGCCATGAGAAAGCGCCGTTGTCACCGCCGCACCGGCCCCAGTCAATCTATTCACATGTCAGTTGTCTAAATCGGCACGGTGAATTTTGACAAGGAAAAGCGATATGCCTTACTTTAATGCCAAAAAGTCTCCATCGCCAATCATCTGGACTGTTTGCAAAACACCTTGGTGCCATGCTTCAATCTCAGGGTCAGCCTGTTGTGATTTGGAATCGACTTGGTCTTCCTCAGCGGATTTCCCAGGGCCTTCTTTTGCATAGGTAAGAATAACTCCGCGGAATCCCATTTTTTTAATGTTTTGTATTGTTGCCTTAACCTCGTTTGCATTCCCCCCGGCGCAAAAGTGATTGTAGAGTACGTTTTTCACGATGCTATGCAGCAGTGGGTTTCTTTCAACGTTGAACAGAAAGCCTCGGGGCTTGGACAACAATTTCAGAGTAGCTAATCCTGGAGCGAGAAGCATTGGGTGACTAGTGATTCCAGCTACCAATAGCGACCGCAGAAGCATCCTAGTTGGGAGAAGAGAATGCGGTGGCAACATTGCGTTTCCCCCTCCTCCAGCTCGAATGAGCCGAAAGCCTATGAAGCTATCTCTTTGTTGTCAGATGTCCGGATGCGTGCTCGAAGAACTTCTTTCTGAATCCTATATTGGAATAGAGAGGTTTACTGCTCCGTCCAGAAAAGTACCATCATACTCGTTTGGGCGAGTCTCCTGGTTGTCGCAGTGCTGTTTGATTCGAATCTGAAGATTTCCCCTCCTCTTACGGACCTAGAGGATTGGATTGGGCTAGCCCCTCACCAGTATCTGCTTAGTAACCACGTGAATCGCTATTGACATCGGCATTGCATGTTTCCTTCCTGCTTTCAACTGGACTATATCTTCAGATGGAGGACACTTGGATCGAAGCACGTTGCCAGTAATGCTTCGGGAAGGTAGCACTTGATTTGTGATTACATTCGTAAAAGTCCCTTGTCGCTATCACATAATGTAAAGTCACGTCGCAGAAAGCTCGAATTTTCAACTAATGACCTATCAGGATGAATGGAGTCCCCCCTCCCAAAAAAAAACGATCATAAATGGGCTTGACAGAGAACTCTAATACCATAATGTGTGTAGCGAATTATTATTAAAATTTCATCATAGAGAATGCCTCTTTAGTCATAATGAGACCTTCAAAAATCCCCAAATCATCTCGGGTTAACACGCCTTCACTTTGTGATCTGGTGGTTTTGGCGCACCAAAAGAATTGCATCATGATTCCTATCTCCTCAGCCCAACCTGCCTATACTTTATTAAATTCCTCTGGCTGAAGTTGGATGTACTCGGCTGCCTTTCCTTGAGCTTCTCCCCATAATTGTAGCATTTCCCCGCATGTTGTGTTTTCTGTGTGGGCTAACACATGTTTCCCGGGTAATGTTTTGTTGGGTTGATCGATTATGGCCTTGATAAATATTCCGACATTATTCTTAGCATCACCGATAGGCCGAAGAGGCGTGTCGGCTGGGTATGCATTAAGTTGAACGTATTTACCAGCTGATGGAACAAAGATTGGAATATGTGTTTGCCAGTAGAAGTTTGCGGCGTAATACCCTATGATGACAAATGTAGTCTTTGCGAACAGTTCTGGCTGTGATTGAATATATCGGTCGGCGACATTCTTGCTCTCGAAGTGAGGGACCAAGGGTTTTCCTGAGCTCTGAGTTTTAGCATTAGGTAGAGTTGACCATATATAGTGCTCAAGTGTTGGCGTTGCTGCTGCGGCTTTTGCCAAATTGATAGCTTGAGAAGAATCAATCTCCATTGCTTTCAAAGGCTCTTCTTTTGCAAATAATCCAAAGAAATCCGTCACACCAAATATGATCGATGACCCTTGGAAAGCTGCCGTTAAGGATGAAACATCATTAGTGGTTGATTGGATGAGTTCAACGCCTTTAGCAGCCAGATCTTTAGCCGACTGACTTTGGCTGTTTCGTGTGATAGCGCGAATATGAAATGTATCATCTTTAAGAAGAACATCAATAACAGAACCACCTTGAATGCCTGTGGCACCAACAACAGTGACAATGTTTTTCTCCATGGCGTCTTTGCGGCCTGAGTGAATTGCAGAGAGATTGAAGAAAAATAAATGACCCCGTAGACCGGCAACTTGATGAAGTCTATGTTATGGTTAAAGTTGGCTCATGTCGGTTGGGAGAGGATCGATCTTTTGTATGCCAAGGGCCCGTTAGCTACCATTGCACTTGAGATTGTGTCAGGATCCAAGATTAATAATCGGTCTTGTTGAGTAATCTTGATTTTGAAGCACAAGATATGCAACTCATACACAGCTTGGAAAGTAATAGAGTGGATGGTCAACGCAGCGCAGCCAGAGTAGTGTAAATGAGTAGCACTTACAGGATGCTTAAACTGTGTCCCGGGCTAGCCATAGAAAGTCGGATTTTGCAGCCGTTCGTGGAAAGGTGGGTATTTTGCCCCATAGGGAATTGTTCCATCTCGTTCCAGTTTATGATACGATTCGATAGTGAACCATGATTCTATATGTGTAGAGGTACTGTCTCGTCTACTGATCACATAATCATGTTCAAATGCCAAGCATTTAGTCAATAGTAATTTGTCAATATGGAGTCAACAGTGTGATAGAATATCGGATGTACGGCTTGAGGGCGTGACCACACGACCAAGTACTAAATACTGAACAGAGGGAGGTAGGATGCCACTGTTTAACTCTTTCAAAGAGTGATATGTCTATATAGGGGAATTGTTATACAGTGATTTTTCTGACTGTCACCATTATTTTTAAGAAATATGAAATTTAGCAATACACTAGTGGGTATTAATAAAAGCGTGGCTCACAGCATCATCGCCACAATTGGCCCTCACTGCGAACCATGGCATTAGAGCGGATACTATGAGGTGAGCCTAGAATTATTGGGATATAATATCTAAATGACAGGTTGCACGCTCCCGGTCATCCTCTATGATCTATATCTAAATAATAACGAGAAGCAAAAAGAGAAAAGAAAAAAAAAGTGAAAAAAAAAGGTTTCCATCATACAACGTTATTGACCTTCATCTCCTCGGCGTTATCTGAGGACTGAACTTCAAAGTCAAGTTTTTCCCATTTCATAAAAAGTCCTGCGATTAAAGTGATAGCACCTCCTGCAAATGCAATCCATTCAATCTTCCCAATGGTCGTCGTTATACCTTCAACGGCAAGGCCGATAACACGAGGATCTTGTCCAGAGCGGAAGATGCTTGAATCAACGCCGGCAAGCGCGTCACGGATGTCTTTGTCGGAGAAATTACCAAGACTGCTGATGGAGTCGTGTAGCTTGTTGTATCCGAGATTCTGAAAAACGCAACCGGCGCATGAGAGAGCAACTGAGACTCCAAAGAGCTGTGAAACAAGATGTATCATGGCAGTATCTTGGCGTAATGATGCTTTGCGCGCCTCATTTCTTTCCACCTCGACTGGGTTGCTTTTGTCAAGCCCAGGATCATCCGAGACCAGACGTGACATTACCGCATTCCCTGATTGCCAAATGAGACCAACACTTATTCCCACAAGCGTATCAAGACCCAATATTCTACCATCGGGAGTGTTCGGCTCAATAGTTGATAATCCACCCGCGCCCGCCAGCATCATGGCGCCACTCAGGATGTAAAAAGGTGGGAAAATGCGCAGCCGGGGTAAGAGAACGGCAGATACGATTGTTGATAGGATAAAACTACCGATGAATGGCAACAGACGAACCGATGCATCGAGGGGACTTAAGCCCTGGGTAAAAGCAAAAAACAGCGGTGTATAGTAAAGCGCGATACCGTAGGAGCCGCCTGCAGCAAAAGTCGATATAAATATGAGAAGGAAATTTCTGTTCTCGAAAAACAAGGCGACGGGGAAAATCTGATGTTCGCGGGTGGTGAAGAGTGGTTTAAGTTGTTGCACTGTGTAAAAGATGAAAAGAACGCCTGTAATGACCCAGACTGCAATCGTCCCTCCGAAGCCCCAGTCCCACGTTGAGCCACTGAATATGAGGACCACACTGGAGAGAATAACGAACGAAAAGTGCGAAAGGGCTCCTATCCAGTCAATACTAGTTAACTTTGTTGATGCCGTTGTGCTCTGGTCTGCGGATAAACTGGGAAGGCTAATAACTGCGATCGTAAGGATAAGACCAATGAAGGGAATATTGATATACATGGCCTACAATCCGGACTTGTTAGCGAATAGGTTCTTAAACCAGTGGTTTTTTTCATATATACTCACCCAGCGCCAAGTAGCGTGGCTATTCTGGGCAAAAGCACCTCCCACAATGGGTCCCAGCACAAGCCCTATTGCCCAACACACGCCCAAGAGCCCCATATATCGAGCGTATTCTATCGGCGTTGTGAGAAGTAAAACATATATGCTGCCTCTATACTCCGTAAGTACGTTAGCCAATGTTTAAAGGACGAATTGCTGCTTTTGAGATATTACATACGTCATGATAGCTCCTGCTGACCCAAATCCAGTAATCACGCGCCCGATAATCACCATATCGACGTTGGTGGCAGCACCAGCCAAGATTGATCCAATGAGCATCAATAGTTCTGAGATAAAGAATACGACTTTTAGCGGATAGATGGCGGTGGCCTTGCGCCATGATGGAGCAGTAGCAGCACTCAATGTACTATACCCGACGGCCACCCATGGAAGAAGCTCAACATGACCAAACGCTTCATAGACAGAGGTTTGAACATTGGCGACATTGCTGACATCGTAACCTAAAGAGTGTCAGTGGTTCGTACCGATGAAGACGTATTGATTTCTTGCATCAACTCACCGACAATTAGCATGGTCAACCCCAGACAAGTGAGAATCAGTGGCCATCTCCAGCCTTCCAACCCCTCTCTTGGATGACCGGAACTGATTATGGATGTAATGGCACTTTCATCGGTATTAGGCGCTCTTTCGTCAAGAAACATCTCTCGCTCCTCCATATCGATGGCTGATGAGATGCCAGGAGCAGCTCGCCGGCAATGCTGTACTGCTTTGAAGTCCTTTGAATAAGGTCCTAGAAGGGAGCACGATACGAAAAGGAGCAACTAATGTTTTTTTTTAATCCTGAATTGCAATGGGTCTCTTCCAAAGCTGAGCAACTTCTTTTCGTCAGCGGACGATTATATAAACGCGCGTTTGTGATAAAGACCCATAGGGCTCAGCTCTCTCACGCGCGCAGGTGTAATCCACCATAATCCACAAGGAGACCGCAGGGTTACCTTGCGCATCAAATCATTTACAGTACTGTAAGCTTCGGCAGTGATCCCGAACACCTTGTCGAAACATTATCGACTTTGGAATCAATGTGACCCTATCATGTCCTAATGCCAAAAGAGGACATATCTTCAAAAAGGACCTCTCATTTGGAACCAAACGACCCACCCGCGTCAGCACGGCTGCTGCGACCCACGGACGAACAAGTACGGGCACTATACAGATACGAGTTGCTCCATTTGCAGCTTGGTGGGAACTAGGAGCCTCCTTACATCTGTTGCTCAGAATCATTGAAGATTTCATCAGGATATAACGGAAATAGGAGAAATAGTAACATCTTTGGAATCATATATAGAAGGTAATCGCCAAATAACTTGCATGGAAGAACACCAAGCGTATGGATATCAGAACTGAGGCAAGTTACGACGGTGACACAAGGTATGAAATAACTACAGATACAAGACAGAGGAATTTGAAGATTGATACTCAAAGTCCAAAATACAAAAATAGCTGTGGCGGTCAGCTCTCCGATGCGCGCATGGCTATCGTTGCGTTCACGCATAACATTCCCATTATAGCTATGACTGCCCCATATATCAAGATGGATCCTGCATTTCTCACGTGAGAAAAGGAACTGTAGATTTATCTTGACTAACTACTCACATTTGTAACAAACCGTCTTGAAGAAGCCATTCTTACCAGCCATAGGACCATTCCGCATTCTAAAGATTGCCATAGTACAGAAGGTACGCTTTCGCCTCGCACTCCAGATCTCCCACGGATGCCTAGGCTGCTGCCTAATACTTCATACCTACTGGCTTCATCTTACCGTAAACCCTGAGGTGTGTGGAGTTCAGTTATATTACTAGTCAGCTTCTCGCTGGGTGAGGACATCGGCTGGTCCGTCTTTTCCAAGCGCCCGGAAACGTAACCAGTAAATTCCGCGAAGTCTTTGAAACATTATCAACAAGGCCCATCAATTAAAACACACATGTAGGGGGTGAGTTTGTCAACTCTTTCCAGAGGCAATGGTGTATAGCATGGATGGTCGTTGAACGGGAGACTACGATAATAAGCCACACCCTGCCGGATAATACTACTCCGTAGGAACCTTGATTTCACGTCTAATAGTGGTCCCTCTTATGTGTCAAATTTTGCCGTAGGATTCGTAGCTTAGCATTAAGCTCGTTCTGGTACATCACTCCACACGAAGGGAAATAAGATCGCTCCTGGGGAACAGGAATAGACTCAGTGTCGGTGGGATATTACACAATTATCGGATAAAATCATAGTACCCACTTGGCGCCCCGTTTCCCTAGCATAAATAGGTTCCTTTCTTCTTCAGGTTCAAACCCTAGATAGTTACATAACGCACATTAATTGATCACGGATTTTCCACACTCAGCCTCTGTTTCAGAAAAAAGGGGCGCTAAAAAAGATCAAAGTGAGAAAAAAGAGGATCATCTCATAGTCAGATACTGCTGTTTTTTTTTGGCAAAATTCACTAATTGCGGCTCAGTAAATATATGTAACTGTGCTCTATGCAACAATGAGTTGTCTTAATTTTTCCACACATTGTTGAGCAGCCACAGCTCTCCAGCCCATTGCTCCTGAACAACGGGCCAGATGTTTTCAGGAGGTAAAACAAAACCACCCTGACCACTGGTCACTGGATCTAATTCGAGTGTCCAAGAATGGTCTGCACCGTAGGCACCATAGTGGTGATCGCGACCATTGCCGGCGGAATAGTACTCAATATCGCAACCCGTACCATACTGATAAGTCTCGTTTCGGCTGTCGAATGCCTGCACAGCATTTGCAAAGCCTCCAGCAACTTCAAGCATGCGAGGGAGGGTGGCGGGATACTGAGAGGTATTGCAAGTCCAACCGGGAGGCGTCAGGATCTTCTGGCCGTAGCTGTGGAGGTCAATGTAGGAGCGAATTCCCTTCCGGGATGCTCCAAGCTTGTTTGAAAGACTCGATACGGCGATGTTCTCCGGAGTGTCACCTGGGTTCAGCCCTTGGAAAGTATCAGAGCATGGGTTGGTGGACGCAGCTCCAGTGCCTGGTTCACCACCCCACTCAAAGCTCCAGTTGCGGTTAAGGTCTGTGCCTATGCAAGTCGTGTTAGTGCGAGGCAGTCGGTTCTTACGCCACATTCGATCAGTCGTTTGCGTGTAAGAGAAGCCTATGGGCGAGATTCATATCAGCATATTATTTTGTGACACATTAATCAGTGCCTTCTCACCGTCGGGGTTGTGGAATGGAACAAGCCAGAAGTCATAGTAGTCCAGAAACTTTGTAATCTCCTTGTTCTTGGTCTTGTATCCGTTGATCAGTTGCCACGCCCAGTATTCAAGCACCTATAAAACCCGTTAGACTAATTACAGCGGCGCGGGTTGCTATAAGACGCATACCGCTGTAGAAATCCACTCTCTGGCATGGACGGTGGCATGCCGCAAGATGATGGGCTTATTGCCTTTCTCACCCTTGTCGCCAAACAGGTGAAAAGCGTATATGGTGCGGTTTTCATACGACAACCCAAGCTCATATTTCTTAGAGTTCTTGGGAAAAGCCGCAGCCAAGTCATCCCAATACTGGAGATGATCCTCGTATGGGTGGTATGTTTGATACCAGGACAGGTCGGGTAGGTGGCCAGCCTTGTGCAGCCAGCGCTTGTAGACGGGAGCCTTATCCTCACGTCGAATCTGCTCCCCAAGATCGTCGCTCAGCAGGCGTGCATTGAGACCAAGTTCATTGAAGCTGCGGACTTCATTGGGAGGAATGGCGACTTCAAATCCTCGGCTCGTAACTTCTGTGTGGTAGCTGGCGAATCGTTTCTCAATGGACTCAGCCTCGCTCTTATCTGCCGCTCTTATACTGTAGACGTGATACCCATCGTAGCTGACTTTTTCCGTACGGGGGCCAAGCGATTCTACATCGACAGAGCGCGAAGCCACCAATGGCGCCAGAAGGGCCAGAGTCGTCAGGAACTTCATGATTTTAATCCCGGATGGGGTGCCGGATCCGGTTGTCGAGTGCACTGGAGGACAAGAGAAATTGAAAGCAGGCAGATGAAGGCCATCTTTATACTTCTCATCTATCAATGCCCATAACTATTTTGTGGAGAGAAAAATCGGTCGGAAGCTACCCCGAGATCATGATATATTGCCAAATGGAAGATCTAAACCGCGAGTTGCATTACATAAAGCAGAAGGTAGATGAGGGCAGTTTCTGGATCTATCACGCAATTCTTGGCCTCCTCATTGAGTGATATTGTGCTCCATTTACGCAATCGCCAGGGGTCTTTGTATCAATGCCATCAGTGTTTATGTGCGAAAATATGTCCAATGGGCCATGGTTCACCCATTATTAAGAATCATTTGGTGCCCATATCCGTACGAGCTAATGCGCTAAAAGTGTCACCGCTGCTAGTGGCGGTTATAATACCAAAACTACTGCAATCTTGCGACGTTTTGGGCCGGCAGTTCCAACCCAATTCGGCATGTATGAAGTTGAACCAGTAATGTTTCAGCATGATTGCACGTAGCTTATCGCGTCTTTCCTTCTCCTTGGATAAATAGATCTCATAGAGGTGATGATTGGATGCATCGCCTGGCAAGCCAAAAATCTAGCCAATTGTGCTCCAGTAGCCCACCTAAAACCTTCAGATCCCGGTATGTTGTCATCACTATAACGCATGCTATTAAACTACATATTCTGCAACATGTAACTGTCTGTAGAGTATCTAACAAACATTTATTTAGATATCGCAACATTATGATGTTGCGGTCAGCTTGATCTTGGTTTGTTGCATAGATATAATACATCCTTTATCTTTTTGCTATAGCGGCTATTGTATGTCCGCATCCGCGCATTTAATGATACCTCATCTAATTATTTATAACTTATCTGAAAAAAAAAGAGAGAACGTCTGACCAAAACATCTGCTTCGCTAGAAGTATAGGCAAATTTCGTGTTGAGGTCTAGTAAAGAGAAATTAGTTCTTCACGCAGAACACGAAACGTCGGATATCAATACCGATATTGAAAGGAATACATCACATTCATGCAATATCTTTAGTCAAGTGACGGAAGCTCAATATGTGATATCATCTTGTTTCTCATTATGATACTGTAAACATGAAAAGTGTGGTGGTAATCTTCCCCTGTTCATATATAGCCCGAATCAGCTGTCTGCGTTGAGCTGATTGGCCAACCTCCTTGACTTCAAAGGACTATTCGAACTTTCAGCGCATTCTTCTGCAATATTTCGTCCTTTTTCTGTTCGAGTTCTTGCATGTCCCAGCACACACTAATGAATCGACCAGACAACCATTCTCTCCTTTCCTTAGCCAGCCATACAAACGTATGAGCTGCCAACTCCGGTGGATCAATCAAAACTTGATGCAGATATTTTGGCATACTCTGACCCAATTCTGTAGCAACGCTGCCAGGATGCAAATTGATTGCAATCAAACCTTGCTGATAATATTCTTTATCTGCAAACTCGGTAAAACGAGCCATTGCAAATTTCGCGGTTTGGTAACCGGAGGCACCTGGTAAAATGTGATGGCCGCCTATACTGCTGCAGTTGATGATTGTCTTTGTTTGCGACTTGAGCAACAGCGGTATAAAGTACCGGTGACAGAGGTATGTGCCCTTCATATTGACTTCCCACGACTTCCACCAATCATCAGCTTGAGACTCAGCTAATTTTCGCCAATCTTCCAGGTAGCCAGCATTGCAAATCAAGACGTCGAGGCTTCCGGCAAACGCCTGATCAGTAGCCTCAGCAGCCATTCGTACTGACTCTTCGGACATTACATCCACAGTTAGGCTTAGAACAAGAGGCTCAGGATGAATTTCCCTGGCAGCAGCTTCTCTGATGGCCATTTCGACACCGCCTAGGCTAGAACGTGCAGCAATTGCAATTTTGGAACAGCCAGCCGTCGCAAAGGCCAAGGCAGCAGCCTTACCAATACCTTTGGAGGCACCCGTGATGAACACAGATTTACCAGCCAAATGAGCATTGGTAGGATCTATGAAAGGATATACATCATGGTGAGGTTTGACATATGCTGCTAATTGAGGGGCGTTGGTCTCACGAGAAGATACTTCTCGATCACTCATCTTGGATGATGGGGTTGTGTGCTGTGGGTTGCACGCGTCTTTTGCGCTAGCTGTGCCAATAGCAGGAAAAACAATGAATGTGAAGGGCATCAGATGATAGACACATGGCAATCATGAAGTACTACTTATAAAAAAAGAGAAACGGCTTGCCTGCTTTAACTTTCCTCGGATATATAGCATGGCGTTATCTCCGCCCGAGGAAGAAGGATGCGGACTCCAATGTTCAAATTATAAATCTGTACCAACGGCTGTTGTCGGATTTGGAAGATATCGAGTAAGTAAAGCTAATTCCGTGATTTATTACGGATTTAGCAGATAAATCTATCATACTAACTATCGTCCACCGATTTCTCCGGATGTTCGTAGAGTGACTCTAATCCGAGGGATGCAATAGATCCCATCACTCTATTTCAAAAAGTTCCAAATATTATTCAAGCTTTCAGCTAGCGAAGGGTGTGCCCATATGGCATTGCTCAATGCCGTCCATTTGACGCCTCCGATCATGGCCATTTCTACCAGACTCATTATCTCCCCACCCTCGATACCCAAGCAAGTGAATCCAAGAATTTGCTTCGACTCAGCATCAACCACGGCTTTCATGAGCCCTCTCGACTCATCTGTCTCCAGCGCACGGGCAACATAGGACATTGGCATGGTAGCGACTTGGATTTTCCGATCAGGGAACTTTTCGCGGGCCTCATGCTCGTGTAGGCCAACATGGCCAAGCTGTGGATCGGTGTAGACGACGTAAGGTACGAGACGGTCAGTTGTGGTAAGATTCCCCTTCTCAAGCAAGTTGGTTCGCAACAAACGAAAGTCATCATATGATATATGTGTAAAAGCTGGCCCTCCCTTAACATCGCCTAGGGCCCATACTCGGCTATTGGTTGTGCGTAGCTGCGCGTCCGTGATAATATGTCCGCGAGCAGTCGACTCAATACCAGCCGCGCCCAGGTTAAGATTTTCAGTATTGGGCATGCGACCAGCAGCGAAGAGAACATGGGAGGCCATCAGTTCATATTGATCATTTTGACCAGACACTGAGACAGATAATGAGACTGTGGTGGCTGGATCTTGACTGCTGGTATGAGGGCGGATAGCTGTAGGGGCCGCCTTTAGAAGAATGCGGATGCCATCTTCTTCCAGCATCTTCTGCATTATTTCTGCAACCTCAGCATCTTCACGAGGGAGTAGTTGATTACCACGCTGAATGATTGTGACGGCAGCACCCAATCGGCGAAAAAGTTGACCAAATTCGAGTCCAATATAACCTCCGCCGATGACCACGAGATGTGATGGGACCACTCCTAGCTCTTGGATAGAGCTCGAGTCAAGTATGACACCGGGTGGGAAAGAAGCCACATCGAATCCGTCAATCTGGGGTATAGCCGGGCGTTCTCCACTGCAAATGAAGATGCGATCAGCAGTGAGGCTCTTCTCGGGGCCATCCAGGCCGCGTACCTGGAGTGAACGCTCATCTTGAAAACTTGCTGTGCCCAAGATAAGCTCCACTCCAGCTTCTCGCAGCCTTCGCTCGCTTCCGGAGCGAAAACTGTCGACAATGTCGCGCTTTCGCTTTCTCACAACCTCCATATTCACTTGAACATCATTACTGGCAGCGTCGGCGCCAGCATTCGCATATACGCCGTACTGAGGACCGCGGCGTGTAAGATACGCGACTCTTCCGGATGCAATCAAAGTTTTGGTCGGGGTACATCCTTCGTTAATGCAACAACCGCCGACATGAGAGCTCTCTATCAAGGCAGTTTTGTATTTTGCTTGTGCAAAAGCCATACTAAGTGGCGTGCCGCCTTGACCGGAGCCAATAATTATGGCATCGTAATGAGTAGACATGGTTCGAATGATCTTTGTAACAATAAATCGCTTGGGTGCAATAGATAGCCTCAAAGGCATGACATGTAACGCAGTGTACATGAAATTACCTGGGTGTCGAATGATGCAAGTTGAGCGAGAAACTGTGAAGAGATGCGGTAATGAGGGGGGACATTCATAAATGTCATCAACGTGACGACAGTACTCAAATGGCAAAGTACTAGGTAAGGTTGAGTACCAATCAGGATTATAGGATTATTGTAAATGCCTACTAGGTAAGTACATGTAGTCTGCATGCTTTAGAGTTAAGCCAATTTAGACTTTACGTGTGGAGAAAAGGTGTATTGGAGTCATTAAACACTGGGTAGAAACTTGTGAGAAGGATAAAGGCCGCAAGGGAGTTAGGTGTAGGTGGGGATATCGGGCAAATATACTGAAGTAACGAAATGAATATCGGTCAAAATGCGGTTTACTCTGTGCAAACCTCTCTTGATACCAAAGATATAAAAAGCGAGAAAGTAAGATGATCAAATATTGAACGAATCTTACCTACTAGGATACGCGAGAGCAAAGGCGTAGATCTCGTATTTCTTCTGCTAGAGGCTACGTGATTGTCAAGAGGAAATTAAAATTATCAATAAAACTTTTGTCTACCTAGGCCGTTTACTGCCGTTTGAGTAATAAAGAATAGAGATCCGCAGCGTCTTAGTACACGAAAATGGCAAAATAAAGAGCAGCTTCACTTGACAGTTGCGAACTTCAGATTACTGAACTTTAGTGGCCTATGGAATTTTCCATGAAATAAAATATGGGTACGACTTTGGAACCTGGGTTTAGGTCACTCAATCCCGTATTCGATACCGATATTTTATTTCAGTAATGAATCTATACTCACAGACGTTTTACTCATAATATTTTTAGTATTGAAATTCAATACGTTCAGCTACTCGAGGATGTGGCGCAGTAGTTCGTTGTACACGCACTGAGCCCCGACACTGTTATTTATCTCTCAAGTGATGAGACGCAACCAACACCTGCATATCGGGCTTGGCGGTAAAATGAGTTTTCAAAAATTTACAAGCCGCACCCGTTTATCGGAATTTTGCAGTCGCAGACATTGTTCATTACGAATTATTCATCGGCCGGTTATGATATTCAGTGCTTGGTACCTCATCGTCCGTCCAAAGTTGGCCTTGCGTCTTAGTAAAGAGATCGATGAGGCAGTCTCAGATTGATAAATGTAACGGCTATACTGCTATGCCCCGGCATGTTGAGGTGCGAGGGACCGGATGGAAAACTTCGATCGTTAAGTGACATTCATGGAGGCCTAAGAGAGCAGACTCTGAAAGAGAGGCGACTATAATGCTAATCAATTAAAGAACATCGCGGAGTTCGGCAGTTGTCTGCTAGTGTACTAAACATTGTGAAAATGGAAAGACATTTTCCGTAAAGGAACCTTTTTTTTCTTAGCTTCTCGCCCGGCCAGCCGCGGCGCCTCGCTTCGGCCGCAGTGACACCCAGTATGTTTGTCTCTAGAATGCCGGGAAGAGGCCGTCGTAATGACAAAAAGCGGAGTACTCATATACTTCTACATTTTCGCCAAACATAATCTGAATAATTTCCATTTCATCAAATCCTATTCAATTTTACTTACGATTAATTTCTGTATCTGTCGATGACTGTTCTGGACGTACCTTGCGGTTTTCCACCAGTGGGTAGATCTGCAACGTCTGATGAAGGGGCTTCTGGTAAATACGGTAGAGTTACCTCGTGGCCGAAGTGATTTTGGCAAAGGTCTATACAATGTTACTTATGAGGTTTGTTTCGGGAGAATTCGCTTTCCTCTCGGGCTGACCACTCCATTTAGAATTGTTGAGTGCAAATGCTTGCTCCAAATCTCGATGACCCAGGTCAATAAAGTACAGGGCTTTTTATGTATGGGTAGTTCGATTTCGGGGATGCAGACAATGAATCTCCGATTGTCAGATTCCTTCGGCCACGATAGAAGCATTCCGTATCCCTCGCACGTTATACCACGCCTCAAGCAGTTCCCACAGGATGGAACCTGTCTGTCGCATGACTTCTTACCCCCTGGCCTTTCAAGTTAAGATTCTGAAGCGGAAATGTTGTGCGATGTGTAGATGTACTCACAGCGGCAATTCCAACACCTTCTCTGCGTTCGATGGTCCATTGCTTGTCTGAGCGAAACAGACTCCAGCATAATCGAGGGGGGAGTCAAATAGTAGAAAGAAGCAAGAGACAACCCAAAGTTGCCGCAAGGAGCCTGCCCTGGTGAGGCACATGGCCACGAGGCTAATATAATAATACATCATCTATTCTGCAGCTAGTTACTTGCTACATATGATAATCAAGTGGAACTTTGGAACACCCCTTTCGGGTTGTCGTCAAGTTATGTTGTGCTAAGTATTATTTTGTCCTCACATTGCCACATTGCTTCTGATATTGGGAATGTAGTAGAATCACGCGGAACTATGAAACATCCGCTTCAGATATTTTGTCGGTATTTAAGTTGGCTTCTAACGCTGTGGATTGTTTTTTTTGTCGCACTGTCGTGTTGCCTTTGACGTTGAGTGTGCAGTCCGAAATCCAAGAGCACCAGCCCGTCACTAATCGCCACCAAAATGCCCCCTTATGGTTTTTCTGCATGTGCGAATAACAACTGAAATCAAATAAAGCGATCGCCCCGTCCCAATTGTTATACGGTAATTCTATATGCGCGGTAATGGTCAAGAGGCATGCCGACATGTTTATCTGGTATTATTTTATCTAGTGTTATGACGTTATCCCAAAGGGAGCTACTTGTAGGGAAGTTTAAATAAACTGATAGGGAAATTGAGGTATCATTTCTATTCCGAATTATTTATGGTGAGATTGTAGATTCTAGAGTGAGGGGATTGTTGAAGTGTTTCATGAATAGAAGCGGCCGACGTAGAGGGAGAGGCATCGGATGTTAGCTGCTGTGGCGAGATGCTCATACAGCTTAGAGGCTTTACCACGATTGCAAATCTCTCGCCATTTCCTTACCCTTAGATAATGGTCTTTCATAAAAATGCGAGACCAGATGTGAATGCCATCAAGTAAACGGTCAACCATAGTGTAGGCACAGAACTGGGACCAGCAGCATTAGAATGACCATCATCCCCATTGTCTCCGTCCCCTCCCTTGTTTGAAGCTTCGGGATCTCGGCTGCCGCTGGTAATATTGCTGGCACGCAAGCAGCGAAGCGTTGACGTGACACTGGTAATATTTTCCGGCGTGTTGGATGTGTGACTAAATGTGAAGAGGACGGGCCAAATGTTTCTAACGGCAGCATCGTACTCTGTTTCGTTATTCTCGGAAGCTGGAGCTGACCCAAAGGTGAAAAAGCGATTGTCGGTGAGAAGCTTCTCGTTGAGTCCTTCGGCGCGTTAGCTCTCTTTCCCGCTCCCGCTGTGATATTTTAGGTATATATATTATATAGACCGGTGCCCTCAACTTACCAAACGAAGTCATTTGGAAGATTTGATTGCCAGACGGGCCTAGCCAGTCGTGGCAAGAATCTGGTATAGTGAGTGAACCACAATCAGATGATTGACGTTGGGCGTCGGCCTGTAGGTCATCCTGGCACTGCTGGGAAAAAAAGTCACAGTTCCCGCCTTTGCTCGCATCGTCCTGGTTGTCCGTGGTCGCGTTGGAATTGAGACCAAGCATGATGTAGCCACACATCTTATTCTCTTTCGCAATTTTGGAAACTTCTGTTTTCTCGACATTATTGAAACTCATAGAGACGAACTGGGTGAATTCATTCTTCTCGGCACCGCTGAGGCTTGTGTCAGTAGAGCCATTGAGCGGGATGTTGGCCTGAACCGAGATTTCGATGTTCCAGTTATGCCCATCGTCTTGTAATGATGCATTTGATGAAGACAAGTTGAATGCTGGGATGGTGAACGAGCCGGTGGCATTGGCTTGCGATGGAGGCCGAAATGAACTGTCTGGAAGACTCCATGGCGCGCCATTACCAACAACTAGGTATCCTCCTGTGCCAATGTCTGCCACAACTAGCGGTGCCAGACTCGCGATATAAGCCACTTGGCGTAGGATGGCCATCTTTGTATGTGTTGTGTGGGTATGGTATATGTTTGTGGTAATAGTAGTACAGTAAAAGAAGGCTAAGCATTCCTTGAAGGTTAGGCATGATGCTGTTTTATAATTACCGGCTGTGTAATTGAGCACAATATTAGACAAACTATCCGCCCTGCCAGTATACTGTAAATAGCATCCGCTTATCTCCTCGGTGTTTACTCTCTTGGTCCCAATTCGTGTATACTAATCGGGTCTGAGTATGAGATTGACAAGAATCGGCCTCGCCAGTAAGCACCAAAATCAGACCAGGCTAAACCGCAGCAAAACACCCGCCCCCGGGAATAAGCTAATGCAGGACCAGCGCCTTTAGTGCCATTCTTCGCCACCTTTAGGGATGTCAGCAGACGCTGGACAACAGACAGGAGGCTGACGCTGGGGCTCCTGGCACTTACAGGGCAACATCTCAGACGATTTGAGACCAAAAAAAAAGGTAGCCCCTGTTCTCCCATAATACTGTTATAGCTCGCTCGGAAAACCTGCGGGGCGTGAAGGGGACGATGCCCTTTGTCGGCCGGTTCGAATCGTTCAAGCCTGCACCTCGATGCCAACAGCTAACCGCGACTAGTATTGACACGAGCTCTGGATAGGTAAGATTTATGTCTTAACAGAACGAAGTAAAAATAAAAAAGATGGCAATGTGTTGTACTAAACCAATGGTTCTTACAGCAACTACCACAAATCCAAAACTCAGTATTGATGCAATGTACCAAACAACAGGGACCAACAACACCTCTTAATTATTTGATGGTAGCCTCCCCGGAATCAAAAGACGCCTAGGGTTGGTATTGATGGGAAGAGAGCATGCCGATGAGGTGAAGAGTTCTCTAATCCAGGCTGCTATCGGCAAAATCCCCTACTTGTAAGTTTATGTTCGAGTTGCTCAAGAGAGAGTTTCAGAGGAATACAAACATATTGGATAAATGCGTATCTAATCACTGAATAGGTCAAAGGGCATTCATCCCTTGATAACAAGTTACTGAGCAGAATCTTCTGTCATTTACAATATCGGCATAAGCCTACATTCGTTATATCAACGCGGCCTGATTGCTTTTTCTCTTTCTTTCTTTACTATAAATTATCGATAATAGATCGATCTCTAGCACATTAGATATTGCTCACCTATCGTCTACTAAAATAGGGTTGAATATCTCGAATCTGCTGCCATGCAGCTCGGAAGCAGCTTACACTGTGAATGAAACATTTGCAATTCATCTTGGACTCATGCCTGACACGACTTCGGTAATTATATCCGTATGAGATGTCCCGCCGCCATATTCGATGATGTATCTGAACAATCTATTGACATAGAGTTAGTTATCTACCTTACTGTTCATGGCCGGCATATGGAATAGATACAATGTCTAGATCGACATGTGCAACTAAGCATAAGACACATGGCGTAAATGATAAATAAAGGGTTGCAGAAAACGACTAATTTATAAATACTAGAATATACATCATCTACGCTTACCTTAGTAGCTATTTTAAGCAATTAGTAAATACCACGCTTGCCTTAGTCCGATATGGTGTCGTTGATGGTGTTGCTTTCAAACTGGCAGCAGCTTAAGTAGCTGTACTAAGAGACGGCTTCACCCACAAAGTACTAGCGAGACTGCAGCTTATTCATTCAAGTCATTTTTGAGCGAGACCCTGCCGCTAATCAAAAGTATGTCATGGACGTCAGCTCTGACAGCATCGTGTCGCATCTATACAACATTAGGTAAGGCGGATGGGCACCACCTGTTTCAGACCTTACTCGTGGTCCTTTATAGATAATTTTCTAAGACTTAATACTATTGTGCTTGTACGCGGAGCGTCACGGTACACAGTCTCGGCGAAGGAGTGTTCCAACAGGGGTGAGGGTGAGAATTGATAAACGTGGTTTTCGAGGCCAGCATTCCACTCCTCTACAATTTATTAATATCCTCAATGTGAACAATTCTGTTAATATCGAGGGAACGTGAATAATCCTTCTGCATTCGATTCAGCAACCCTATTTCCAGAAACGACAGATTAGTCTAAAGATCCAACCGGTTCGGTATAGCACACTAACCCAACTTTGCGACTATCCAGAGTTCAAAGTCCCACCCGAAGGACAATATACTACACGGATGGGATGAAATAGACAACGACTGCAGGAATCATACTAGGATAAAGCTAGCTAATTGATATGTCCATTGAAGTGCGACCGAAAATGATACCATGTCGTTAATGACTCTTCATCCCCTTTAGCCGGCGCGATAGCAATTTTATGAGTATCATGAACATACAGTATATGATTTGCTTTGTACACGGCGCACACTGTTAATAATTATGGAAAGACCGGAAACAAACCGCTGTACTCTTTACCCTTACCCTTCGATGGGTTATATTGCGAGACTTATAAGCTGAATGCGTCAATTACACTCAAGAGACTGAATTTATCTGAACCGGCTAGAGTAGCATTGAATCTCAATTTGTTTAAGTGGTTAAAAGAGTTGACTTGTTACCTTTTGGTATTATTGCAAGAAAGATTGTCATACAAAATGATGCTAGAGAAATAGGCATTTAGTAATATTGCTCACAAAATACATTGTGAGCAACGAATTTCCAGAGTGTGAGTAAGCTTAGCGGATTCTGTCATGCTTTCACTCGAAACCGGCGCGTCATAGCCACACGGCTGTTGGCTATATCAGTTGCAACCTCGTGGCTGATTGGGCACATCAGTTTGCAGCGGCGTAGCCAGTGGTGCACATTGCGAGCAACAAACAAAGGGGGGGCAAAACAGTTTGTGTCGGCTTCACGTCTATTCCAGATGGTGAGCAACACAAAAACTGGGCAACTGATGATGATAACCGAGTGACTCGGTTACTCAAAAATGGTGTCCTATTGAGAAGTGGCGCATCATTCGATACTCACTTTGCACTCTGTTTCAATGCAATTCCCAAGCTCGTAATGACTACAACGGTGGTGAGAAGGTTCGGCATGATAATTATGATTGGTGCTCCGCGATATGTTCTAGGTATTTGAGGGCCTTTGCTGCCGTAAGTTGCTATTCGACCTACAACCGTGAACAAACATATCGCATACGACGATCAGCCCATTAAGCAATCATTTGAGAACAAACCCATTATTCAAACTCCATTAGAATGGTTTATCCGGCCATCGAAGTTACTGTCGTCACCGTTGGAAATCGCACGATTGAAGATGAAACAACGGAAGATGGACAAAAGTACATGAAGGCGTTCCATGCCGCAGCTACAACTACCTCGCGGTTGCTGGGGCAGAAGTGATAAATATCCAGGCAAGGTTATTCATTTTATCGGTACGTTTCCAGTTTGGTGGGAGTAAAAGACATGCGCTAGAGAGTCAACTAATCATTCGCATTCATATTATCAGACTACGACACGCGCAAACAGCACGATGTCCACAAAGGCCTTATCAATGGACCTACACCACCGATTCTTCTAGATGTTCAAAGCGATGAGACTGTGTATGTTATTCACCCAAACACGAATGATCGCACCAAGGTTTACTATGCTCCATACACTACCGTCACCTTCTTCTGGGGAATAGATGAAGACAAATGGACCGATATTGCACCAGAATTCTTTGCCGCTGTGGCTAAATCGGATAGCTGCACTGGTTATATCTGGGGTGAAGTAGATAAGCCTATTCTTGCCGATTTTAATGCATATGCGTCGTTAGGCAGTGGAAAATGTGGGATCTTAATTACCGGCTGGCGCAGTAAAGGTCAGCACGACCGAGAGACGAAGGGTCAGCGCGTCACCAGGGCTTGGGACGCAATACAAGAAGCTTGCGTAAAGGCAGATGACTGGGGTACCAGTTTGAGGATTACCGAAAACACGGGTCATACTCACCAATGGACTACGCCTTTGCCTTTGAAGGACCGTTCTAGTTGGCTTCCTGCGGCTGGAATGATTTAGTTCAGGCAATTTAGATATCGAAATGCACACAATTGGACTAAAAGTACGTAGAACAATACAGCTAATTATCTGTATGCAGCGACGGTTGAATGAGAATAGAGAAGGCCCAGATTAATCCAGAATGTATTAGTCAAGAGAAAAAGAAACAGAATTGTCATCGAGGAAGTTGGTAAAGGAAGAGGAATCACCTTAACGTAGCAAGAGTGCGATAATGCAAGCCTGAAGTGAAGCACTGTTATATAACCCATGTATTTTCCAAGCAGCAGATATTAAACGTCGTTGTGCTGGATTCACATCTGTGCAATCAATCAGTAATCAGGCCGGTGTATGTGCAGGGTATCTCGGATAGAAGGAGGTTGAGTGGGGGATACGTAAGATGAAAAAGGTAGGAGTACACCTCTTGAATAAGATGCAATATATATATTTGTATGTAAATAGTTCATCCTCTCCGCTCAACGTCTGGATAATATTGAGGCGCTTCATGCCGATTGTACATCCCATAATCCCTTATAACTCTTCCACCCCTACATCTAGATACCTTTTCCGCTTCACATACTTTGAGAAATTCCGATGCAGCACTGGCAGTTGTAAACGACAGATAGGCTATAATATCGCCTGGGTCAAGCACAGCATCAAAAACATCCCATGACACTAAATTTTTGACCCTGTCTGGCTCCAGACGAAAATAGTCGAGGACCTCCTCGGGATTTGGGTTCTGCAGCCCCGTTTTGTTCATGCTAATTAGCACGATTGCCTCTGCGTCACCCGTGCGTGTGATGTCCAGCCTCTGTTCATGTATTTCATATCCTTCAGGTATGTGCGTGTCTGCTGTGATTTCGCATATTCTCAATCGATAGTCCAGAAATACCTCGTTCCTACCCTTCTCTTGAGCTCCATGGTGGCGCCCCTGAGTTCGCCATCTAACTAATGACTTTTCATCTCTCCAAGTAGAAAGTGACAAGATCCAGCCATATTTAGTTAAAGAGCCGTATCTTATATTATCGATGAAGCCGTCTATTTGCAGTAGTTCGGGCCTGAGAGCCTTCCCAATGTCAAGGTAGAGGGGCTTTTTCTCCGAAGAGGGGTGTACTTCAAAGAGCACTGTAAACATGGCGCCTGTTGGTGAATGCCGGGGCAGCTTTTGAGTATCTGTTTGTGAAACTGTGAATATTTTTGTAGAATTGTTTTTTTTATATAAAATTTCGCAACAACGATGAAAAGTCATTGAGTGTTTTCTTTTATACAGCAGCGCAAATTATAGAATGACAAGGCCTGGGTGAATTAATAAGGGCCCTGCAGGCTGGTGAACCCCGCGCCCGCCGTCCAAAAATTACAGATAATTCTTAAGTGGGGGTGGGGGCGATCGCATTGTGCGTGAAGTGCAAATTATTGTTGCTTTCGATATTGCTAGCTTATTCGTTAACTAGACGCAGCATTTCTTGCTTAGTCTCGTGTTGCTTTGGATATCAAAGCTCACGCATGACATAGTCGCTTTATCCATTATCCGAGGCATACCATTTTGACGTCATGCCTTCTTGTCATGCTCATTGACATTTGCGGGCAAAGCGCTCTAAGAAATATAACCCGTTCTACTTACTACGTATATATATATATTAATCATGAGCAGTAGAGAAGATACACCATTGCTTACTAGAATGTTGTGATAGAGATTAGCGACACATTGCAAAATTATGTCTCTGAAACATATTGCCACCAAAAATGCGCCAGGGGCACCAATCCCCGGACTGGTATAGTCATCATTCTTGGTGTTGAGTTGCAATTTGCTAACAAATGCTTTAACAGTTCTCTCAGGGTGTGAGAGCGGGTCCGTTCTTATGGACTCAGGGTACTCCAGGAGCCCTTCCAGATGGTACCATGGTTAAAGGGACGGTACGCATCAGACCATGACCTCAGTCTCATTTACAAAAATTCGTACTGATACAACTAATGCCCTACAGATTCAGGACCGCACAAGACAAGTAATTAAGAACCTTGAAGCGGTACTGGCTGCTGAGGAGATGTCATTGGGGGATGTGGTGAAGGCAACCATTTACATAAAGAACTTCGATGAGAATTTCCCTTTAGTCAACCAGGTTAGTCAAATGACATGCAATGTAGTGAGTGCATAAGTCGCTAAACGAGAACAGATATGGGAAGAGATGATGCCTGAGCCACGCCCTACTAGAACGTCATTAGGTGTTGCTCAATTGCCCGCCGGCGGAACCGACGTCGAGATCGAATTTGTGGCATATAAAGCTTAACTCAAGATATATTTTGGTAGAATCAAGCGTATTCTGGAAGTCATACCAGTGATATATTATAATCTTATCTGTGTAACACAAGAGCAATTCGTTACCAAACGGCAATCTGGGTTCATGATTTATACTTTCAAAGTCATTTTATTAGACAATAACGCGCATAATTATAGGCCAGAAATCCACTATTTGCTTAACGCTCCTATTGTTACTAATATTACAGTAATACCTGAGATGATGCGTCGAATCCAGGCATGAGGAAGCGACCGATTTTGTAATACTTGGCTCATTTTTCTTGATGAGATTGCACTGCTACTGGCAGTGCCAATCATCCATTACGTACTGTCAACCTTTGTGTGGCATCATATATTACCTCTTTCTTGCAAAACGCGATCAAGACGAAGCTATTTATAAGATATAGTCCTTATCCGGCCTGAGAACTCTCAATAATTGGACATCCCACATAGAGATTATATTGAAGTCCCCACGACCAACTTGCGAGCGGACATTTCCCATCACCGTAATTTAGGCGCCTGCAATGGAGATTCAGCGAATGTTCAATGTATTAATATACATCGTTTCGTATGACGTCAGCTGAGAACTAAAACGTATTGTCACCCCAATTATGGCGAAAAAAACTTAAGACTCCACGTGTAAGAAAACAGGATCAATTTACTTACATGATGCTGCCGTGTTACAAGGCATCTTGTAATCTGTAAGACAAGAAGCAAATTGAACTAACACCCTCGCATTAAGCTTCAGGACTGTACACAGAGAATGGGTTATAGGGCAGTGAGATTCCCATTGGACTAATGATGAGCTATAGAGTTATAGAGTAATTTCGGAACTTCCAATACAATAATATTAATTTACGTGCGTTTTTGAACAATTTCATTCTTTCCGCAAATACGATACCAGTATTTTGAGGCTGTTTAATACATGTTGTGACAGTAGGCTGTGACTGAGACTACGAAAAGAAGTAGTCAGTCAGTGTAGGATTCCGAATGCCCATGATGCCCTGCGCGGGTGCCACTGATACTACCTATTTAGAACTGACAGCGAGCACAGAGGCGTACGTTTCGTTCGGTGGCTTCCGAGTAAACCAATCATCTAAACTACTACCCGCAATTTTTAGAGAGACTGGCACAGCACTCCATTTCGTGTTGGCGGGCTTACCTCGGAAGCAGACCTTTTAAGACTTCACGATTCAATAGCAAAACCATCAACGAAATACTGATTAGTCGATAGCTCCACAGAGAAGACCGGTCAAGGATGGATTTGGTGGTATTGGAGCGTCATTGGGTCGTTATTGCTGCCTAATCATTTCTAAAGCCCCCACTAAGCAGGTTTATAAGGAGTGGTCAGATCAGGTCAGACAATTAGAGGACGCGAGCTTGATAATAACACCAGCGACTAGCAAAAATGCCCGGCCAGTGGAAACAATTCATCAAATCCGTTCACGATGATGATTGGACAAACGTCACAGACAAAGCAGAAAGGAAACGAATACAAAATAGACTTGCTCAAAGAGCCCATAGTTCGTAGATGCTGCTGTCTCCAGAAAGATTCTGATATCCCAACCAAAACTAAAACTTTTAGGATCCAAGTATGGGCGACGAAGAAAGTCCAGAGCAAAAGGAATTGCAGGAACTTCGGCATCCAAAGAAGACGAAGCGGTTTCACATACTCATAATGATTCTGCACAAGAGCTACAACTGAAAGACGGTACTTCCGCAGAAGGGTCAAGATCCGTTTATAGAAAAGCATTGCCTGTTTCCGCCTCTTTACCCACGCATACTTTGATCTCAGCTATCTATGGCGATGACTTGCAAACAAAAGGGCGCCATCAACTCGTGACGTAGGGCTCTACCTCACTTTAGCACATCTTTACTATCTCATTCTGGAGTACTAATAGTGACTAGAATCCAAGAAGACGGAAATCGAAGCGTTATACCCATATCATCATTGAAAACAGATCTAGTTATCAATCTTCAAGGAATGGCGACTCTGGTAGCTCTATTGACTAACAGATATATTCTTGCCATTGATTGTAGCCGGCTTGTTCCTGCCATTCATATCCAAACCTCTACTCCCACTCCTTCTGCACTTACGCCGACAGCGCTTCAAGCTTGCAAACCCCATCTCCCCTTTATTGACCTCCTCCCATTTCCCCAGTTCCGAGACAACCTTCTACGCGCTGGAGATGTAATTGATTCTTACGAGTTCGGGATGATATGGTATCAGGCAAGTTAAAGGTCTGGGGGAAGACTCCCTGGGACCGGAGAGGCTGGGAAATGCAAGAAGAATTTGCGACAAAGTGGAGCTGGCTGGTGGCAGATGATATCTTGGAGGAAACGAATTTTTGGAGAGTATCTAGAGGTGAGGAACCTCTGCTGCCTCGCTTACTATAGGGACCATGATCTACCAGCCATTAAAGAATTTGCATGTTTCTCAAGTAGCCGGTAATAATAAACCAAGAATCAAGTTCTGAGTGGTCGTATAATTGCTGTATTAGTCCTAGCTGGTGGGCGGAATGCATCGTTAAGATGTTCATGGACTTTACTCTCATATATGGCTACTGTAGGGGTAAATATCCGCTGTTAGACCTGTCACTCTTTCTAGTCTTTTACACCATAGTTTAAGAGAAAGCCAGCGACGAAATGCTGACTGTTACATCCAAGTTCGAGCAAGAGTTTGCTTATAGTAAAAAACGCTGGCGATGTAATTAGCTGACAGTCTGACCCCTCATCTGACTGCATTAATAATGCCTTTGAGGCTACGCTACCCGCATATCGGTCTGGCCATTCTGACCACAATCCGCACTGGAGGTAAGCTGCCAGGAATGAAAGCTCTCAATTACAACTATGGGATCCGCCAAAGATATGCTTTGTAAATATTGTCATCGTGGATAGATCAGGTAAAAGAAGCTGCAATGGATTGCGTTGCATCAATTCTAACCGCAGATATCGTTGTTGTACCGAAAAGCTAGGTCAGAGAGCGGCTGGATTTATAATCTCTCGGTTCAGTTTATAAGTTTCCTTGTCCCCAGGCGCCATTGCAAAACTCAACCATCACCATCAACCTACTGGATCTTTATCTCTCAGCACAATCTCCCGGTGGTAGATATCCCCCAATATGTCAAATAACCCAAAATGGCTGAGCGCGCCGTCATCGGCCCAGACAGTTACGGTTCGCCTTATAGAAGAGGTTGGGATGATGACGCTTCCGTCGGCGTTGTTCTTGGACCCGGTATGTGAAGGGCATGAGGTTATGAACGGAGCTGATTTGGTTTTTTTGATCGAAAACAAGAAGCTGGGGAAAATGGCTGTTTTTGATTTGGGTGTCCGAAAAGATTGGTGGAATCTACCATCTAAAGTTCGAGATCCGCTTGCGTTTTGCGTAGGCGTCAAAGTTGAAAAGGATGTTCCTGAAGTGCTGAAAGACAGCAGTATATCATTAAATGATATAAACGATGTCATTTGGAGCCACTCTCACCTTGATCATAGAGGTGATGTGTCGCTATTTCCTCCTAGCACCACTCTTAACTACGGAAAAGAAGTGGGAGCTTTAAAGCCTGATGTCAATGGCGAGGCAGAAGCCGTCTTTCACGCATCAGATTTCGCTGGACGCCATAATAACGAAATTGACTTCAGTCAATCTACCTTCAAAATCGGAGGGTTTCCGGCGCTTGATTTCTACGGTGATGGATCCTTCTATCTGCTGGACACCCCGGGCCATGATCACGGCCACCTAAGTGCCCTGGCCAGAACCACGAGCACAGCGGCCGGACATGATAAAGATACATTTATCCTTTTAGCGGGAGATGCATGCCATTTCTGCGGCGTATTGCGACCCAATGCGTCCCATCCGCTCCCAAGTCGCCATTTTCCCGACTCCAGCATTGGGCTTTCCGGTATCGAGAGCCCAGAGGTGTTACTGAAAAGGCACCCTCAGTTCCCGCAACCGTCTGGTGCAGTAAATGAAGCAGCTCGCGTAACGCCATGGTACGGTGTTGCGACGGGCCAACTTTCCACATTCGTCGACCCTATAGTTGGTCAAAATACGGCTAATCAAGTAAGAGAGGCATTCGATGAAATGGACAACGTTTTTGTGGCAGTTTGCCATGATCTTGGCCTACTAGTCCAAGACAACGGAAAGCCGGTGCTGCCCTCGTTAAACAAGGCCCCGCAAGAAGATCTCAACAGCTGGTACGAGAGAGGTTGGAAGGATAAGGTATACTGGACTTGGGTCAATCAACTGGGTAAAAAGGATGAACATGGAAGAGTGCAGCCGCAAAAGCCATCGGTGATTGGATTCTGGATGTATGGGAAGCGATACGACAAGGCACAAGATTTATTCGAAGAAGCGCGCAAAGTCAAGACAGTCTGAGGGCATAACGTTCAAGCTTCCATTGTACGTAGCATACACTATTGGCGGTGGGGGTTTATATAAGGACTATAGAGCTCTTACAGCGCCAACAGCTAGAGACATAGGAGCGGGAGACAGCCCTATGTTATCCATGCTCTATATTTCCCATTGGCGTCTCAATAAAATGCGGTATGATTTTACACTTCAACCATCTTTGTTTATTATGCTTCACGATCAGAGTAATGGAAATGCACGCGACCCGTCGTATTTGCATTGGATGACGGCGCTGGATGCGGATGCCATACGGCCGCTGCCGATAGGCCTATTGAAAATAATGTAGCCTATGAAATATATAAAGGACGAGAAGTTTGGTGTGTTGTGTGTGATGCGCTTTTCAGACTGGTCAATTAACAAAATTCCATATGCTTTTTAGACGAGCAAGTCAGATATACAGTTGTAGTACATACTAAGCTAAGCCCTCTTCTTTATGAACAACATGACACCATTAATGGTCCCCCGCATTCTTTCTTTCCCTTCTTCCACACCACTTTCTCGTAGCACACGTTCAATTCGTCTCCGAAGAATCCTCACGACATCATTCTCGGTACCAACGGCGTCCGGGTGGGCTTGGCGCCATCGCGTCGTGGGGCTGCCACTTCCGACGATTTTCTCAAATGTGTCCAAATCTACTTCAGACTCCCCTACCACGAATTTCTCCCCTGCTGCCCAATTTTTTCGTACGAAACTCTCTTTGTCAAATGCTTCAACTGGTTGCGCGATTGACCATGGTAAGCCGAGTTCCGCATACCCGCTGCGCACCATGTAATTGCCGGGCACATGGAACGGCTTCAGATAAGTTTCCGTATGCTCGTCGAAAATAGCTTGAAGTGCAGCAGCATTTGGCATAGATGGGTGAACGCGTATTTCACCACTCGTCCATAGCGCGACTGTGCCACCAGGTTTGAGGATGCGGGCGGCTGCTAGCCAGAACTGTGGCATGTCAAACCAATGGGCAGCATTCGCCGCTGTGATGAGATCGACGCTTGAATTGTTGATGGGTGTGGTTAAATGTGCACCAAGATCTTCTGCTGTCGATATCTCAAACCGAATAGGCCGTGATGCGGAGGAAACACCGCCAAAGCTGCGGGCAGTTGCAACCATGCCTTGTGAGGGGTCGAGTCCAATGGCATTGGCAAAGTACGGAGCAAGTCCTCGTGTAGCAGAGCCAGGCCCACAGCCAACATCAACAACGGTGTCGAATTGACCTCCTGTTGCCTTGTGGTGATTGACAATTGCCTGATATACACCAGGGTCATAATCGGGGCGGGCATGAGCGTAGGCTATGCCTTGTTTCTGATCATATGAACTGAATGTCGTTTCAGTTACTGGGAGCGCGAATTGCGCATCGGATAGCTGAGAGGACATGGTTGATTGTGGGTTTATATGGCGCAAAGGCAGAGCAAGTGTATGGGTTTAAAGAATATTAAATGTCCCATTTGTTGATGGTGATTCATGAAGAGATGGCTCCTTGCGAAAGATATACGTCGCGAAATCCGGAGTAAGTAGGTCGGGTTTGGCGAAGTCCGATCAGAGCTTACGCATTTATGTGGGCAGATAACCATACAAACACATATCAAGTCCGTACGGAGCAATCCTTCGAAGTGGCTATATTCCGTATCTCCTTTGTATGGAGAACTTTGTTAAAGGGAAGAAGACGTACGGAATACGGAGTGAACCGGCTCCGTGCTCCGTACTCGTACACCTATCCGAAATACTAGCGTGCTAGTGAGGAGATGCTCGTAAGCTACCTAAAGGCTTGAATCGGGCAACCTCCATGGATGAATCTTGAAGAATCTACAGTAAGGGATAACATTCTTGTTTGTCGAATCTTTCAATGATTCGCGATTATCAACGTATGGAAATTAATTATTGTAAAATTTTCATCTGGCGTAGCTGCTGGGATTGCTTACAACGAACGATCATCATTGTCGCACCGGGCCTCTCAGCCGACCTTCTATGAGTTCAACTTACCAAGAATCAGGCCTGGTATTGATGCAGAGGAAATGAGATGTGGGCGTACATAACAAGAGCAGCATGATAAACATACCAATGAGGTTCTACTGTCTATTTATGGAATAAATAGACTTGAAATGTCAATTTTTAATCGTTATTGTTCTTGATTAGTATGCAGTCTACAGCTTGGCTGCGGTGAGTGGGTTGTATGGATGGTCAATCACCGAGGCCCCAGATTGATCCTAATCCTAAATGGGTGTCGCTCCATATTAACAGCTTACTCGAATCTTTCGTTGCCGAGGTTGGGCGGTACTCTTGTTCATATATAGTCAACTGACCAAGCTGAGTAGTACATTTTGGGAATCTCCTTCTTCCAGCATATTACCAGAAAACACAAATTGGACCTGCGCGATAATGAAATCCTCATCCATGGCCAGGGTAGCTTTGCTGACTACCGCAAGAGTAAAGGATGATGAGACGAAGCAGGTTCGTAATTTTATATCTTACCTGTGTTGGTAGGAATTATTGCCAATCACAGTGCACTACACAATGTCACGTTGGAACGCTAAGTTGATGCACGCACAGGTTGTGAATGGTCTGCAACAGCTTAGTGCCCATCTCCAACTCCCTAATACACCATGTATAGCAGGAGCGTGCTTTTGGTCCGCGGCCAAGAAAGGTTCGTAAACGCAGTGTGTCGAATAATTATAAGTAAACGGGGTTTTTATTGATCTGGAGATTTAGAAACGGGTGCCAAACTCATCGGTCGCATGGAAATTTTCCCTAGTGCGAACGAATTTGCTACTGTTCAAAACTCACCCGAATATAAGCGTTTCAACGACTCGGTCACCGGCCAAAAGTTTCACGAAGGCAAGGAGACTGCCAATTTATGGCAACCTACCGGCGGTTTTCTGACACGGAAGAACCAAGCCTCGACAACAAACGCCGGTGTACTTGTTCTAGCCAAGTTCACATGCAATGACAACGAGAAGGCTGTTCAAAATCTCGTGAAAGAGTTGCAGTACGCATGATACTTCTCCCAATTGAGGACAGCAATGAGCTGTATTTTTAAGCTAACCTTTTTAGAACATATTGTGAGTGGATCGAGGGCAACGAGTTCACGACATACACATATTGCGTAATGACAAGTCAAACTGCAAACAATGAAGTTTTGCTCTTTGAGCGTTATAAGGATCTTCCTTCCGTCAAGGCCCATGGCCAAACAAATGAGTTCAAGTCTATGTTGTAAGTTTAGTCGTAGCAACTTAAATATCCTCTGCCCATGGATGGGGGAAAGTTTAGTATGGAGCTAATGACTATTGAAGCAAACGAATTTCGCCTTGGATCGAAGCAAAGCGTACCGAAATAACTCCATGGAGCGAATTAGACGGTTCTTTTTTCTCTTCCTTGGATTTAGGAGCCACGGCGAAGCTCTAAAGATAGCTAGATAATCGTTATAATGTTGTATTTGCTCCTGTCTTCTATTCCAAGATTGACAACTGTGACTATACTCTGGCACGTTTCGTTGCCTCGATTTAGTTCAACCGATGACCTGAAAGGTATGGACATTCCCATGCAGGGTTGCCTTTGTGGATAATAAACTATCACGCGACACGGAGCGATGCGTACCATTTGGTACTGCTGCACTCTGCATACCACCTCTATCATTTACCTGTAGTAAGGGGTTATTCTAGTTGTCGAGTGTCAGTGTTACTCCGGCATATGCGTGTAATATTGGTATTCCCGGCTGTTCTTCTTTGACAAATCGGTTGGGTTAACAAGTTTCTCAAATTGAATGGCGTTGGAAGTCCCAAATGACTTAGGGAGTTGGTATCATTCCGAAGCTGTATGCTAACAACGATTTCAGTAACACACATTGGTAATGGTAGTGGCCCATATGAATTGACGATCTATGAAAGTGTTTTTAGTAGTACTGTTTGGATGGAAGTACCTGTGATGTCACATACTTTGCCAATAGACTTATATCAAATGTCATACCATAACTGTAGCTTGGTAGAAGCGTAACAATCAATCCATCAAAATAGTATATAGCATGTTAAAGTGGCTCATCCAGAATTAATCACCTTATACTATAATAGCGAATTCGATTCAATAGCCTTTTCGAAGCCGGAGGCGTAAAGAGACTTGATCCTCCCCCAGGTGCCTCAATTTGGTGCTGTATTATAGCTAGGTTGCTGGGTAGCCAGCTGTAGGATGTCAAGTAGCTGCTCTCTTTATTTATTCATCTTTTATTGATAATATTACACATGGCATCTGCTGCGCTATACCCATGCGGACAAGCATGGAATCATGATACTATTACTTTATGATTTCTTTACAGTAGACCTTCGGCTCTGGACAGCAACCTTGTTTAGTATTGGTGGGTTTTTGTATTAGCCCGTACCCTTACTGGCTTAGTTAGGTGTCAAAAGATTTCTCCAGGAGCCTATGCTGCAGCTAAATGAGAGATACTCCGTAGTTGAGAGAGATACCCCGTAGTGCTGACATGAACCCCCCTGGGGAAGCCGACCATCCGACGTAAAAATTTGGCGGGGCTCCATACTTGGAGTGTGTCACACACCAGTTAAACGGGGGAAACTCCTCCATCTCATCGCCATTGGTGCATAATTACTGGCAAGAGCCATTTAGTATTACGCTCAAGCACAGTTGATCCCTTCAATGCGGCTTGTTTCGTTATAATAAGCGCTGCAATTGCAATTATTAGCCTAATATTTTACGCTACTAAGGTAAAGAATATCGGCCCATCGGACATTCACTGCACTAGAAGGACAATAAGCAAAGTTTTTAATTCATTACCATTCAGTGATACCTCGACATAGAAAGTATAAATAATTTACCGAGTTGTAATGGATGGTTTAGTGAATAGTTACGCCTGAATCTGCAGTTCAAAGTAAGAAGATATTATGATATTATAGCGTAATGTATAGCGCAAGGTATCGATAGGCCACTGCGGCAAGCCGGGGCTGCTTGTCCCTGTCCCTGCCATTTAATCCCCTGTGAGTTCATATGAATTTCCCCGTGGTCGTAATACTAGTCACGAACGACTGATCAAGCGGCAAGCGATAAATATTTGCCTAGCCTCATGGGTTCGAATGTTCCATTATCTTGTTTATTACTACCTATGTTGACTCAAAGCAACTTTCTCCTGCGTGGAGCAGTACAGTCGGTCTCTATAGGTATATATATTTAAAATTACATTTACAGCAATGGGCTAGCAAAGTAAATAAAGGTCCTAGAAAAGTCATTCTTGGTTGAGAAGAGGCGGGGTGTATTACTCTGTAAACCCTTGGTGATAAAACACCCTCGTTAAAAGCAGCCATCTCCATGTGGAGTATCAGGGTCGCATTTTCGATGAAAGCGTCTACATCAGCTTACTCTGTTGCAGATTACGAGCTGTATCTATAGCCTGAAGTGGGATCTCGCTCGTATTCCGATATTTGGACAAGCCTGTTTCCCGACATAATGTGCAATAATCCAAGGCAATATGTACAAACAGGTGATAATACCTGACTTGGATAGTTGTCCGTGTTGTCATAGTTAAATGCGCCTATTTACTTACAGTCTCGATTCGTTTATACGCTACTTCAGCTTCCTTTTTTGGGTCTGCAAAAAAAAGAAAGTGGGGAGAATCTTGATCTCATTGAAACCAGTACTTCTCTCTGTTTCTGGTATTGGCATTTTTGGAATGTTTAGCTCAGTGGCCCTGTTCATCTTGGAACCTTTACAGTGATAGGTTTTACTTGCTACCGTTATGCGAAGGAAAAAAACTCCTGACAAACGTCTTACCTGCAGTGTCTAATAAAAGCTTTGTTATTCGGGGAGAGTAGTTTGAAGATGGATACCCACATATCGCACGCAGAATATCGCTTTGACGTAAGCATTCCTAATCAAATAGTATCCCTATTACTTATTGCTACTTAGTCTAATATTTACCCGGTTTGAGACGCAACCTTTGTCAATACATCAAGGTACAGGGGGTTTTTGAATAAGCCTAAAGCCGCCTGCATTAGCTCTCTCAAAGAAGGATCATGACACGCGGTGATCAAAAGGACAGACACAGGGGGAACTATGAGCACACAACTCTCCTATCACTACACAAGCGGCAATAATAAAACCTTGCCAACTACAAGCATGTGTTTATTTCATCACTGTATGCGTATCTTGCTTTCTGGTTGAGCGTTTCGGGTATTTACTAGCATGGGTAAGGATTGAATATTGAATGTATGCATGGAGCTATGTCAATACGAATCCAAACCCAAGTTTCGTTTCCTAGGAAAGAAAAGTATAAATAGGAGGCTCAAGGTCGTATCCTAAACCCTCTCAATCACATCAATCTTCTTTCACATTGCAATTAAAATCAGCCCGAGAACAACTATCTTTTCACGAATCCGCCTTTATACTATCAAAATGAAGACCGTCACCGTCCTCCTTGCCCTCGTTGCTGCTGCATTTGCCGCACCTGCCCCAGTTGAAGAGCCAACTCTCGCCAAGCGTGGCTGTGCTGCTGGCGATATCTGCATTAGTGGTACTTGCCACGTTTGGAGCTGTGGCCCTGTTGGATGCTCCGTTGGTGGCTCTCTTGGTACCAGCTGCTAGATCGTATGGTAATATTGAACTTGACTACACCAAGGAAAACTTTCATAGACTGACCAAGTCAATAGGTGAATGAATTTCTCTTGCAGGGTTGAGAAGGATACATCGTAAAATAGCATTGCCTGGAGTAGTATATTAAAGCCCTGGCGAGGATAATAAACCTCTGATCTCTATAGAAGATATCGTGTCAGACTATCAAGGAACTACTCAATTTGTGATATAACTGACTTTGCTGTCTACTACGCTGAAACACTGAGCCTTATTTATGAAATACATGTGATTTACTAAGCCTCATTTTCTGGAAGCCTTGATGTATAAATACCTTTCAATAATAAAACGAATAAACAACAATGTATAAGCGCTGTGAGGATGCTATATATATACCTATTGGGAGCTATAGTTGCTTTTCTTTACATACGAACAGGTGCAGCATGATGTGACGAATAAGGCAGTCTCTATACCCCTCAAATTATTCCCCTCTAACCCCAAGGACCTCGGAACCGCTTAGATGTATCCATTCTAAAATGTCCGGTCAAGGTAGTATTTCCTGCCGTATCCAACTTCAGCTGTGCATCTTTTTCTTCCCGCCTCAATTGATCGATATGCCGAGCACTAGTTGCAAGCAGCGACCGGACTTCGTGGTTTGGTAGATGTGCCAGACTTTGCTGATCGCCGCGTGTAAGCCGTGACAATTGAGTGTGAGGCTGTGCTGTAGTATCATCATCTTGTACTCGAACAACATGTGATGGATGTGTTGGTGTCATTAGCTGTGATGCTGCAGCGTCTATGCGTCTTTCCCCTGTCTGGCGGGCTACTGTCGGCACAGCTGGTCCAGATGCTCTCGTACGGTGACTGAGGATTTTGCCTGATGGTAGTCGCAATAATTCTTCATCGACATGATACTCTAGCGTGGGAATGGTGTAAAAATCTGCAGTGTCTGAGGTGACGTTAAATCGGCAATGCCCTTTGGCTATCATATGGTGCTGAATCCCTTCAACAGAACTACGGCACGTGGCGCAAAGAATGCACTCGCGATATCCGTAAATAACTAGATGCAAATATCCGATAAGCGTATCACGCTCGACTATCAGATCGACTTCATGAGGTATAGTGAAACTGTGTTCCGTTGACATATGCGCGAGATTGTCCTTGAAGGTGTCATTTTTCGTTCCACAGAAGAGACATTGTCCAGGGTTAAACCCTGGCTCTACAGAAACCTCTGCATCGACTTTGTCGGGATCGTCATCCAAATAATTGTTGCTCACTACATCGACGGCTTTTTGGGCGTTTAATGCCGAAGATGCCTTTGAGCTTGATGACGAAGATGGCCGTGCCACGACTGTTCCGGGTTCTGCAACTCGCACGCGAAGATTGTAGACACTATAAGAAAAGGTTAACTCATCTCATCATGAACGTCCGTGTAGAATTAGCTCATGAAACGTACTGCCAATCGCTCTTTGCATGCTGTCGCCAATCAGTTGGGCTGGCTAGCGCGATGTTGCATAGCCGACAAAAGGATGGGGATTTGTCTTCCATGGTGGCGGTGAGTGGATCGCAGGTAGCTCCAGTGTCGAGAATGTTGGCGGTTTATTAGTGGCCTAGCTAGTAGGTAGAAGGTAAAAAGAGACGGAGGCGACCAAAGGAATTGGGCTATTGTTTGTGATAGAAGCCAGTGAGTTGTACTACAAGATCGGGAGGAACATTTCGGAACATAGACGCATATATATGTCTTCATGCATCTCCCCAATTTCACAAATACGGCAAAAAAGCACTTGTGACTGTACTTTGCCCTGTCAAACTTCCATGCTCGTATTGCCCGAGATTGGCGTCAGTCATTCAATAGCATCTGTTTGACTCACAGCTTGGCCTACTTGGATTGCTCCAATCTTGTTAAACATCAAGCCACTATGAGTCATATCATGATTCATTCATTTTGGGTACAAGCGGCGCGTAACATGATCTCGGGTGCGGGGCAATCTAACCGCGGGATTGTTCTGTTGCCGGGCGCTAGAACACCACGGCCCCAAAGCCACGTACAGTAAAATATCGCGAACTGGTTGGTCGACATTAATTTCCTAAGCGGGAAACCTCTTCATCGTTCGTTTGTGCTAGTGGCAAAGTTCAACTATTGATTTGTAAGGTCCTCGACTACTCCTTCATTGATACCTTCCCTGGAGTTCTATACACCCTGCTGCCAAGACCATACAATTGGCTACCAGTATTGCATTGAGTGTACGAGATCAGTCTGAGCCGCTGCGTGGTTTTATCGGAAGTTATATTTTCCTACCGTTTGCTATATAACGTCTCAGGCCGAGCGAGGGGTCCCCAATTGCGGTTCTTGTGTGTTTATTAAAAAAATTTTACCATTGCTTTTCAAGTATCATATGACAAACGGCGTGATAAAAGTTGCCAACTCATGGGCGCCGGTTGGTTATAAGCACGTTTGACTATTCCCATCATTTCAAGCTTCAGGCAGGTCGGTCAGATAATAAATAATGTCTTAACCAATCCGCATGCTACCTAGATTTCATGAGACTATAGCCAGCGACGATGATCATCATGAAGAACATCGTTAAGGAGGATGTGATAATGGTCAGAAGGAATGTTGCAAAGCAGTGGCCCATGCCATAATGCTAGCGCCAATAACAAGGCCTATGACAAGGCTAATACCCTGTAGGAGGGGATTCCCATGAGTGCACACAACCCGCAGTATCAGAATGGCGATACGAATTGAAGTTACAATAACTTTCGTCACTTCCGAGGAGATGAACCCATCTCATCAGAGATACCTATATCTTCGACCTCAGCCTCTGGAGCAATAGTGGACGCTTCAAAGCACAAAAACTACCAATCAGCTCAACTTGGCCAGCATGCATGTAGGCAGGTACCGATGAATAAGCGCCAGCTGCTGCCCCGGTGTATGGAGGCTTAATGCAGACTCAAATGATCAAAGAAGTGATGAAGAGCGTCATGTTGAGTAAAGGTCCAACTGTCTCTCGGGGAGAAAGGGGGGGGGGAAAGAAGCCAAAGATCAATTGATGGAGGATACAAATCGCCAGAGGAATAATATCTGTTCAATTTAGCTGAATCTAACCAGCTAGAATTGGAAGTTTCAACACAATCTCTAAACATCCTCAAAAGTAAAATTCGCTCATCTGCCAATAAAATCGTTGTGGTGTTTGTGAATGTTGGCTAGTGGTATGGATCTGAACGCCATTAGAGCTAAAACTCTAAGATTGACATATGGCTGAGAACGATGCTTCGGCGTTAATATAGCCTGGGGCCAAGCAAAGTGAATTTGTAACCTTGATACATAAGTATAGTACTCAAATTTAATAAATGCCGAGATATAGACATATTGCCGATCCATTTCTCTTCAGGTAGGCAGGAATTATGATCGAAAATTACTCGAATCGCGAATTATCGCTTGGCTTAACTAGCAGTCAAAACAGCAAAAGAGAAGTACCATAAAAGGGTTCCCTGATATTCTATTGCCTATACCTAGCTACAGACGTTTAAATTGTAGTATTTTGAGTAAATCATATTGCACTATTGATCCATAAAACTGTCCTTCAGATGACACGACCGTGGACCCGTATATATCAATTAGGTATCATCTAGAATGGCCTACCACTCCGTAATGATTGATGGCTAAAATACAAAAACAAGCCGTTCTTCTTCCAATGCCTTTTGAACACTTGGTCTTTGTAAGATCTTTTGGCGATATCGTACCAAGGAGGGCCATTCGGCCAGGTCAACATCATCGAAAAACCTTGTCCACGAGAGCAAAGTCCAAGCGTAGCAGTCTATCACACTGATCTCTTGCCCAAGGAGAAATTCCTTTTCGCCCAAGGTGTCCTGCAATATTGTGAAAGCCCGCCCCAAGTCTTTAATGGCCCATTCGCGGTGTTTTGATGACATATCGGGATTAAATAACGGAGAGAACGCTTTGTGGATCTCTGTCGTAATAAAATTCAGTAATTCGACGGCTCTCCAACGCTCCAATCCGCTCTTGGGAAGAAGATCCCCCTTCTGTGCTGCAGGGGCAAGCTCCCACGCGATGTATTGAAGAATCGCCTGAGTTTCCGTCAAGATACATCCATTTGGAAGTCCAATAGCGGGTACTTTTTGCTTGGGATTCAAAGATATGTAATCGGATGGAAGTGCTTTTGTGCTTTTAATTTTCAGACCCGTAGGCGATCGTTCAATCTCACGAAGGTTGAGTGAGATGTTCGCTTCATGGCAAGCGATATGGACTGCTAGAGCACATGTATCTGGAATGAAATAGAAATCCATTTCGAAAAAAGTATACAATAATACAATGCGGTTAGGTATATGGAATTGGAAAGCTGCATATTTCCAACATACTTGGCTGAGTAGACATCTCTTTATATTATCGTTAGAAGCATTGAAGCAGATATTGTATCCATAGTCACAAACGTAAAGAGATCCGAAGCGTTTGTAAAGCTTTGACTAATCTGAGAGCATGATTTGTCAGTTATTGTATAAGCGTGAATAAACAGAGGATCTTTTTAGTTGATACGTGTAGTGTAGACTCGGAATTAGTGCATTTCTGGGTCGCTTTATTCCGATTAGATCAATAAAGCCGATAGGCTTCTTCATTCCTATAACTTATATGATGGATTATTGGTAATTGCAATTTAAAGGATTACGTATGAAGGCTATATTTAGAGTTGAGAAGGCCAGTAAAGCCGTAGTTGTTGGTTCAGAGGAAAGCTAAGACCTAGCCTTTGGTTCAAAACCCAGAGTCAATCCGTAGCAACAGCCGACCAAGCCAAGTCTTCAACATTCATCCCACAAAGTATGGCCAATGATGCTTGATGATCAAACGTCAATTGCGCAAAAATGCTCGAACAACATGGTCCAAGAACTGCGCAAGCTTCAAGCCCGCAAGTTATTATTCAATGGCTCAACTACGCCAGATAAGATCGTTTCGTCGGGCTATTAAAGGCAGTGATAATCCTCGAAGATGGGTTACGCATTCTTTTCGAGACCAAAAGATGGCTTCATGGACAACGCAACCATTGGCGACACTTATACAAAAGCGAAGAACCCCGGCAGCAACTACCACGAGACGTGTCGATAGGCGACTAAAGTCTACCACAAAACAACCACCGTAGCTAACGGCGATAATAAACCGGCTGCGGCGATAGCCAAGATAATGGCTGCTACTACGAAAACCCCCAAAGAGAAGGTAAATGGAATACATATATCTACAAAAGCTTCACTGGCTGATTGTGCCTTAAATGCAGAGCTGAGGTGTCTACTGTAATATCTCTCTCGCTGGATACTACTGAAACAACTTTACAGCATATTTTCTTTTGCACATGGCACTAGTTCTGATGGCTTTCTTTCTATGGTGAGATGTTCAATGGGTAGAAAGAAAACCGTACTTTAGCGATATTGGTAAAATAAAGTTGTAACATTTAAATAATATAGTAGTTCTAACCAGGGGAGAATTTGTTCTGCTTATGACGACTACATCAACAAGATATGAGTTATAGAGAGGCTGATGTTTGGTTGTTTGTTTTATTATTAGCGACCACTGCGTAAGCTAGTCAGAGAATCCTCATGTGAGCACTAGGTAGGTATGAGCCGCCGGGCCTGACCCGCGTTTTTTACGTGTCTTCTGAACAAAGGAAAGGAGTTTCTAGGTTGTGTTCATGAGTGTGTCACTTTGGAAGGGTTAGGGCTTGTATCCCTCACTAGTTTCTCGAAGGCTTTGTAGCCCTTCGGGCCAAGTATAGGTAGGTAGTCCAATTGTATTACCCCTTTGTCGTAGTCTTTTTCTGGAACATCGGGCAGGACCTGTCGGCATTTCATATAGGGAATCTTCCGAGATAAACACTTATTAGATTGCTCCAATTGAAGATTTCTAACAACGGATCTGCGAGGTTACTCCCAGTATATCGAAGCACGCAAGTCCATCAATCGATGTATAGTTGGAACCCAGTCAGTTGATGTCGCCAATAATCGTTTTACAAAGGTACGTGATACTGCCTAATTACTAAATGAAAACATTCCAAAGTATTCAAATAAAGCGATCCTCAGTTACATTACGTTAAATCAGGCCTTAGTAGCTTACACTAAGTGCCTCATAGCTTCTAAGTTATCATTACGCATGAGTTAGTTAGTTGGTTTACCATTGTATCTAAGTCAATAAGACTCAATGTAATAATGAGCTTTGTTGTTTGCAAAGGGGTTTGTTGATCAGTGGCTGGACTATAAGCTCTAACCTAACAAAACTCAATGTAACAATAAGCTTACAGTTAAATGGGGGTTGGTGAAGTAGCGGTGTATCGCATGTTCTAAACTGGCAGAATTTGATGTAACAATACGATCAGCATTTTCAAGTACAGGCTGTGTAATATGATCGACATCTTTAGGTACAGGCTGTGCAATCAGGAGTATATAAACTTAACTTATAAACTTGTTATTTATTGATTTCTCCATTAGCGGCGTATAAAAACGTTAAATTTAAGTTACAAACCTCAGCAACTGATTATTCTTTCTTCCAGATGAACAAACTTTTCAATCTCTTATACTTCGGTTACCAAATTCAACATATTCTTTATCAATCTTATTGCGTCGGCAATCTTATTCATGCCTGCAGTTCTTGCTGCGTCGCAAACAGGACAATGCTTCCTTGGTGGTGCTTTTAACGCTGGAAGCTGTCATTTTATCGGAAACGGAGGCGTTTTTACGGGTACTTGGTCGGATTGCCCTGTAAGTAGTTTTTCTGTATCTTGAGTTTCAAAAGCGATTCCCCAAACTTTTACTAATACCATGTCTTATAGACTAGCAGTCCATGCAATAATAATAACAACTTCTGCCAAATGGATACTCTTAAAGGTGTAACTACATGCTCGTAGTATCACATACAAGAGTGTGGGCTTCACATGAGCAGTAGAAAGCATATGTTTGCCTAACGGGTTAATATGTTGATTACTTCCCGAGAAAGTCAGCCATATATACTGGTTAACTTCTATCTCGTTCTTTCAATATATAGGATAGCTTGGTCATATAAACATTTCATTACAAAAAGACTGAGTTCTATATCATGACAAGTTGTCAATCTGCAGTATATTACATGTCAGGTCTTATGTATGTTTCAACAAATATATTAACCTGATATATCCGTAGCAATGATGAGTAGTATCATCTCGTTTTGATAAAATGTTTGACAGGATGACGCTTACCCAGACGGGCGGGTGCAAGGGTTGGCACGGGACTACAAAGGGTGCAATGTTTAAGCTGCTTCCATGCTCCTGTCAGAAACACCTTGATTAGTTTGTATATACCATTAGCAACTCTAGCCAAGTGATGGTACAGAACAAATGTCTAGCGATTATACAGAACAAGTCTTGAGTGATTATATATGCCTATCAAGACGCTTTTTTGCGATAGTTCAGTCAATAATGTGGAAGGTAGATGATCAGAAAACAGGCAAACGAAGCTTTTATTGTAAAAACCCAAGGTCGGATAGCGCCCCCAAACATGAATCGTGATGTATGTTGGATGATAAAGTTTGCTGCAACTATTCCTATTACTGTTTTTTCTAACAATGACTACGTATTAATTAATATGATGATACCTCTTAAAACGTCCCTTTGCTATTCCTCTTTACTCTTGTTCAGTAGCCTCATCTTTCAGTCTTATGTTCTCCATCGCAAACATTGCAATAAAGGGGACTGATAGTACTGCAAGTGCTACAATAAGAAGTACATGCATTACTTCAGTATAGCTTTTGTCAATGGCAATTCTCTCAGAGCTACCAGGCAAATATGATGAGGCTACTAAGAAAGAGTTTTGAATTTCCACCGCAGCAGATTGCGCTGTTGCTGGCAAGTTGGCTCGAAGCCTAGCAAGAAGGAGAGCTGTCCAGACAATACCGGATATGGCGTTACCAACTGCTCCCCCAATTGCACCAGCGACTTCGTATAGAGTTGTCACAGAGGCAACGTCTATCCGTTGAGAATCTTGCAGTTAGAACGTGTAAATGCTGATGTAATGAACATATGTGAGCCTCGTACCTTGAAGCGGTGTTACAGCCTGAACGGCAGTTTGCGCAATGATAGATATCATGCCTGTCCCAGCACCAGAGATAAGCTGGCCGAACAAAATCTGTACAGTACTTGCTCTAGCGTTAGAGTATCGTAACATCAATCCTGCTCCCACCAACTTTGATGTCATTCCCAGCATAATAACCCACTTATATGTCGTAGTCAATCTGACAAGAAAAGCTGCGAGGAGTCCAATAACGGCGATTGCAACTGTTTGGGCTGCAGTGATGTTTGTGGCCGCCTTGGAAGACTCATTGTTGACAATTATGAGGAATGAGAAGAAATATGGCGCCCAAATGTAGAAGCTCATATAGAGAACAAATTGCAATATGCAGCCCGCCACGACGGTGCGGTTTTTGGCTAAGTTCAACAACATGATAGGGTGCGAAGGAACGTAAACCTCGTACACTAAGAAGGCGATAAAACAGCAACCTCCAACGGCAATCATAGATATTTTCCCCGGTGAAGACCATGAGTGGAAAATTGTGGTTGACAATGTCATCGGGAGTAGGATAAGGGTTAGACTGGCCGTCAGAAGAGTAAGTCCTACAATATCCAATTGAGACCAGAGCGCAGAAATATTCTCGAGCTTTCCATGTGTAGCAGCGGACTCAATTTTGTGGGCACGCTTCTTTTGCTGCCAAAGAGAAAATAGAAGCGGTAGTGAGATCGTTGGAAATATAATGGCCCTGCTTTCAATGTTAATTTGCGACTCCATTTGCCAAGTCACACACGATCAAATCATACCACATGCCGTATCCCCTGTTGCATGAGTGTTAGCGTAGTCGGGCGCTAATAATAGGTGAGGCATGACTTTACCATCTCCACTTTGCGGGAACCATAGCACTGACAATTGGAGCTCCAATCCAAGAAGTAAATATTGTAGGGGATAAAACAAGGCTTCCGAGAATGGATCGATTTTCCAATGTCGTGATTTCGGCTACCAAGATCTGCTGCAGAAACTGTATGCCAACTTGTCCAATGGTATAGAAGATCTGCCCGGCTGCCAAACCTCCTAGATCTTGAGAAGCTGCGTTGATTGCAAATCCAATCAGTATCGCCGCGATAGACAGGCTGAATGCTTCTAGAAGACCCCATATATTTGCAGCCCTCGCTAGCGCCGGCTTAACAATTGCATACCTAATTTGTCAGTTGTTGCATCATGGCTTAGCCAACCAAGCGGCTGTACGCACAGTATGTATTGGATTGTGCCAATTACCGATAGCATGCTATGAGCATTGAACTCAGAAAGCGCGTATGGTTGGTAAGACACTATTGTCTGTCCAGCTAAACTCACAGCAATTGCCAACAAAAACATGCCGAACCATATATACGACAAGAGGACTGGGGATGCATCATATGTTGGTTTGGTGGTCGCAATCGATTGTTGTCCGTTTATGTTGTTCGTGGGTTCGGTAGGGCTGTCATGGTCAATTGAAGCAGGCGCAGCCGCCTGCAGTCGTAGGCTGTAGTCAACTTTGGATTTTTCCATGTTTTGTAAACGTATAAAGGTAAGGATTCGTAAAACTGCACAAAAAAGATCTTATGTGGCCAGCATGTCTTGTTATTATATGGAGGCCAAACCCCACGGGAGAAACAATTATACATTTCGCCGAATCTCGGAGAAAGGTATCTTCACGTGAATAGCCACAAGATGACACATATGAATCGTTCATCTATTAGAGTACAAATCAAAGTTTAATAAGCCAGCATATGAACGTATAGTTATAATGACTTCCACTACCACCTTTCCTCATTTACGAATAACATTATTGCTTACCAACTTTGTATAGGTCTATCGCTTGTATGTTCAACTGCATCCTACGATGTATTTGGAGTATACAGGTGAAAATACTCTCCGCCGCATCAAGTGAGGTATACATCTTATCTGATCGGCTGATATTGAGAATCAGATAATTGTGAGAAATATATCCGACGTTAAATTCGGAGATATTTCAACACTAACTCTGAGGGAATTTTTTTAACCACTACGTTGGGAGCCCCTCCAGCTATTTGTAAATCTTATCTGATGATCAAATGTTTTACGGCTCCACTACTGTTAAAGGGCGTGCTTCTAGATCTAAATCTACTCCGACTACATGCTAAAGTATCCGATATTGCGTCAAATTGACCGATGAGGAGATTCCCGAAATCGGACGCATATCTGCGTAGAAATAAGAGAACTATGCTGTTGGACATGGATATTCTTTCTACTGGAAACCTCCATACATATCAGCAAAAGAATATGTTCTTGTTTTGGCCAGTAGTCACTACCGGCATATCTTTTAGGTGCCGGTTAGTCTTGTTTTGCCACCCCAGTGATATCCGGCATGACACAGCTCAGCGCAAGCGGAATGGGCCAGGCCAGGCCTTCAGCGGGATTGCCAGAAACATCATTTGCCGTTATCTTATCGACAACCACGACAGCGACATAACCGCCAAAAGCCGTAAATATGTGCCACCTAGTTGTTAAAGTCAGAAGTTTCCTGAACTGAGTACTGCTATCACAGATACACATACCATCCATGCAACTCCAAAAGAAATGCTATGGGCAATCCAACAAAGTGCTTCACATCTGTTAATAGATTGCATGCCCATCTATCAATCAACCAAACAAAATACCCGAATCCAAAATTCACTGCAGATATCAGTTGATGCTTTCAGGTAATCTATAGTCAGAAACAACTTACAACAGCCAAACAGGGCCATGTTTCGAAGAGTTGCCTTGATCTGGGGATCTGCAATTTGTTGGATTGTCTTCAATGAATAAGTTGCAAGGAGGTAAACTCCAAGACCGAAAGATGTAGCATGAAGGAGAAACTCATCCATGACCATATGAATGACCATTACAACGACGAAGATGATTGAAAGAGCCGCTCCCAACAATCGGGTTCGCTGTGGGCTAGCTTTGAAGCTTAGGAGGCGAAACAAAAGTGGCGTAAGTAACATATGCATGGATAGCTCGTCCGCTAAGATATTTCAGCAAGTGAATCCCAAGAGTAGTGATAGTTCCCGGGCCAGGGTGTACGCACACATTTGTGTGTGGTATTTTAAGGTCATATGGTAGGCCGCGGAGCAAAGTCCAACGCCGATCAATCCAAAGTATGGAACCCAGCGAGAAATCTCTGCATGCTTGCTACGAAGTTGTAACAAACCGTACACTCCATATACCACTGGTACGAAATTTAACTTGAGTCTGGAGACAATGTACCAAGATTATCTTACCAAAAATTAGACTGCTCAGTGTGTTAATGAACTCGGCTATAAATCGTGTGATTGTGTAGTCCTAAATTGTTCATCATGCTTTAGATCGTTCATCGGCGTTTTATAAGCGAGTTCCGTTTGCATATTACCTCTTCACAAAAGCTGGATTAAGGGTGGGAGTTAGTCAATTTCATTGCGGCGACTCTGAGAGCGGAAGACAAACTTCAGATAGGATGTTTGGGGGCCCCAGAATGGGTGTGCAGGCGCTGGGGTGTCCATTGGAGATGGAATCGCTATGGATAGAATAGAAAATTCGCAAAAGTATTAAAACAAAACACAAGCGTTGCATAAAGCACACAAAAAAGCAGCTGGGCAAGGGTCACGAGCCGACACTTTACTTCGATCGGCGAGTGTACGCACTGAGTCAATTTATCAAGTTGGAAGGAATTGAGCGAAAAAAGGGAGAGAAAAGAGAGGGAAAAACACAGTAGAAGCTGATTGGCTGCAGTCCCACACTCCACTTGAGCCCCCGAGCATTCCGCATTATATCCGATTGCGCCGAGCAAGGGAGATGTAGAAACACAGCTACAATTGAAGATGGCAATCAGAGGTTTTATGTTCTTGTTCTCTTATTAAATTAAAAGGCAGTCAAGTCCCTGTATACTTTATCTTTTTTATATGTCCCCTAGTATATATATAGAGAAGTTCCAAGTCGCTGATGCAGAAAAACTAGAATATGAAGGAAAGGAGAGAGAGTATATATAGTGTAAGTATCACTGGACGAGTTTACTCTGCTCATCTCGCAAACGCTCTACTGTAATTAATGAAAACTGCTGGCACCTGTAAAGTTGTATTCATAGTCAGTGTAAAAACTCCAATAAGTCATAAAGACTGATTCTCTGAAAGATTTCGGAGAGTCTTCTGAGAAGCTATGTTCTCGGTGTTAAGCATAATACGTTATACATTACTATCTTTTTTACTCGCTGATTTTCTTCTAGATCCTATGGATAATTAGCGCCTTTACTATTCACAGCATATGGCTTACACGAGATGTTACGTTCGAACACTTTGTTAAACTTGGCCTCGGAAATTGTTGCTATATGTGATAAATACTGCTAAAGCTAAAACTTGAACCTTAACATACTACGGGACCCAGTTCGCAAATAGTCTCGGTAAGATAGTAAAGTATTGTGATCCATGAGTTATTTAAAAAAGGCATGTTATCTATGGTCGAGCATTTGCGTGACGTTTTAGCCTCATCGCCATTCTTATTTGCTTGCTTCGGCTATGAACGCGTTTGCAACTACTGGAAGAATTAGTATAAATAGACAGTTTTCTCCCCAATTTAAGCCTTCAATACTACTTTTGTTTATTATCGACGTCATTTATCCAATATGTCTATCCAAGCTACGCTCCCTAAGGGTTCTCTGGTTCTTGTTACCGGTGCCTTTGGCTACATTCGGGCGCATGTTACCAAACAACTCCTCCACCGTAGGTACAAAGTTTGAGGAACTGTTTGAGACATTGGTAAAGCTGAATGGCTATCAACGGACAAAAAGAATCCGCAAATAGCTCGCCAGAAGTAGTTATCCTCAACAACATCAATGACAAGAACCAGATCCAGCAAGCTATCCAAGGTGTCGCTGGTTTGGTTTATATCGCAGCACCGAATACATTCAGCCCGGATCCAAATGAAACGGTCACAGAGACCGTTTACTTTGTTGTGAATTTACTCATAGCCGCGTCTTCGAAAAAAGAGTGTCAAAGAGTTTGTCTACACTTCCACGATTGGCGCTGCAACTATGCTCCCTGCCCAACCAGGATTCCATTCCGATGGGACGAATTGGAATGAGAGCGCCCGGGCCCTTGATTGGGCACCTCCTCCCTATACCCCCGATCCTAGCATGATAGCCTATATCTACGGTAAAGTTAAAGCAGAGAAAGCTTTCTAGAAATTCTTCGAAAAAACAAACCCACTTTCAAGGGTAATACATTCATAGTTTACACTTTATTTGGACCACGACTACACGAAAGGTCAAATGCGTCAACCAGCGGGTGGCTTTGGTTAATTTATAAAAACCATGCGGCTCCAATGCCGTTCTTCCCATCATTTACGGCCCCTTCTTTACAATTCTTTCCCCTGTCCCATCCTTGATTGGCAGGCCCTCTGTGGTGGTGACTAATGATGAAATAGCCATATTTGTTGATGTCCGCGATGTGGCACTGCTCCACGTCGCAGCTCTCCTTGATCCATCCCTCGAAGTGGCACATGTTCCGGCATGGGGGTATGAGTTCAATTGGATTTATATCCTCAAGATCCTCACGCAGCTAAATCCGGGCACAGCTTTACCAGTTGCTCTTGATAACCCTGAAGGATTTAACGGTACCGCAGATGTGGCTCAAGTGAAGCATGCGCTTAAACAATGGAGTGGCCAGGATGGTTTTGTCTCTCTTGAGAAGGGTGTAATAATACTCTGAATGAGCCGTCTGTCTCTGAGTAGATACCTTTTCCGATGGTTATAGTTATGAAGTGACTCTAGCGTGAGATTCTTTCAACAAAAGATCCATCTGTACATGCAAATATATGATCGCGAGACTGGAATATACCGGTGTCATAATGCTTTTCGTTCTCAATCTCTTGTGATCTTAAAACTCTCATTGGGCTGACTGTATTTACTGTATCACGAAATCTATCTCAGAATTACACAAACTCTTCACACATAATCGCTGTTGGTTTTGACAAACTTTCTTCGGAGTTTCTATGTTTATCTATTGTCTGGATGTTTTTTCCAAATCAGTTCTCCAACAATGATCTAGATTGAGTCGGAGCCTGTAGCGAAGTATTAGGCGTCGCCTGACAACTTCGTTTCTACAGACGTCCAAAATTCTATACATATCATCTAAGACTAGATGGCTGAGACCATACCATGCATTTCATATCCGGAAGACGTATAACAATAGTATAATAATCTTCTCTCTTTTGAGGCCCCGTTCCATTAGTAAATCTCATAATACAAAAGCTACAAGTCTATATCTTGCAACACTTTCACGTAATAGAATCTCTGGAAATAATATATGCATCTCAATTTGCAGTATTATATACAAATATTTACATTTATATGCATATATGTACGTATGTAGAATGCATAACGTTCTGTTCAATCCTTGAACCAGTCGGTAAGATGCGGGGACGCATAAAGAGTGAGCTATTATAAGTTCCAATCATCCAGTAGATGTATGCTCAACACTGAGTGCAAAGATATTTCATGACACATATCCCCGTTTGAACAAGGGACCGAGAGAAGATAAGAACCGGATTTAGACTTTTACTGGTCCACAGAGCACTTGCCACTCGTGCAGACAAAGTCATCAGAGCAGTCATCATCAGAGCCACAAGAGGCACCGAGACAGTGACCCTCCCAAGAGCAAGTAGTGGGAGGAGGAGTAGAGCCGCCGCCTGAGTTGCTACCGCAAACCCCGCTGTTACAAGTGAGATCATCGGAACAATCATCATCTGAACCACAGCTTGCACCGGCGCAGTGGCCTTCCCAAGAGCAAGAGGAAGGAGGAGGGGTGGTGCCACCACCGTTGTTGTTACCAAGGCCTTGAACCAACTTGTCACCCAATGTCTTGATGCTAGCTTCAAACTCTGAAGCATTCTTAGCATTCCACTTGGCACCGTTCTTGCCTGGAACAGCCGTAGGGTCGAGGAATCCGATATAGAGCACATCCTTAGGGCCATGTCCGTTATCGCCGGTAAGGCCATCATTAGGGAAGCACAATTGGGCAAGTGAAATGGATGCCTCTCCAGTAGTTGGTTCTGTGTTGGTATCACCCCAGACACCATACCACTAAACATGGTGTAAGTAAAACTTTTTCGAATTTTGAATGCGCGCTATCCAAATTCATGCTGCTGGAAAGAAGTAAAGAAAATATGAGAAATCAAACTCACCACCTGATTGTTGCAAACAATTGCCATGACACTCAATGGCTTCAGACCGAAATGTTGGGCATCGAAAAAGGGTGGCTCGTTGACAACAACATATGGGTGAATATTGGCGTTCAAATCTGAAATGCCGTACGATTGCACAGTATCCTTGAACGCTGTCTCACCATATCCAGTAGGATCATTGGAGCAATCACCAGCCTTATCGTCGGCACCATCACAGTCGACGTCCATGTTGTCATAGTTTCCATTACTTCCCTTGAGGAAAATAGCATTTGGAATATCTCCACAAAAGACGGCTCCAGAAGAAGAAGTTCCGGAAAGAGGTTGGGCACAAGTTCCCGCCTGATTCAGCAATGTTTCATGTTAGCAATGATAGTCAGTAGTGGTAGGCAATACAGACCTTGTGGGCGTTGTATATGGCTTGAAGATTAGCGGGGATGGTGTAGGCTAGGGAAGTAGTTCCCGTAGCAAGGAGCGTGAACAGAGTCGAAGAATGCATCGCGGTAAGTTTGTGTAAAAGTCTCAAGCAGTACAGAGTGTCTGTGTGAATCTGAGTTGCCGCAAGAAATCAGGTAGTTGCTAGTGTCTTTATATACCTGTGAGTACCCCATACTCCGTTGGTATTTTTGAAAATACGAGTTTGCATGGATGTCTGCTACCAGATGTGGGAAGGATTCAGAGCGGTGGCAGCTTACCCCTTGCCATTGAGCGCCACGCACTAAAGTAAGCTTAATTAGGAAGGTTGGGTCCTTAAATTAATTAAGAACCCCCCAAAAACAGCCAATCCCTGCGTAAGCGTGTTTTACAGAGGGCACTTTTACTCGGAAAAACATTGCTCATTCGAGGAAAAACATTTTCTAAAATTCCCAAAGAAGCCATAAAAAAAAGGATGGCTCAATGGAAAAATCCTTATATGGATTTATATTCAGATTTTAGCTTATTGCAACAGCTGATCAAATCCATCCAGTTGAAAACCTGCCTCTCTTAGCTTTATTCCAAAGTCAGCGCTAAGATTGATTTTGATAGCAAAACAGTATACTCTTCTGGGAAGGCAAGATCGCCGTATTGCCAAAAGTTTAAAAATACTTCAAGTTTGTTTAACCTGCGTAAGCCACTACGATATATCAGACGCTACTGAAATACGGCGCGGATGAAGAGCTGGAAATAAACCTCTTAGGAACACAAACGCCGGGTACCGAACACTGCATCAAATGGATTCCCATCATATGCTTCCCCCTCCAAAGAAAACATAAGGCCGGCGGGAATTGGGATCACCTGAAGCCACGGCTCCAAAGAGATCAAATGTTTATTAGATGCCTTGTATAGAGTATATCTGGGCCTCTACTTAGATAAGCATGCACGACACTCCCATATCTCGTGTTTGAGTCATTTCATAGCGACAAGTCAGATTTCTCCACGAGAGTAATACGACGATGTAGAGGGTTAATGATAGCCCGAAAATCCCACCCAGTCCATTTCTTCTTGTATGTCTCATTAAAATGAACAGATATATCTAGTTAAATCCAAATGCATATATAGACGATAAATATTGATACAAATTACCAACTACGTTGTAATTCCCAGTTATGTTTCATTAAACCATGTTATAGATATGGGATATCTCCATGTAAAAATATGCACGGGTTCAGAAGTCTGTTATAACCAAGCATACAATGATTCACAGGCACAATTCCTCTAGCGCTTAATATGCTCAGGGCTGTGATGTTATTATTCCGCGAAATAACCCGTAACACTCCACAAATAGAGATAACCATGATATGATAGTCTCGGCTATAATGCTGCAAATGACTGGACAATTTCTAACTCTACCCAGCAGCACTAGGAAACTAATGCAACAATAGAGGCGGGGAAACCCCGTGTATCTGCCTCATATTAATGGCGCCCATTCTGTTCCTCATGTGGGGACGGGTGGTCTTTACTGTTCTTATCGCGTGACCTTATAAAAACTATATACTAAAAACTTCTACACGTTGCAAATATCTTGACTAAGAAGTGGCATTTGGGTTAGGCTTGGTGTTAAATATCTCTTGAGCCCGTATACTAAATGGAACAAAATGTGTAAAACATTATGCGCAGCGCTATCACGACATTTGGCGCACCGATCTCATTCGTTAGCAATGAAATTATTATATTCCCTACCATTTCTAAGAAATATGAGACAAATATAGGATGAAACCTAACGAAGCACTTAGCGGAAGAAATCTCAGCCTCTAGGTATTATTGATTAGCGCGGAGACTTGTAGACGATTATCTATTACTATGAATAGAGTTTCACAAAAGTAGACACCCGGAGGATACTGCCCCCCCAAAAAAAGAAAGTAGAAAGAAAAAAATGATGAATGATTCAATCCCAAGGTGGATGCAAGAATATAAAGAAAATTACTCCATTTGAATGACATATTGCACTTTCCGGAATTGGCCGTATGAGTATGATATGGTGTATAAGTAGATCACGCAAGGGAGCACAAATATGCATTTAATCTTGGTGCAGATATTATTTATAATCGTCATTAGAGGGCCGACAACGCTGTAGTAGTTGGTTTAGTAAATGTTGTGCCCAGCCTTTATTGCAAAATCCAGAATCAAGTTGTAGCTCTTCTAGCAGTAGTAGAGGAAATTAAACCTGAGAGATGCAAGCGACAGAAGCGCATTAAGTAAGGCTACCGATAGAAGTTACTGATCCTGGTTTGAAGGCGTAAACATGGATATGCCTTGAAATATCTTCATCTCGCTGCGGCTTTGCTATGGTACTATGAGTATTATCAAAAGATTTATACCCAAGCGTCTTGGTGATATATTGTCCATATGGCATACCTGACTTGTACTACGCCAAGATCCTTCTTCCAATTGATCTTTTGCAATCGGTTGTGTTTGACAGCGGAACAGTGATAATTGTGAAGCATAAAGCTACGACCCGATGTGGACATTTAGAAGTTACCACATGACATAGCAGTCGTATATGGCACTTCGGACATTCTCTTTGCATTTTCGATATAATTCCGATAGAAAGTAAGTAGTTATGGATTTTTTTCAGATATCAGGAACCCTATCTTTCTATTATTCCGATGCAAAAGCGGTGGGACACCTTTTATGCAGGCGCTTTGTAAAGCTCGATGGGAGTTGCAGTGAGATTCTGAAACTGAGTTATTGAGTTCACGAGTTCATACTGCGATCTCGCAGTATGCCAAAGCCGACAGTTAATAGTAATCGCTTAGATTTTTTTCTTTGGTTCCCTTAAGCTTACGGTGCTCAAACCGTACATGATAATCTTAGGCAAAGGGGTTACTATTGTAAGACGTCAATAGATTATGCTATACTATTCTAGACATCTACCCATATTGGGTGCCTACCCCAGACCAAACTTTCTATCTCGTCACAGGCACAAACGAATCCAACTACTAGTCACCTATCGAAATATCCTCTGTGCATTTCCATAAAACTCCAATATCTTCCCTTACTATCTTCATTATTACTGTATACTCTTTTTTATTCATTAACATGTCCTGCTAGGCATTCAATACGCTTCTTCTAAAAAGCGGATGTGCTGCTGCTAGCGATAATCCCACTTTTCTGGTTGCTGGTTTCAAAAAATGCTGCGGTCTGGCCCCTGTCGTCCAGTATTACAGCAACACTACTGGTTGCAATGCATATTGTCCAATTGTTTCGAATGGCCCAACTGGTTCTGAGCTCCAGCACTGTCTGACTGAAGCAATAGGAATCTGTGTCTGCTACGGTATGGACGACTTTGCCTCACCGAGCGCTCTTGCACAGGCGAGCGCAATGGCCTCAGCGACTGTTTCCGCTGCTCGTGCCGCAACGGCGACTACTATCAACGCCGCTATTAGGATTCACACGCCCGATGCCGCTTCGTGGAAAATTGTCTTCACCATCGGAGCCATATTATCCATTGGACCCTTCGCTGGTTTCCTCATGTAAAAACCCGGATCATCGGCATGAATGAAGATGGATGAAACGTTGACCCTGAGTCCCTTAGCGCTTTTTCCCCTTTCGGCGGGGCCGTTAATTTCTTGGTAGCAAGGGTAACTTGTTGTTTATGGATACCGACTGTCGTATGTCTGACACTCGGTAGGAAGCTGTTCTTTCGAAAGAGGAAGGCAGAATAATGGACCATTCCCATTATGATAACTGCTATTTTCATCCATGGTTTTTTAGCGCCATATGGTGGCTCGCAGTCTTTTACATTTGCCTAGAAAGGCAGGACACTGATGTCTATAAGCTTATGTTAATAATATGTCTCGACGCTATTTGATTCCATAGGGTTATACGCTTAATGTCTCGTACGTTACTTCGGGCCGTTTGTTCTCATCAATGCTTCTCCTATATACCTATTTGATCAACTATAAGTAGTCTATCATCTCCGTATCATTGCATTGCCATCCAGCAGCAAAAGCGGTTCAACAAGCCAGTCATCCTCACAAGTCACCTACTCTCATTCTTCTACGCTGAACAACAGAGTATTTTCAAAATGAAGACTCAAACCATCGCTTCCGTTGGCCTTTTCGCCAAGCTGGCGCTTTCTCAATCAGTCATCAACTCCGGAAATGGATTTGGAACCTACTATTACGACGTTATTGATAGGAATGGCTGCGGCAACAACTTCGCCAACATCAACACGGGATTCGTTGAATGCAACCAGGTTACCGGCTTGTCCCTGAACCAGATCAACAGCAACAACGTTGTTGCCATGAACCGCACCCTTCTTGCTTCAAACTTTGCCAAGTACTGCGGCAAGAAAGTTGTTGTCAGCTTCAATGGTGTGCCATCTAGCACGCCGTTCTTCATCGGTGATGGTTGTGAGCGCTGCGCTACTGGACCATCTACCGCCAGCGTGTGGAACCCCAACGGTGCTCCTGGACTGGATTTCAGCTTGAGCGGCCTTGATGGAATCAACTCCAACGGCTGCTTTGCTGGACACCTCGATATCTCTTGGCAGATTTTGGACGAGACTCTCTACAACTTCGACACAAATGCTCCCGGTCAGCCTAATGGCCCGGTCAACGGCGGTGGAAGCAACCCTGGAAACGGCGGCGGTACTTGCAGCTGGGAAGGCCACTGCCAAGGCGCAACTTGCAGTACAGATGATGATTGCTCCGACCCTTGGGGCTGCGTCAACGGCATTTGCGGTGGCAGCTCAAGCGGTGGTTCTACTCCTCCTCCCACTACTTGCTCTTGGGAGGGTCACTGCATTGGCGCTTCTTGCGGCTCTGATGATGACTGCTCCGACGACTTTACGTGCAAGAGTGGCAAGTGTGCCAATCCCTAAATTACGCCAGGGGTTCAGAACACGATTGCTCCAATGCGTTAGTCTGGACCAAGGGAGGGTGCAACTTTGATTCAATTACAAGTTCATACGAACTTGGAATTTACTCTTACGTTCAATGTGTAAATATGTTGATGACGGATGTTTATACTTATCTTTTGCGTGTATATAGTACAGTCGGCATATAGGTACAAACTGTAAATAGGCGATTAAGTATATAGCTTTATAAAAATATGTATATATCTTCAAACAAAATCGTCATTCTGTGATACGTGAACTTTCTAAGAAAATAGAATGTATAGGGATGTGTTTCACGAAGCATGTGCATTAACTTAATGCGGTGCTAATTTATCTACAGTCGATATATGTTTAATTTGAACAAGTTATAAACTACAAGAGCTAGGTTATGCGCGTTGTTCATTAGCACTGCATATATATAACCGTTGCTACCTCAGCTTAGTCTCATGGATCAATGTCGTACTCAATGTCCGTCCTTATTATATATTTGGCGCCTTTTGTGACACTCGAACCTTCATGCAACAACGCTCCCCGCGTTTCACCATGGGGAAAGATGGCGACACCACCCATGACTGGCCGCACGCGGTAAGCATTGAGTGTTCCCTCAAGAGGCGCTGGAATAAAAAATGTTGTTTCTCCACCTTCAAATTCGTCGTTCAGATACAGTAAGAAGGTAAACAATGAGCTTTGTTTCTTTGCGAAGGGTGAATCGTCGTATACATACGCATCATCAGCCCGGATGCCAGATGGTGGCCAGGCTCCATCAATATGACATCTATATTCGGCACCCGGAACATACCGGTACACACGGAAACGCCGATTGAGGCCACGAGATAGGCGACCGTTGACTGAGGCTGGCACAAATGGAGAAATACGCGACCAAAGCTTATCATGAAACGCGGTATCGGTGATCCAATAAAAATTGTGTGCCAAAACACTTGTATCCCCACCCTCACGAACGGGAGTGTCAGGAAGAAAGCCAACTGTTTCGCCAACAGCAATAATAGCCTTACACTCCTCAGGTGAAAGAACGTTTGCGGCAAGACTGAGATTTGGCACATGGGGATGCCTGTGATGTATTATTCGGGGGCTGTCTGATGATAACAGGACGGTATCCGGCTGAGAAGTATAAAGGATGGCTGGGTGATGATTTGGGGGGTTGCGGAGATGGCCAGGTGTTGTTTCGATGATGCGGAGAGAAGAAGCAACTGAGTTCGGGGCCGAGGCGAAAATTGATTTATCCAAAACTGATTCATAGACTTGCTGTGGCTTGATAGGCGGCCGGACATCCCATGTGGCCTGAAAGGAGATATGGGATAAAGACCCCGGCTGGGGCTTTGTGACACTGGTGTTGTCATCAATCGGGCAGCTAACACGCAGTACAGCATCGAGTACGCTGAGAAGTTCATCATCCTTTGCAGAGCGCCGAGGGTTGTCGATACTGATACCCTTAGGCTGCGTTACAACATCAAGGTCTCGCACCCAACGACACAAGGCACCTAATTTAGGATCTTCGCCTCTCAGTCGCATTTCAGCCAGCAAAATCCTCGCCTCAAGGTATTTTTCATCAGCTAGTGCAGCAGAGACCCGTGCCGTGAGGTTTGCATTATCCGCTAAATGGAGCCTTAGCTTCGCCATGTATTACAATAGCAGCTGTCGCAGGGATGGGCTTACTGGTAGCATTGACGCCGGTCGTGCATGATTGGCGAAAATCGTAGACAGCGGTTCGAAGGCTTCTGCAAAGCTTAGATTTTGTCAAGCTAGGGTATTGTGCCAAAGTCGTAAGGGTGTCGATAGTAATGTCTAGTTCCTCATCTGAAATGACCGTCTGGAGGCGTTTGATCTCAAATGGCTCGTCATCAGGCAATGAAGCGACCGCTGATGCTGTGTTTGTGATTTTGATGTGCTTTTGAGAAACTTTTACTTGAGCATTTCGCTTTCGCTTCATCGACTTGGACTGCGTCATTGCTATTTAAAGTATGTTTACAAAAGGGTAATTAGACTCAACGGTTCAATATGGGCTTCATTCAAGTGATCAAAGGCTGACGGGGCGCAGTCCATCGTGCGAGAAAATTTGGAAGGCTTCGTTGTGTCCTTAGCTACTCCATGGCGACGGAATAACTCAATTCCGACAGGCCAATTAAACGTGTCCTTAACAAACCTCCCTAGTCATTCTTAACTACCTAACATAAAAAGGGCATAAAAAATAATTAACTGTTAAAGAATATTTTATATGCGAAGACGTTGGAAGAGATCTAACTGAATTTGTAGGAGAGTTCATGTAAAAATAATAATAATTGAAACCGCCTGTCTTTCTTTTTTTATCCCCCTAATCGTTGGCAGCTTGATACCTTTTCGTCGGCATAAATTCTCCACTCTATTGTATGTGTAGGCCGTGAAACCCTTAGTAGAAACAAAATCCTCAGACATACGAGCAATCATTCATGTACTACGTGACTGGAGATGTATGAAAAGAATCTGTTTCACCATACTCTTCGTCAGTTGAATTATGTTCAACGCAATGCTCCATCTGGAGTAATCGAGGCCAGATAACTCGGAATTAGGGTACAGGTACGGAGTACACAAATGTATTGGCATATATTTTCCTTCAAGAGTTATCGGCGGTCTATATAGAATAGTTTATTTACTGTCTAAATGTACCAACTATTTTGGTAGTCGAATGCCACACAGAGTGTACAGCGACTCGCTTTGCGAGAGAATATTCTGCCATATCATGGAACAAGCGTGACAACGAAGGTTGCACCGACTTGGCGTTGTCATTAACAACGCGGGGTGATACTCAGCAGTTCCATTTTCACATATAGCCAAGAACAATTGCGTGGACATGACCCCGCACCTGGTGCAGAAAGTGTTGATGTATGGTGACAAACTGTTGATGCTAAGGCGTCACCCAGCGTCTCAGTGATAAAGTTTGCTACTCCCCACGGTGCAGAGGGGCACATGTTGTACAGTGGTTTCTTGGCGAAGCGTAGGGAAATTGTAGTTCTACGCCTCTCATTGGCGGGGAATAGAGAGAAAATATGAAGTGCAAAGGGTCTTATCGTACTATAGTGCAAGCTTGGCAAGAACAATCCTCGATACTACTACCACATCTCTCAGGTCGCACTCATTAGGATGCTACAGGTTCTCCACCACCACGCCATAGCTCTGTAGTTACTAATGATATGTAGACAGCAATCGCTGCTTTAATTGATGATGGATACCGTCGAACACACCGAAAGTAATAGGCCATCAAAGAGCCTAATGTTATCATGGTTTCATTTACAACAAATACTTTTAAAGAATTGTTTGGAACGCATGTGGTTAAGTGGCGTCGTATATATTTCAGTTAAATTCAAGATTAGTTCCTTCCTATTCCTTCCCTTAATACGAGACTTGCGCATACAAGGATATTTATCGACTTTGCTCTGTGTTCTCACTGCCATAAAGGTGCTAACTGACTTAAACATTATTGTTATGGATATTGTGTGATAATAGGGTAGAGGAACCAGTATTTCTGAACTATGCTAGTAGATATTACCGCCCTACGATATACCAATAGTATTTAGGTGATTAGCTCTTGGATGCGGCATATAACGGCAGATTAATCCTAGTGGTCACTTACCGGATTCCATTTAAATGACCAACTGTCATGTGGTGACTTTTACACTTGAAACATACTCTCCGAGGCTTGCTTTTCGACTGTGAAGAGCTGCCACGAAGCTGCCACAACAGTGGCATTTACAGTGGATATGCTCTATAGAAGAAAAATAACACCTTTTTTCCAGATACACGAAAAGTTTCGACGTTGAAAGAGGATGGAAGGGAAGGATTGCCGTATCTAATATGGAGCAAAAATATATTGGCTCGCATCACGGGCCAGTATCGCGACGATATCATGCTGAATTGGTCTTTCTTTCTTCATTAGCCAATTAGTAACTAAAATATTGATCATTTTTTAATTTCAAACCTTCAGTACGACAAATCTGACTTCCAGATGTTTTGCAAGAACGGTTGTGTCGGTAATGACAAGACTAGGGACGATTGTTCCTGAACGCTTAAGAGTGACTGTGCATGCATCTGCGCTAACCATATTACCATTGTGGCCCTTGGCCTTGGTTTTTCACGCACACCACTTTGTGAGGTAGGCATGTACTGATCCCGAGGAGCTGCGGAAAGAAGAGTCATGAAATGCTACCAATACATGACAAGACGTAGCTTTTTAGACCTCGGGTTTATAACCATGATAACATTGCCACTGATCTAGAAATTAGCTGCAAATAAGTACCAAATTACCCCCTTAAGCTCCAAAATGCGCGCCGTCATGATTAATATGCAGATGAACCCTCGTATGCAGTTGGAACTATTAGGTGGCTTTATCAGAGAGCCAGTACTCCTGATGCTATATTTTTTTTACATTTCTTCAATACTATCCCAAAGAGACGTCAAACAATTCTACTGGTCAATCAACAAATGGTACTGTCTTTAGGTTGAAGCACTGAACCCATTCCAACCATCTTGCTCCAATTTGACAAATTAGCAGGCTCTATTCTGCTACAACTCGTTGTTTCAGCCGCATCTTATCCTCCTTTTCTCCAATGACGATATATGCGCGGTGTCAATGAATCATTTCTTAAGCTTATCCAGCTTGTTGAGTCGCGCATTTTCCAAGGTATAGGAAGTCCAATTCACAAAAAGCTGTATCATAAAAACATATCCTTGAGGACCTATCAACGCTCCAGTGTCATACTCAGGGTCCGTCCAGGCAGTTCCAGGATAAAATATTGCCGACAAGCCAGCGATGGTGGTCAAAGAGCCAACGAGTGCTGCAACAAAGAGCGAGTCCTTAGCAGCCTCGACGTTGGCGTTGCGTCGGCCAAGTAGGTAAAGTGAGGTTAAAGCGGAGAGAGCGCCGAAGGACATACTCTGTCCATTGTGGAATTTGGCATGAGGTGGCCATCGTGGATTAAAGACATGTGTATGACTCCAGTCAGCAAAATATGCTGCTGCAGCGAAAAGGACATTCCCACTGGCCATCAGGCCTCGTGGAAACGAGTCAAACACATGAGACATTGCGAACATTGGGTTTTTGGCATGTTTCAAAAGTGTGTGTGTAGCTTCTGAACTCAAGCAGGGTGTCTGTAGTGCCCGTATTTATAATTAAAAAAAACCTGAACTTACGATGACATGATCACCGCTTTCGCCAATCTTTCTCGCTATTAATGCAACTTACGAGGACATGTATCAGTCAAGCCCGAACTCCGTTCATTGTTTACTCCACTTGACCGGTAGCACATGGTGTTTGTTTCTGGGTACTCTGGACCCCACATGCCAGTTGTCCGTCTGAAGGACATATTCTTTTGGAATGGTTTAACGGTTTCCCCTATGCCTTACAGAACATCTAAAAAGCAGGGGGTTCTCTATTTGCAGTTAGTCTGCAAAAAGCTCCGCACTTTCGCAAAGCAGCGTAATATGTAACTTAACAGCTGCTGCACTAGTTATAGCGAAGTAGCCAGTAGTAGTCAACTCAAGGCCATCTGGTTGGGGTCTTTCAAGTCGGCCAAAGTCATCTAATTCAATCAAGACCATGTAGCTGGATCAGAGTCGTCTAATTCAGGCCGAGTTACATTCAGAGGTATCTATTGTTAGAATGAGAAAGTACCGTTCTTGTAACATTCACGCGCCATATTACAGCAGAACTGTATTAACCTTTGAACATATACTTACAAGCACATGCCCCGCCTTTATGGGCCAGCATTTCGCAAACTACGAGGGATCCATTTGCCTACTTTTTGTTTTAAGACCCACTGCATTTCAACTTGAGATTTATAACCTTTCAATTGAGCTGTTTTATGAAGGCTTACCACTGAAGCCTACTCGAAGTTTCTGTGAAGTGCCAAATCCAAAGTATGAGAAAGCCGTCAACGTAGCATTCGTAGCCATTCTTCGTATCCATCTATTGAGTAGATGCAGAAGCGGCCTTTTCCTTCTCTTGCAATGCTTTCTGGACTGCAGGACGGTCTAAAAGACGTTTTATCCAAGCCACGTAGCTCGGAGCGTCTTTCTCTAGATCAAAACCTGCAGATTCCACTGCATTCTGCCCGATCAAAGCCCAAGTGATAAAACTCAAGTCTGCATACGTTGCCCTTTCTCCAACCAGATAATTTCTACCCTCCAGTATGGTGTTCAGTACACTAATGACACGCTTGATCTCGTTCAAATAACGCTCCTTCGCAGAGGGCAATTGCTCATGGTGAAGCATTGCAAACCAGATATACTGGCCTATATCGTCATCTCCCAATTAATTTTGACACTATACCTGGCTGTTATGAATTGAACTCACCAAAATATGGACCTTGCCCCGAGACTTGAAAGTATAGAAACTGCTTCTCGAGCCACTTTTCCCGACTTTGTGGACCATGAGAAATCCTCTGCTCAGTATCATAATTCTCGACAAGGTATTCGATGATGGCACCCGATTCCCACAATGTGATGCCAGTATTAGGGTCTTGAATTGCAGGTACACGGCCATTTGGGTTTATGTCAGTGTACGGAGCTACTTTGACGGTAGCGGGTGTCTCGTAAACAAGAGTATACGGCAACTCTAACTCTTCAAGGATTATGACAACTTTCCAGGGATTTGGCCCGCTGCTATGAGCGTGAAGAGTAATAGACTGAATTGGAGACATGGTAAAAAATCAATAGTCAATATTCTTACTGCAAAACCTTGTTTGAGAGGATTAGAGAAACGCTGATGGAGAAGCCGCGGCTATAAGTCCTCAGGGCGCTTTAAATAAAACCACTGTACCTTTGGTACGATGGTCAAACCAACATAACTCAACCAAACAATCCTACTCAATTCCGTCCGCTAGTGCTAAGCTGAATAATTGTCGTACCCGAGCTTGTTAAGCTCGGGGAGAAGAAAGACTGGTCGCATTCGAAATAGTTAGCCCTCTGCTGGTCAATAGCGGAGAGAAACAAGCGAGACGTCGCAGATGATCCTACTAGTCGCCCATTCTAGGATCAGTTTTGGCGCACACGGAATTGCCAAGCATGTGCCCAGAACCGATGCCGATCCATGCTTTGAGAATTTTTTTTTAACCTTGATTGCAAAGCACGGCCTTACTCAAGTCTTGTACGGAGTACACTCCGTTTCACCGACTACACAGCCATCTGCCAACGCAGTCTCGGCATCCCATGCATGCCCTTGACAAAAGCTCGTGGCACTTGTCTCGGAATGTGAATTCCGAAATCCGGCCCAACGCGAGCTAACAAGGATCATACCAAAATATCAGCGACTTTGGCTAGCTTTATGCGGAAGCATTTTGAGAGCTGATAGTTGGCCGCACGCGTTAAGAATCATTGGATAGTGGCCGAATTTGTAAGCCGGTTTACTAGTCACTGTTGTTTGTGCTCTTGCCTTGACCTCCTATTTTGACCAAACTAATCGGTAAGTATTCTTGATCCACTTACGTTGACTTGGGCAAGACGGAGTACTTTACCGCAAACCCTTACTCATACACCCCCCCCACACCCCCCTGGTGAAATCTAGGCACATTGGAAAACAGCTTCGCTCTAAACTCATATACAGTTGTCTACATTGGAGTACAGCCAGCGAGATAGATATCGCAATATGGTTGGTGTTGCGGGACGTAGTAAGGCTTGTACCACTTGCAAGGCGCGACATGTGAGGTGCGGTATGTCAAACGCTTGCGCTCTTTGACCCTTGCAGCCATTTTGGGTGTGGACTGACGCAATCCAATGTCTGTGGTAGATGCGCGGCATCCAACCTGTGGCCGTTGCGAAAAGGGCGGTTTTCAGTGCCAGGGCTATCGCCGCCCCCTTCGATTCATTAATTCCACAGGGCAAAGCGCTAAGAATAATCTATTGCCGCGGAAAGGCGGCATTATTCGTGGCCCCTCGACACCAGAGGACATGAAAGGCCAAGCTGACAACCACAACGTCGGGAATACAACCTTCTCCCGACCGACGATTGACAATTCATGTTCCTTGGACACGTCGCCCCTGGGGCGATCTTTGCAATCTTGCTTACGTATTTGGCCGTCTAATGACATTGTCTTTACCACTTCATACGCATATGTAGACATTACGACCACTGCGGTAGGTGACAATACTGGCACTCACCTTAGCTCCAGTGCCCCTTTCATCGGTAGTCGTGTATGGGCCCAGCTTCATGGAGATGCCGCCAAACACGTCCAAATCTTCTTATACAACCTTCTCGTTGCGCAAGGCATGGGCTTGGGAGTGTTGGAGAGTCGCCAATGGAACCGTGGCAGCATGCAGCCGTCAGCGCTTGAACTCTCTGTTGAAGCTGCTGCGTGGGCTCTTCATGGGCGCCTCACAAAGCACACAGTCAATGTGCAGCAGGCCATCACGGTATACCAATTGGCGCTACGTCAACTCAGGACTCAGCTCTCTTGTACTGATAGCAATTCAATCCCATCACCCATTCTCATGTAACAATATTGACAGTTGTCATGAATATGGCGCTTTTTGAGGTGAGTCGTTTATGTGCTGCAGAATCACACTGAACTGCTGTTTCTTTCATGAATTGCTAACAATGTATCATAAACAAAAAGTGGATCATGATCTCAACCAGCAACGGGTGGAAAGAACATGTTCGCAGTTTGGCTGCATGGGTAGAAAAGTGCGGCCCCGAACCCTTTCGGCAGGAAGATATGAGACTGGCATTTGAGAGAGCTAGGGCACGTATTGCAAGTTCCCTTTTCTAGCTCTCGTTCAAAAAAATTGAAGCATCATACCGACTTCTTGTTTTGTAGCTAACATGGAGCCTCTTAGATGCTTCTCCACATGGATGAAGCCCGGAGAACCTATCTCGAAGAACCTTGCTGGCAAAACATCCCCTGGAGTGAGTATCCGGATCAAAAATCGTTTGCAAATCGCTTCATCGATGTCGTTTGTTGTATCCCAGGTATCTTGGAGGATGAAAAGCGACGCATTAAGATGCAGCAAGAATATATGTCAACCGGTACAACCTGGTCACACGACCTTTACGAATCCCTGAGGCAACGAGTCATCCTCCTATATCTTAAGCTTCTAAGCATACGCTGGGAGTGGGAGTTGCAGCATCCTTCCTGCTGTTTCGAGATCTTCCAAGAATCCAGGACAAAGGCAGGAGGTGTGCTATCTGTCAATGAAGCAACGGGCCAGCCTATCTTCAATTCGGTGTTATTCTTCACGGACTTCCGATAGGCCGTAGAGATTAAATTCTATCACTCTTGTCTACTAATTTTGCATGATATTGCAAGCGGCTTAGGCATCATGGACGAGCTCAAGGAGCACCAAGCATCACTCTCGTCCTTCTCGTACAAGACAAATTCACCGCTGACATTTCCGCACGAAACTGAACCAGATCGTAACGCCGTACGTGATATCTGCCGTAGCGTGGAGTTCCTTCTGCAACCGACACATGGGCCAGCCGGCGGCTATGTTCTCATGTTCCCATTGCGCGTCGCACAGATATACCACGATATTCGGTTACCATCACGAGATTACAGCAAGGAAAAATGGAATGATGTAAATACATCCATGTCAAATGACTACAGCAATGAGTCGGATGTTCACATTGTAGAGACTCAACCTGGAATGGGCGTTGATCAATCTGTTGTGGACCATGGAGGTTTTTCCGGCCGCGGGGATCAAAATGAGAGGGTGAGAATGGACAGGCCACGAAAAGAAAATACTGTATTAGAAGCGGAAAACAGCACATCAACCAAGTTCGGACAATGTGCTATCATTTCGGAATGGATTCAGAAGGTTATGCGATACATCAGCGACGTACATGGGTTTATTATATCGAAAAGCTATACTTCTTAGATAATAAGATTTGGACAATGCAGAAAAGGGTTTGAGATATATATTATATCCCAGCAGCTAATCCAACACTTTATTTATGACTTGGGTGCGTATCGAGCATAGAAATATATATAAAGAAATGGAAATGGTATAGTGTTATAGTCTGGCGAAATGAGAGTAGCTATGGGTCACCGTGATCATCCCTTATTTAGGTAGATGAATCGAACAATACCACGAGACTCAAGAGGAAGGCGCGGGGATATCATACTGCTAGACACTTGAAATTGAGCAGGCGCTATTTCAAGGACTCCAGGGAGATTGTGCCCGGTTTCCAGTCAGTAGTGCACCACCCTTCTCGGTGACCAAGATGGGATCTTCCAGTCTTATACCGAAGCCCACTTTCTTTCCCAGCAGGGCTGCCTCCTCTGTAGTGACATAGATACCCTAATCGCATTAGTTGTCAGCAAATTTAGCAATAGAACATATGTTGCAGTGTTGTCTCAATGTGCAGATCGTACCGGCTCGTTTGTGGCTACTTCAGCCAGTTTCAACCTCTCGTCATTAGCACCATTTAGATATGGCGGCTCATGTCCTTCCAAGCCGAGTCCGTGTCCCAATCGGTGGGTGTAGTATTGGCCGTACCCAGCACTTTTTATGACGTCGCGAGAGGCCCTGTCGATTGCCGAGCACGCTTCATCTGCATACATGCGTGATAAACCAGCTGACTGCGCGTCCCACACTATTTGCCAAACGGCCATGAGGTCGTCACTAACGGTGGCTCCAGTTGGTAGGATTGTGCGTGTTACGTCACTGCAATATCCATGAAGTTCCGACCCAATGTCAATAAGAACAAATTCCCCGTTCTGCAGTGTTCGGCCGGTCTCACCGCCATGGGGTAGAGCAGCCTGATCGCCAAACAGCACCAGCACCCAAAATCCATGACCCACACCAGCACGCGTGAATAATGCCTGGGAGGCGTCGATGACTTCTTCTTGAGTCATACCAATATGGATACACTTTTGCAGGGACTGAACCAGTGCAAGCGTGAAAGAGTTGATCCCTTTCAGCAGAGCGATTTCGTCCACAGACTTGATGGAACGGAGAGACTGGATGGTTTCTGACATGGGCACAACTTCGACTCCTGCCTTTTGTAGACCGGCTGCAATCATAAAACGCGTATGCTCATCAATCATCACTTTCTTGTAGCCTGTGTCTCGAGCGAGTGCTTCATATGGCGACTCTTCTTCGATCCAAGTGATTGTCGTTTTGTTGTCGAACACCATGTCGAGCTTTGCAATGCGACCAGCTTCAAACTTCGGTACAAGTGTTGTAAATTGGCCATCTTTGTCAATGATCATCAGAAATGGGCGCTCTGAGAGGTGAAAGCTTGAAGTAATGTTTGCGTAATAAGACGTGGAAGCTGATGGTTCGGCAATGAACGCATCGACCCCAGCGGCGTCCAATTCGAGCGCTAGAGCCTTCTGACGCTCAAGAAACTCGTTTCTGCGGATCGGTGGAACTGACAGCAGAGAAAGATGCGGCTCGAGGTGATTCCAAGCACAAGCTTCCAACGGCGACGTCAAGCTAGACTTGGAATTGCGAGAAGGGTACGTCACGACTGCCAGAGCTAGCAACACGCAAAACAGTCCGGTCGGCAGCAAAACTTTCCAGAAGATCTTGTTGCTAATTGATGTGGGCGGATATACCCTCCCTTTTACTTCGCCTGCTTTTGGAGCGAGCAGATATCGCTTCTCTCCATCGTTTCCCACTGACATCTTGGCGTGTCCCCTCCGGTTTAACGTGCGAGCGATTTGTGAAGCAAGTAGGGACACCAATTCCAAGTCAGCGGGCGGTGCAAAACAACAGCATTTCCACTAGCCCAAAGGCCCGGTCCGGTTGACACGACAGGGATGTGCAACGCACTGTGTTGAGACATCTGTTGAAGGCCGTCAATTGTATACCAGAGCCCGCAGTTTACTCTCCGAGCATTCAAAGCCATTAGAGAAATTGATTGGCAGCTCTGTCAAGGAATTCGATGCTCCATGGAACATATGTTGGCAATAGCGGAGGGTACCGCCCACTCTTGGCTGGCACTGTGTTATATCCGCAAATAAGTACCTCGGCAACTAGGTATTAGATCGCAACTGTAAGGTGGTTCATTCTTAATGAGAAGCCGGGTGTTGTTCACTCTGGAAATTGAAAATAGGGATGAATTTAGAGATTGCGCAAATAAGCCGTGCCATAATTTGCAAGAGAGTATGTATATCATCAGATGTAAAGAGTATCATCGGAATCCGTACGATTCGAAGCGCGACGGGGGGGGGGGCTGTCAATGCCGACCGGTTTTCCATTAAGAAAAAAAGCAAAGGAAAAGAGAATAGAGAAAAAAAAGAAACAGACATAGAAAGCTAAGACAGGGTGAAACTAGTTGTTGTCTTCCTCCAACTGAAGCGGTATCCTCCTTGCAGATCTGTTGCCCAGGAGCGAGGTAAATTCCGGTCGTGGACAAGCCGAAGGCAGCAGAAATGCCTGCCGTTCCACCATTCCACTTTCTATAAAGAAGAGGGAAACCATAGCGAGTATTTGCCCCCGAAATAGACACGGAGGTCAACCCACTGTACCATGCGTATATCAGGATATGAACCAACCCTATTTTCCCAGTACCGGCGTTGATCTTGCTTGTTTTTCGTAAAAGTCACCGCCTTCATCGTCTTTCTGCAAGGGCCCTGCAATGTCAAAGATCGACTTCCCAGGATGGTCATGAAGTATGTCAATCCAAAGAAATTGCTTTAGCTGATGACGTAGCTTATCCCAGCTCTCTGCTTGGCAGAGCTTCAAGTTGACTTGTATCCAAGGAACAAGCCAAGAATGATCGGTAGGGCTGAATATTGATATGGCTCCCATCACAAGCAACCAGCAAAGAATGTGAGGTGAAGATTGATTTGGAAACTTGAGTGTCAGGAGACATTTTCGATAGCGCTCCGGGAGATAAGCGTGTGGGTATTTAACTCCTTGCCAGTGGAGGAAGACGTGCGATGAGAATGCCAACTGAACCAGTCGAATAGCTTCATTAAAAGAACTCGAATCGAATGTCATACTGAGCAGCCGATACATTGTAGGCGCCATTGTGTTTAATAGGACTTCTTTAGGCAGCCGACGCTTGTGTTCTGCAGCTGAGTTAATTATGGAGCAAAATCTTCTCAATGTATTCCAGCTTTTTCCTAATTCTTCAACAACGTTTAGATGCTCTAAGCTGGAATATGTCTCGTGTTGAGTGGAGCTTGAGTGTTGTGTCAAGAACTCTTTAAAATCTGGATATGGCATCAAAATTTCCGACAATGGTTCAGTGAAGAAGACAGGCTTGGTACCGTAGCTAAGCGCTATTCCCAAATCGCATCTAGAGGCCAGTTATAGATTAGCAAATGAGTTGGAACTTCACTTTGGGGTCCTGCCGCGTCGCGTACTTCAAGAGCTCTATGGAGAGTTTCGGGTGGTAACTGAAAGTGGACAAACCACCTCGAAGATGAACAATTCTTCGGAGGCCATCAATATGCTTATTTGCGGTTTCATAGTCATTAATCATGTGGGCATGACCAGCAAGGGCCAAAACAACAAGGATTGTGGGATCTGATATCTTGGCCTCTTCATGTTTGGCCGCTAACCTCTCACGGAGGAGTTGAAGTGCTCGAGAATGATGCATGATGATAATTTTAGCAGCCCCGGGGCTTTTCTCGTCAGACGTATGCATGAAGTAAGTCTGAGATGCGAAAAGAACGGTATGAAGATATGCGGCGTCTTGCGTCATGAGCTCGAACCACATTCTATCATAGTTGTCTTTTTTATCGAAATTGATGCATTTTTCCAAAGGATAAATAACTTTTTTAGCAATAAAGGAGACTGATTTTGAGCGATAGAAGTGAGTATTAGCAGTGCGCGTTTCGGCCGGTGTAAGGCAAATAGGGGGGTGACAATTACATTTCAAGATGTCCTTGATCAATGATGGCTCCACAGAATCTGCAAACTGTGTGAAAGATAAGTCTGATCCCACCTTTTGGGGGATATGTGAATAACGCATGTTGATCGATAATCCGGTCGACGCATCTTCGCCATTGTAGCCTAAGTCACTTTGAGAAGGCTGGTAGACCTCTCGCTTCACTTTCCGAGTCTTGCCTCGATTCTTCCCAAGCATGACATATCTTCTGATCAGCTTCCGCTTGTCTGTAGCTGTGCTTCCGATCCCATCCGAAATAATGAACGGCATCTCCACTGAATCATTAACTGCTCTGTTAGACAGGTGAGTTCTTTTTTGGGTACGTACAGATGTCAAGTTACGTACCAATGCCATCTACAGGAGCCATCTGAAATATTGGCCTCTCACCATTGAGGTGAGTGTGTTGAGCTAAGCGGAAATTGGCACTTTGGCTGTTTCGCAAAGCGAGCTACGTGGTAAGATGAGAGAGATAGAGTTCATGCTCTAGTGCAATGATCCATCTGCAGATGACTGTTTTCTGATAAAAGGCAAGCGTTGAAAGGGATTTCAGCGTCTGGGCTATTCGAGAAATGTCCTCGAGCGTGTTACGTAGACACAGCAGCCCCAAAGTGTCCACTTCAAGTTAGCCGTCGCCGGCATGTCGGAGGCACCCCCTGATGATATGGAGATGAGACACTATCTGGCCAATCAAATGAGTTCAAATCTAAAAGCCAGAGACCATACCTAATCCAGCAATCAATATCCTGCATTAGTGTCGCCTCATTCGGCCCTCTGTAATTTCGTCTTGGTGCCAATACTTGCAGGCGATTGCTGGACAATAGTGTTAAAAGATGCTGATGAGGTGGCCTTCAAGCATTCTTAACTCCGTCACCATAGAATGATACACACGCTTATTTGTGTATATATAGGTAGTGCGGTCACCAGCGTTCTTCTCCTCGATAGCTCTGCGAAAGCGTTAAATTTATGAAACATTCAGTTAGACTGCCCCCCTCATCGTTGGCATTTATTTTATATTTCCGCGCTGTCAGAGAATATCAATTGTCCAGTTCATCATGACATCTTCCAAAGAGCTGCCGCCCTTCACCTCTCCATTTTTCCCCAACTTATTCATCAAGAATCAATTCTTTACCAAACCTCGGTTTCCTCCGCAAAGCACTAACCTTTCCGACCAAGTTGCCATTGTCACAGGTTCCAATACCGGCTTAGGCTTGGAATGTGCCCGGCAACTACTATCTTACAAGCTTTCACGCCTGATTATCGCTGTCAGATCTTCAGCCAAAGGCGAAGCTGCAGCCTCCAATCTTCGGAAACAATTTCCCAAATCCAGCATTGAGGTATGGCAGCTGGACATGTCTTCCTACGGCTCTGTCCAAGCTTTTGCATCGCGGCTTGATAAGGAATTGTCTCGACTCGACATTGCCATCTTGAATGCGGGGATGGGAAGGGCGGTGTTTGGCATTTCGCAAGATACCGGGCATGAGGAGAATGTACAGGTCAACTATCTGTCCACGATGTTGCTGTCGATTCTCCTCCTTCCTATACTGAAGAAGAAGTCACCGGTGGGGTTTCCTGGGCGACTGACAATCGTGACGTCAATGCTCTCAATCACTGCCAAATTCGCTGCAAAAACCGAGGTTCCTCTTCTTCCCGCATTTGACAGAGCTGATTTGTTCGATCCTCTTGACAATTACCCAACCTCAAAGCTCTTGGGCCAGTTATTTATATGGAAACTCACAGATATGGTATCTGCAGAGGACGTTGTTGTAAATCTTGTCGAACCAGGCTTTGTCAAGGGAACAGAATTGCAACGCGACATCGGTGGCGCAACAAGAATTTTACTTAACCTCTTCAAGTCTATCAGCGCTCGGTCTGTGAAAGTCGGTGCGTCAACGTACATGGATGCGGCTATCGTCAAAGGGAAAGAATCCCATGGCTGTGTCATTATGAACTGGAGCATTGCACCGTAAGTAGAAAATGATGTTTTTTTGCATCAGTAGCTGTTCCTTTTGTTAACATAGCGCTCTAGGTACGCACCTTTCCAATATACTGCCGACGGCGAAGAGATTATGAAGAGATTATGGGAAGAGACTTTGAATGAGTTCAAGTTTATTGATGTGAATAGCATCCTCGGATCTTTGAAGGCGGTTTAATTATTCGTTTGTTTATTTCCTTTACTATAAGCGTCTATCAAGTAGCCTACATGCACATCTTGACCTACGAAATACCATCTACCTGTTTACAAAATAAAATATTTAAAATTGGATTGAGATGCATTTGACTGCAGACAAGGACGTTGTAAACCTTGCAGTCATTGATCTTAGCACTATATTTACATTGTGTTGCTCAAGATTCCACTTTGAACCAATGCAGTCATATCTAAATGCTGGAGCGATTGTCCCTAGTTCGTCTCTTCCTAGTTCTTCAATGTCTATAATGGCCTGCATACACTTTACCAGTGCAATACTGATCCATGTGGCACTGTGAGAGACCACTTGTACCAGCAGATTTAGGATTTTTTGCCTAGTTTCGTAATCCCGACATTGGGTAATTATAATCGTCAAAGGGATAAGCCAAAAATCGAAGATGAATTTCACATTGTCAGATATGATTTCCATGTCATTAACCAGCTTCTCGAGTACTGTGATGATTTCTTGGTATTGCTTGCACTTAGTATCCCAAAACCGGTCGGTGGGATCCACGCAACACTCTAAATATATTAGATCTATCAGTGCCTCGACCTCAATGACTCTCAGTTCCAAGTGTGTACGAATATCCTGGGTTCTCAGCATGCGCTTTAACAAGGGCCTCCACCGACGAATGTGGGCGATATAACGACATTGCTCGCCTTCATACTCGGATATCGGTGTCTCGGGACTCAACGACATTGAGTACCTCTTGGCGCATTGTTCGCTCCCAGTTGATGCAAAGTAATGCCACAGGTAAGTCGTTGGTCAGTAACATAGTTATTTCGTCTGGCTGAATTCGGCCACAGAGGTCTTCCCTACTGTGTGTCCATATATACTGCAGGCACTTAACATAGAGGTGGTAGAAGATATCTTCAAGTCTCGAAGTCCTTTCTTTGTCTTCGTTAAGATTGTCATCGCCAATGTATCTTGTGGGTTTGCGTCGCCTAGTTTCTGCTTTTAGAAGTTCCAAGGCGGATAACAATAACTTGCTTGATGCATCCATATTCCCTTGAAGCACTTATAGGATTACAAACATGAGTGTAGATGTGATCAAGGGCCGAATCGAGTCGTTGGAATTAATAGTAATGGCACGCTGGCGACACAAGTAAATCGCCTTGGTGTAATGTTTCAACGCCTCGTGAGAATGGTAATGATCAATTTTAAGTCTTGATGTATGCTCGCTAAACGTTAGTTCACGTGCTGTCAATATCTTCTTCCCAGTCAGCTGTTCATATGAGAGCTGGGTTGCCTTGGACATTGCTGTAAGGCCAAGAATAGCAGCTCGGACACTTTCTTCTTGCATGAACTCTTGAATCAAATACGTATCAAACCCCAGGCCGCGGCACCACACCTTTATATCACGTAGGATATAATGCCGAAACATGTCGAAGTATCCGACATCCAATGAATTGAGATGGATGGGTGAGAGGCTGCGAGTCAGCAGCGGGATTGGCAGCGCTGTTTCAGTCTGTACAATTCTCATCTGCACGTTTTGGGGCCGCAAAGCTACGAGCGATCGTGGGGACGGCTTGATAGTTTGCCTTGTCTTCACTTTTGGTGGCCCGTAGCCCAGGCACTCGATGCCCGATTTGACACAACGCTCACATTCCGGCTTCTCTTCGTCGTACTCTAGGTGGGCATTTTGATGAATGGACATCAGGGGCGCCTGGAGCCATGCACTTTCTCGAAGCTATTTTAACAGGAACCTACAACAACACTGGGTGCAGGATTATGGAAATCGCATCAAGTTCTAGCTAAGCAGGTGCCAATGTTAAAGCGGTCCATACTTAATAGGCGGGTCAGTGAGGGGTAAGGCTTAACGTACTCTAGAATATCACTGGCGCTTTTTTAACCAAGATCGTTCAATACCAATTGTAATTACACATGTAACATGGCGCTACATAAATCCAGAGTGAATACCACAATAGACAGTCAACATCAATCCCAGTCTCTGCATTCCGATCCCATTCACAGTTAATACTTGGCATGAATAGTGAATCATTTTTACCTCATCCGCACGGGAGCATTCGTATTTAATGTGGGTAATGATGCTTCTCGCAAAGCTAACTTATTCTAGTTTGAAAGAAAACCATCACTTTAACGTTATGTTATTCCCACCTAAAATGATGTAGCGAAGGTTAATGTAACACCGCTTCTCATGGGGATACTAATATCACCTTCGCAGGCGGCGGCACAATGGCATGCCCAGCAGTCGATGGTCACGAGTCTCAGATACACTGTTGCCGTTTGCATCAACAAGTGCTCGGAGGGGGCGGGGCGAATATCCATTCAGCGCTTATTTCTGGGCTGTGAAATGTCGTATACCGCAGGGACGAAATTAGAGACAACCTTTCAGCCATTTTCTGAGGATGATGCCTTTCTTATACTATAACGGTTGCAGTGGCTTTTGTGCGTAGGCTTGTAAATCAGAGAGATGCATTATAATAATGAAACCCTAGCTGGGTGGTAATTTAGACAATGATACGTTTCTGCTGCTATATAATCAGGTTCACATTTTGGAGAATTATGCTGATTAATAACATTCATTTCTAGCTTGGGAAGATAATTTGTTGGTTAATACTCCAACTATGTGACAGCCGGAAAAGAAAATGTGACGATGTATAGACATAGGAAGAAAAGGGGAGAGACACCTGGACTAGGGAGTTATAGAGCTCCTGGGTTGTTTATTATTCAATGTACCATCATCATTCCCGATAAATAGCAACGTTTGACAGCTGTACAAACCTAGTTTATGTCACCTTGAAAATGTTTGAATCGTGGAACTTTAATCTGCAATATAACGCTGCCAGAGTTAAGGATATAAGAAGATGAAAAGATCGGTTGGTTATATATCGTCTTCCTGGTATCTGCTCTCCTAGGCTGGTCTCTATATATGTAGGCACATTACCAATCAACTTGGCCATATGGACGCTGTGGAGTTGACAGGGTGATATTGCCATGGCCAGTCAGCTTACCAGGATCTGAAAGCATCTCATTGTACCAAATTTCTTGATCTAACAAGAACTCTCTGGCCGTTTTATTACCACTGGCATCCAGAGGTTCTTCTCCTCTGCCGATTTGGCCCATCTGCGTACCCGCCAAACGAATATCATGCCAATATCCTCAAGCATTTTCACTAGCTTAATCGCACTGAGAATCCGGCCGCTGAAAAAATCATTTGCAAATCTCGGTTCCTGCGCTGCGGGCCGGCCGATACCGATGCCGAGTGTTCAAAACGTTCCTGATCTCAATAAAGTCTGAAGACAATTGTGTACAACAGTAAAATATGACGAGCATAATAGCAATAGAATAACCCATATATGTATGTACATATTCAGGTTGCGTCACAAATGTATCGCCTATAGCTACTACACGGTTCAATTACGCTACTTCTGTAGCTAAACCTCGACAAAAGCTGAAGTTCTATTTCGTCTTTGTGAGTTGCTCGTCATCATGATTTTATTCTCATCTGTTATCATAGTTGCCATTTTTGCAGAAGTTGAGGCATCGGAAGCACCATGGAACGCTTTGGGCAGCGAAAGGCTGTTCAAAGGCTATCTCAAAGTACTTCAAGATGCACAGCCTGTAAATCTATTGAGGGTTCTCCTCTCATTCCACCCTGCTGATGAGTCTCTGGAGCCTTTCGGCATATAGGCCGGATAACATAGACAACGTATGCGGTCATGGTGAATACAAAGTCATCCCTTTGTGGTGTAAGCATCTGACATACTGCGCTTTGTGGTAAATATAACGGCCCGGTGTGGGCGTGGTCCGATAGTTTCTACAATTACATAAAGAAGCTTCACTCAGACGAGATTACCGGCAAGCCTATAGATACCACAAAGTTCCCCCTGCTCTAGGATTTGTCGTCGAGTTCTCATCATAGCATGAAAACAGGTCAAGAGGGAACTTTGGCTACCTTCGCTTGCAGCAGAAAGCATCATATGTCTATCCATAATATGTTATTCATAAATGTTCATTCAAACGGCCTTTATTCAAGATAAGCTAGCTGACGAACTATCCACCTGTTCAAAGTCATGTAATGCCCATGAAAGGGTGTAAGCTTTATGGGGATGTTACTGACCACGGCGCAGATAACACCGGTTAAACAGAGAGAGACGAATGTAGCTATTAATGCAGCCATTAAAGAGGGCGATTGGTATGGCATGAACTCGATTTCATCAATTACCTCAAATACACTCGGTCGCTACTTGAAGAATCGGCAACGCTTTAGAGCAAGATAAACCAAGTAACTGGGGGTGCCTCTGCGGCATTCTTCTAGATCAATGATCTGACCAATATCGAAGCAGCTCAGTCCGGAAAATCACAAGAATATCTAGGGATCACGCACTATGGCATTGTGAATATCAACGAAGCCAATCGTTATCCATGGACAGAATCAGGCAGCCAAGAGTTCCTTCGTGACCGTAGCACATGGGAGATCTCGCAGGTTTTAGAACCACCGGGGGCATCTGAGCCAACTACTAGAATATAAAGACGAATCCGCAGTAGTTTTACTGTGATGTGGCGGATGACGCACTGGGAAGTGGCCAGGCCATTGACCTGATCGAAGGCAACCTCGGCCAAGCCTAACCTGTAAGTATAAGCTTGCTCGGATATAAAGCTAAGGTACCTAGGTATGGCTAATAAAAGTGATAAGCGGAATTCTCAGGCACAAAAGCGCAGTACATCGACGGGCAAAAGTTAATTTTCTACCAGAACACGAAGGTACCCAACTCAGCACGCACAGCAAACAGGTCGGCGACATCAATGTGAGCAAGAGACTGGGTCTGGCGCGCAAAGCTCAGTTTATAATCGTGTGCATCTACAATGGGTCACCCAGCAACAATAACATTCACATCCACAAGCGGTACCTTGCAAGCTGGGTCGCTACCCTTGCTAGAATAATACTCATTCCAGTAATAACAATATATATTTACAGTAACAGTTGTACTATTCTTTACTATTGCCACTGTTACTTTCTGTGAGGTATTCTTTTCAGTCTATAACATAGAAAAGCAGCGCGCTACTGGTCTAGTTGTTACATAACTCGGAAACTTTCGCCCAACGGTCCCCAAAACTCCTTTTAGATCAAGTACGAAGCCACCGCCGCGATGGTGAGAACGCCTGCCATACCTACGGCGACGTTTCTATTGCCAGCAGAGACAGGCACAATACCGGTTACAGTAGCAGTGCTGGTGCCCGTGGGTGTAACAGCGCTAGAGCTCATACCAGATTGGCTAGAGATGATAGTGAATGAAGCACCAGAGCACGAAGGTGTCGTTACTGCAGAGCGCGTAACGATGTCGTTCATTGATGAAGGTGTTGGACAGGCGCTGCAGGTAATTGTAGACTCGGTCGCTGCCTCAGTGACATAGAGAGCTGTAGAATAACTATATATGAGTATAAAGTTTCGGCAGATCTTTTATCCCATAGGACTATTGACTTACCAGACAAACCGGCCACGATATAGAAGACCTTCATAGTATCAGAGAGGCGACTGAAATAACAACTTGGTTCGCTGTCAGTGAATCACAGAGTAACAAACTCGGGATCTGGATAAATAGTCTCCCAAAGAAAAGGAATTGGGGGAGGCAAAGTTTACAAAGGTAAGAAAGGGGGTCATAATGGACTAGCTGTCCAAACACTGACTTAAATATCAAGGGGTTCGTTTCCTTTGCCCAACCTGCATAACGGCAAACAAAACCAGCCGAACAGGGCCGCCAAGCGGCTGATACATCCTTGCCAAGATTCATCTCGTCCTCCTCCCTAAGAAGGAAAACTAGTCTATGTAAGAGTATCATCATCGGCACAGTCCATGACCAAAAAGGGTTTGGTACGCGGACACCAGGGGAGTAACAGATTTCAGACATCATCCAGATATTGCACTTTTCTCAATCTATCTCTGGATCTTTTAGACTATGCAGCATATTTTTCTACAGGCGATTGCCCGGTGTTACACCAGCCTCCTAAGATACTACATGCTATGTGTAAGGGGCATATGTATGCGTGCTGTTTCTTTATCACCGTGGTCGCTCTCTAAGATGCTTGACATCAGTTGTTAGGATTTACGTGGGTAAAAGTCGATTACAAGAAGTCTATCTCATACCAAGTAGCGCTGGTATTCCTTGCTTCGCGGTGCGGGATGGACGCTAGTCTCACAAATAGAGGCAATCGGGTTGTAATTACTCCGTGCAAGCGTCGTAAACACCACCCACACATGTACACACGATGCGGACTTGCGGTCATCACCAGTGCGAGTCTGACCGCCAGCCGTCGCTGGCCCTTCTTAGAGCGGAAGCGCAGCCATCCGAGACATGTGGAGACGGCAGAGATGAACCAAAGGGCAAATCGTCTCTTTTTATTGCTAATCGCCACACAAGGATCTCCTATGGCGGCAATCCGATCGCCTGGGCATCGTTACTAGTGCCTCGGGACAGCGCACATCCGCTCATTAGTACAACCTAAGGTCTTAATAATTTTGTACGGCTGGGCACCTCAACTCTCGTGGCCCGCTGTTGTTGGGGCGCTCGTCGGTGATGTCATTCCCGCGCACGCGTTCATAGAGCTGCAAGAGGCCAAACATCGACAACCCCAGCATCCAGGACGTATTGGTTATATGGGTAAGATTACACTTTTCCAGTTCTCGATGACCGTAGTACCAACAACGCTGCATGTTCGGGACGGGGCTGAAAAAGGGGTGTAACGAAAAGCAAATTGCCCCATCTCCCTTACATTGACCCATAACAACGCCGAAGCCACCTTGCTTGCCACTACTATCAGTAATGCCTTGATGCTGTGCCCAGTAGTCTTTATTATGTTATAAATGGTGGTTGCATTGGTTCCTCAATCTATTTAAGCCATCCTCTTCTAGCCATCACATCTGTCTACTTTCACCACAAGCTTTTTTCACCATCAAACCAGCTCCGCGTATCAACACCTCTTCTGGCTGGCCTCACATTGTTTGACTTACCACCATGTTCTTCCTTCAAGCTGCTATTGCTCTCTTTTCTGTCGGCTTCGTCGCCGCGGCTCCAGCTGTTGAAAAGCGTGCGGCTATTACTGACGGTAATTAGCTCCTCCGTCCTCCGTCTAATAGATTGGGGACAGAAAAAATGGCCGTGCCATCCGTGACACTTTGACTAATAGCGTTTCATTAGTTGATATACTCAACTATGCCCTGACGCTGGAGCATCTCGAAGATACCTTCTACCGTCAAGGCCTCGCCAACTTCACGCAGGATGACTTCGCCAAAGCTGGCTACGATGCCACCTTCTATGGCAATGTCCAGAAGCTTTCTATAGACGAGGGTACTCACGTCTCCTTCCTAACCTCCGCTTTGAAGGGTATGTCAGAACCAGTCCTTCGTTCTTGTTAAAGATCAAGAAGCTTTGGGAGCAAGACTGATTGAATTCTCTCAGCTGCCGGCGCTACTCCTGTCAGCGCGTGCTCGTACAGCTTTGGCGTGACCGATGTAGCCAGCTTCCTAGCTACGGCATCCATTCTCGAGGGTGTTGGTGTCTCTGCTTATCTTGGTGCGGCTGCTGATATTATGAGCAAGACCTATCTCACTGCAGCGGGTTCTATTCTAACTGTTGAGGCCCGTCACTCCTCCTACCTACGTGCTAATCTCAAGGAAGCCCCATTTCCCCAACCATTTGACGCCCCCTTGACCTTGGACGAGGTATACTCGTTAGCCTCTGGGTTTATCAAGTCCTGCCCTTCGAGCAATCCGAGCCTGCCCATAAAATCCTTCCCTAAACTACAACTCGCTCCTGCGACTGCCGTACCCGTCGCCCCCGGCACAACGGTTACACTTCTTACTCCAGTACGTCTTTAATCAATGAACAGCTCTGGTACCACAGTTGTTCCTGACACTTATTATTGAAACGAATACTTATTTTCATAGGGCTACACCCTGAAGGCCGATAAAGGCGCCCAAATCTACGCTGCCTTTATTGCTGTCACTGGTCCAACCTTTGTTCCCGCCAGACATGTCAATGGCGGCTTCTCTGTGACTCTTCCCAAAGGGTTCGCTGGCCAAACCTATGTTGTCTTGACTACTTGTAATGAGAGCGTCTCTGATGACACCATTGCTGCTGGTCCTGCTATTCTGGAGGTATGCCTATCTCATGTCCAGTTGTGTGTATTGAACTTGTACTAACAGCGATAAGACTTCAAACTGAATTCGGTGGTGACTTTATATCACATAACGAAGTTTATTTATTCAGCTTATTATAAAATTAACGCGTGTTTTCCTTGGCTACTTGGACACTTTGGAATAAGATTGAGAACTCATTTTACTATGAATAATAATAAATAAATTTTCTTACGTATAGTTTGCAAAACATATAAAAACAAACGCAAACAGGCCGAGCTAGCGAAGGTTTATAACCTGATTGTCGTCAGCGGCATTGACATTAACTCAGTCGTGTCCCATGTCAACCCGTTTTTCAGCTAAGTTGCTAGCTAAGTTGCTATAGTCCCGGATTCAGAGTCCATATGGGAAAGCCTTCTAGCAGCGGCTTGACTCTAGCCGATGATGCTTCTCTAGGGCAGTGCAGCCATTCCCAGTCATGCAACATTCCCTTCTCTCACACTTCTACACGCAAAACATAGTTGACTAAACTAAAGGCGGAATTATAATAACAATGGTCTTTGTGCGAAGGATGTTGGCAATATGGTGCCCCACAGATCTCCCAGCAAAAAATAACCCCCCCCACAGGTGTCTCACAGGATTTGCTGTGCATTGCGCCATATATGAGACATACATGCTCTTGGTTGTCTTATTGCGAGTGACATTTATGTCAAGGAAGCAGCGAGAGGATTCTGCCGTGACTTTGATCTCCTATGACTTAGCTACGGATAACTCGTTATTATTTCAGTGGCTGAAAGAGTTTCAAGGTGCTATTCCTTTTACGATAACTACCAGTCACAAGCTAAGCCTCCTTATATATGCCCAAAATCACCCTCGAATGAACTTTTATTAAGAAAGAATATTGTGATATTGTCTAATGAATACAACTCACTGGATAGAGTCATCGGTTGTAGATAATTGCCGTGAGTTGAAAACCATTACAACTGCCACGCCAGGGAGCGTTATGAGACTATAGCATCGGAACTACTCCACGTCAGATTGTTGACGTGTCCACCAACAAACATTGGTAAAGTATCCGCAGTTTGGTACCAGGTAGGCTTTGCCATACCATCCCAGATCTCCCTACCATTAACGGTTAGACCTTGAAAGTCGACGAATTCTATGCTCCGCTCATCGCTATATCCTGCGATAATTGACATGACCTCCCCTGTCCCATTATAAGTGACATCCTTAATCTTGAGGTTCTGGATACCCCGTCCTGGTGCTGTGTTGTACTTCGGGTTAAAGAACACTTTGAAGTTGAATAACATGCCAATACGAAAGTTCTCAATACGAACATTGTCAATCGTAACATCTTTGATGAGGTTCTCGTCTCCGCAATTAATGGCTATGCACCCCATATAGTCAACTTGCGGCTCCCGGTGATCCAATATATCGATATTGGATATAGTGACTCCTTCCATAATCTCAGGATCCACTGCGTTTCCATGGATTCCTATATGGATTGGATGGGCAACATCTGCCCAAAGAGCCGAATCCCGGACCGTGATATTCTTGGAATCACCAATATAGCCCCAGCGATGCTGATACAATGCTATACAGTCGTCTGAATTCCTCATAAAGAGCTTTTCAAGGATAATATTGGTGCTGCAAAAGACATCGATGCCATCACCCCATTGAACTCCGCTAATAGATCGAAACTCGCTGACAATGACATTATCGGCCATACCAAGCGTAAGAGAATAGTGTGTTGGATTGAGAATTGTTACTCCTTTAATTTGGATATTCGTGGAGGATTCGACCGTGATTGACCCGCTTTGGTAGATGACTCCTCGTCCGAGAATCACAGCATCGGAGGAATTTTGGAAAAGAAAATCACCCTTTACCACTGCACCTGGGGCCAGGTAAACAGTTTCCCCTGACAAAACCTTGACTGTCTCGTTGAGTACATGGTATCCAGCTTCATATCGACGGATGGATTCAGGGCTGTGTGTTGAAGGTTTGATGCTGTCGATTGCGCCAAGGAACAAATGAAGGACATTGAAGACGTCTCCATTGACTTCTACAACAATGTCTCTTGGTTCAAACAAAGCAAGATCAATCCGTTGGCCATTAATAATGGCATCAATTCCATAGGATAGCGGACGTATTCTAACAGTGTCGATGGATGAGAAGATGTTGGGATCCGGAAATATGGACAACGTCACACTTTTACCAAAATCGAAGAGGCCAACTGAAGTGTGATGAATATTCGCGTGCCCAGTGGTGGAGTTGATTTCCTGGACTGGAGTGTCGAATAATTCCACTTCTTGCCACACGGAGTGGTGTGTAGACCGGACTTTGACCTGAAAAGTCTTTGATCGCGTGACGTTGCTGGGAATTTTGAAGACTTCAAGAGTATTCTGATCTGATTCTCTAATTGCGTGTGCTGTAATGATCGTAGATGCAAAGCCACTACTGCAAAACCATTGGAGGGGTAGAGCCCACTGGACAGCACTGGAGAATCTCATATTCGTGGAAGTATCATTCGTTGGTTTGCATGCTGTAGCCACATTACGAAGCTCTTTTCTCTCCGGTGTATTATGTTTGTTTTATGCTGTTGTCCTCCACTACTAAGGCCCGCGATTTGTTCCGCTGTTGGCGATGCTAACTGTATTTCCCTTCACAGCTGCACCACCTTTTTGTCATAATATACCCCAGACACCAGGGTAATTACACACTCTAGCGAGCCTCGGAATAGGCTCCGGCCCGCTCCCCGACCACTGCCAAGATTTGTAGTGTCATCGCGCTGGGTTACGCTGTTGTTCGAATCCGGAAATTCATTGTGCAAAGGTTCCCCACATACTACCTCTGAGAACTACAGAATCGGTGAGGTAACGTAATTGAACTGTATGTAAACTGGGGCTTGTCATTAGAAACAAATACTGAAGCCCTCAATTTTGTAATGCCAGTGAATCGTGACTGAGGTACCTAATCATATCTCTAACCATCCGTAACCCTTGGGGTCAGCCCGTCTCTTCCCACAGAACATCATCGTCAGTTAGCTCGTAATAACGTACGATGCACAAAATGCAATTAAAAACCATCTACCTCTTACCATTCACAAGATCATCGTTTTAATCTTCTGACAAGTATCTCAGGCCTACTTTATTAGTCAGCGTCGTTGGTTGACTTCAGATTCTTGCTGAGCATATTGACCGAGAAGCAGAGCATGCTTGCCCCAGTTCGGAGCGTGGGTGCGAGATTTGGAACGACACAAAAGACTCGAGAATTGGTAGAGCCATTTGAACCAATTGCAATTTGATTGGCAGTTGAACAAGCATGTTTTCCTCATTCCTGTTCTTTGCTGATGATCACTACTTCCAACGGGCAGTTTCAGGTCTGTTATCCAAAGCGCTGCAAACTCCGGAGATTGACCCGGAGGAATAATGTGGAACTGGTGCTAGAACTACCGGAGATGTCACCGAATCACCCATACCAAACTACCTCTGACTTTACGGGTGTTGGATACATGTGTTGGCGTGTATGCTTTCTTTTTACTTTATCGCTGGTGCATCTTGTCGATTAGAACATAACTGAAAATATAAAATTCCTTAGGGTAGCCCCTGAAAGAGGAGTAGCGTTCATCTTCGCGGCGGCATCCGCCCTCATTTTCATAATTACCATCTCTCAAAGGTATGTATGACTAACTGGAGAAATGCTTCTGTAAATATACTCTACGAATTATCTGCTGCCGTAGGACCTATTATGCCGCGACTACCGCGAGAAGTGAAACTGGGGCTAAGACAGTTCAAGCACCCTGGCATATGGCATTCCCATGACAAATTCGAACTGATGCGAAAAAGAGGTCAAGTAAGATGAACAGCCATGGTCTTGGAAGGAGGTCGCGCCATACAACTGCGGTTTTCCCTCAACCCTCCCGGTCGTCTAGGATCCGATCTATTCTAAGTATGCAGTGCAGAGATGGGAAACAGCACCTTGGACATTTAAGGCGAAAGAGTTTCACAACTCTCGGGGCGGGCAGAGCCCTGCGGGTTGCACATTGATGGGATGGAGTGATATTATCTGGACTACAGAGCCTGAGGAGAAGCATAAACGTTGGCTTCAAAGGACGACTATGGTATTTGAAGGAGATAGAATATACGCATAGTGAGATATTCTGCTCCAGCCATTAAGTAGTAGTTTCATGCTTATATATACCTAGTAAGACTACGGGTTAGGGTTATTACGTTTTATGCATTTGGATAGTGTTTCTCTTTCTTCACACTTAAGTAACTTATCTTATTATTTATAAGAGAAAGTACTTTTGTTAATCATTTCCGGTTATATTGCTTGTACCTAGTAAACTGTAAAACTAACGGTTATAATGCTTGTGGGGTGTAGACGCTGTTAGCGAGTCCATAATGGCGGGACAGCTCCAATATTATTTACACTTGAGCTTTGCCGAGTCTCAGAACTTCCTCCAACCGAGCCCGGGCCAATCTTCAATGGCATCCTTTCGCTGAACGCGAGGCCATCGAATCAGATTTGGATTCATGCCGACAAGGAACAGCTATTTGATACCATATGAGAATGGAACCTCTACAGTCAGCCGCCTGAATTGCAGTCCCCGATTCGCAATCTGATGAACAATCACCACCACCATTGCCTTGGGCTTGGACATAATGGCGTAGTGACTTACAGTAGTCCCACAAACCGTTTTTATGCGTGTGCATTAGAAGAGCACCTGGCTATTAAAGATGGCCTGCAAGACTTCCTTGCGCTAGAGAAAAAAGCACTCCCAACGTTATGAAGAGGTAGGTCAATACTTGTTCCAGCCCTTTAATAAAACTCGTATCTCAGTAGGACAAGCATTCAGGTTGCCCAATCCCTCCTGTATTACTATTTACGACCTGACCAGTTCGTTGCGTGTTAGAGTCATGATGGCAAACGCCGAATTCACCATTCTTACACCTAATGCCATACTTGGCTATAACTACAACTCACATCACTTTTGGTACGGTATCGAGAAATACACACCGGCAGCTATTATCGTTGATAGCGGTTCAACAGATGGGGGGCCGTACAAGTTGGTCACAAAAAAAAAGGACCTGTGGCAGAGGACCATATGTTCGTGCCTTGGACCAATTCTTGCAACTTGTTTTCACTTTAAAGTCAAAGTATTTATTGGGTCTGTTGGAGACGATGCTAGCTCACAGAATGTTGTTGGAGTGTTCGATATCGTTGCCCAAATCGCAAAACGGCAAGATTATGAATTCAAACTTGCAACCATTGCTGCTACTATGGATCTCGATTTCATCCAATGGAGGATTTACAATGGTAAAGTAGGCTCCCGTGGCCCTGTCAAGCCACTATTGCCTGAAGTTGTTGATGGGGCCGTGGATATTGTCGCCCAATTGGGAGCAGAGCCGTACAACTCCCCAATTCCGCATAGCATAACGTATGCTTACCGGTTTTTTCAGATATTTCGAATCGTTAAAGAACGACCCCGGTATTATTCTCGGTGGGCGACTATATGATCCTGCCCCCTTTGCTGCCTTTTGCCTCTCACGAGGAGTCCAAGACGGCGTGACGTGGCACATGGAAAGATCATGAAGTGCGGCAGCATCTGCGCCTTACCCAAAGGTCGCTCCATAGTCGCCACGGTGCGTCAAGAGTCCTTTGACTTGACTCTTTGATGTCCGGAAGAACACTGCACACTGCTGTCAGTAGCTGCTCATCCACTCTATGAAAAGACGAGACCAGATCTCTTGTCTGGTTCGAGGGGTGTTTTAAGGTTAGACAGAGCTCAATACGAACCAATATCACACCTCACGAAATTGCCATCCGTAGTTGCGTCAACTCAAGAGTTGTCGCATACCATTGCTACCGTAAGAGCTTCCACTTTACATTCTGCATATACAAACCAGATGGCTTTCTGGATAAAACCAGAAATAAAATAAACCCCATCATCTCACTAACTGATCAATAGTAATCTAGCCAACAAGTATGGAGTGGCTTATAAGTTTTACAAAGTTTTCAGGCGAATGTTACAGGGCCTAAAGAGAAAAGAGAAAAACATCTGCTACTTTTAGTACCAAAATGGGAAAATTAACTTCTCCACTTTTCAGTCTCGTATCCTCTTTGTATCAAGATTATCCCATAAAATAAAAGCTTATGAAACAGAGCTGTTACAAGGATCCGGGAACCCAATGGCCCAAAGCAAAAGAAAAAAAAGAGATCTCACTGGGCTGACATAAAAGGTCCTCCTTATTAACATGTGTGGGCCAAGCTTGACCGCTAGTACTTGAATTTTCACTCATGAATTATCTCCGGCAAATGACTATGGAATAAAGGGGCCCGCGAAGAGAGTTAGGTAATACTACTTAAAGAGATTGGGATTTTGTGTAAACTATATAAAATGAAAACCCTAGGAAACATTGTTACCTTAACTATAATAACCTAAACAAGGAAAAAATACAACAGTTTCCAGCAATTGTACCCAGTAGGTTATAAATATTCGTTGGGTGTCCTTAGATAAGTAGGGTCAGTATACTAAATATAGCAATATATAATGCAACTATAGTATAGATAATCCAACTTGCATTAATAAAAATGTATACTCTTGAGATTCGTAGATATAAAAGCCTGTACAAAGTATTAATAATCCCTAAAGTAGTTTAAGTGTGAATATTAACTATTTAGGAAGCTGAAAGACTTAACGCTATTGAATCGTAGAGCTAAATACCTTCTTAATTTAGTATATTCAGTTGTTCCAAAGACTATTAATAAACTCCTATTATCTTTGTTAAGAGTCAGCAAGTTTATCCATTTCAAGAATAGGAAAAATATATATATAAGCTTAGCTTCCTTGCATTCTTATCTTAAATAAGAACCATAAAAGAAGCATTATGACCATATGTAAATTTTTGTTTCCTCCAGATCAAAGCATTTTCATTATAATCTCTCCCCCATTAATAAAAGCCAGCTCCCCATAATTTCCTCAAACTTCACATTATTCAGTCTACCTATAATTACTTTCTCATACCAAGAACAGCAATAACCTCACTATGGTTGCTTTTCTTAACACCAAACTCGCTGCACTTAGTGTGCTAGGCCTTATCAGCTCCGCGTCCGCTGGTATCCAGCTTAATGCTTATTCCAATGGTGGAAGCTCCAACTACGCCGGCCAGTTCAACCAGCCCTCAAACGGAGTTTTGACCAATTGGACTGTTTCGGGTTCTAATAGCGCCATTATCGCAAATTGTGACGGTTATACTTGGTGCGATTGCTACTGGTGGACGGGACCTAACGCCTTTGGAAACATGGGATACACCGCTTATGGAAGTAACAACTATGCGTCTGCATGGGGTTCTGGATGGAAATCTGTTAGCTGCACGTATGGATACAATGGGCGCCGTGGGAAATGTGTTACTGCTGGAACTTATGAGGCTAACCTGTAGAATTTGGGATCTTCTACACACTCTCTGGACAGTAGGGATAGTTTGACATCTATTATAATATACACTTGAACTACCAATTTGTGCCTTGAGAATAATTAACTCGAGACTACTATAGGAACCTACTTTGTTATCTTTATATATTATCATTTTCTTTATATTGTAAGCATGTAACTGCGTTAATCTATATCATAACCTACTCTATATATGCGCGGCAGCTACATCTCAAAATTCAGTCTCTTGGTTGACCTAAGTATTATGCGCTTTAATAGTATACCAGTTCAGTTACCAATTTCCTTCTCGCGCCTGTAAAGGCTCCGTAATCTTCTGTTGGCGCCCAGAATATAAAGAAACGTAAACACTCTGGAATAAACCTATAAGTCTAGACTCTTCGCTACTAAAGACTATTATATTTCCAGGGCTCCTATAGTTTTTTTTTTCTCCTAATTGGACGCAATAGCAGCTGTGTTGTATCTTTTACTTATATTGCGTGCTTTTTCTGGTGCGTCGGCACCCAAGACAGTGGGGAATTTGAAGAAGAGATGCTTTATTAAATCCTAGCGTTTCCTTAAATAGGAGTCGTAAGGTTGTCACCTGTCTCCTCAAACCGAGACATCTATACAGGTAACTCAGAGTGATAATAAACAATTGCGTAAGGGATGCAGAGAACAAGTTCTTTAATTACGTTATAGCCACGGGATTTTTCAGCTCGGTTGTTGCTGATGCTATACTCTTGTAATGTAGTGCCTTAAGAATGGATACCAGCCACGCTCTCCTCGCTAAACTTTATGCAAGCCTCATCATTTAAACGACGCCATAATGTGTCCCGCGTTGCGCATTCGTGATAAGCAGATCCAACCACAAGTGCCTCAAGCAAGCTGGCAAATATCCGCCCTTACTCCAGTTTCAAAACGAAGTCTAACTCTGCAAGCCAGGCTTCTTAAGCTGAGCTCACATGAGTTGGCAGAATCAATAAAATGGCTTAGTGCCCTAGTCGGTGCCGCCGGTGTGGTAGCTGAGTGATACTAGTGCATCCGTAGACGCCAAATGCCCAATAATTGGAGAATCTAGACGTAGATTACGCGGGATCTACCAAAAAAACCTGGCGTTAGGTGGGCCTAGAGCCATCTAGAATCAGCTGAAGGACAGGGGCAACAAGACTATTGATTACCGGAGATTGAGCATATGTAGATCGGTAAGTCTAGATCGCGGCAATCATAACATAGGCAAGAGGCGGTCTATACCTTCTTAACAGTCTATTCTTAAGGACATCCAGTTCCTCTTTTAATGTGTTTTCTTTTTTACCAACTACTTGGAGATTTTGTGATTGTCTCTTTCCTATCCATTAATTCTGTGATCTGTGCACTAGGTCTCTCTCTTCCATAATGGTTGCGTTCAAAGCGGCGCTGCTATGGCTCAGCACTTTAGCTTACGTTCGTGCATTACCAGCAAGTAACAAAGAAGCTGAGTACAAGTATGACATTAATGGAGAGATCCTTACCTCTGGCACCGATAAGAGATCAAACAGCTATCCAGGTATGCAGCCTTATCCTCCCTACACCTTACGAGAGCGCTTTACCATGACCATTGGTTAAACAGCTGGATAGTCTGTAAAAATGACCGAAACTACTCAGCCCTTGAGCGCAATAAGGCCAAGGCATTGCCATTCTGCTCCACGTACCTTCGCAGCACAAAGATCATAACAGTGACACCCACGATTCGCAAGACCACCACTCGAAGCGATTACATAACAGCTACCGTTCGGCAGACCAGTACAGTCACCACGCAGAAAATTACAGTGGCCACAGCCAGAGTGACGGACACGTCTACTGCCACCCAAACAAGGACAATTACTGCCCAGGTCACAGACACCAAGACAGAGCGAGCTACCATTACACTCACAGACGATCTTACCGACACTGCTACAGCTCTGGCGACAAGAACAGCAACAGTGGAAGTCACTGTTGATATTACGAAGCAGGTCACCGACACCGTTACAATTGGGGTAACAGACACAGTTACCAACCAGGTCACAAGCACGGTGACTGAGGAAGCCACCGACAAAGAGTCTACAACTGTCACAGTAACGTAAGTATTTTATTAGCCATACAACCCCCCAACAAGATTTAATACTAATAACTTACTCTAGCTCTACGTAAGCTACCTATTGCCTCTGAACAAACTTTACAAACAAAAAACATTAACAGTCTGCAGCGCCCCGACCCCTACCCAAACTATTACCACGAGTTAGTTATCTTCTATCAAAATATTTGGTAACAAATACATTTGAAACTGACTCCCATTCAAGACAAATACCATTGTTCCATTACTGGGTATGGTACAGCCCAGTACAGTTTGGCCGCTGGTCCAAGTGGTAGTGGCACCTTTGCCTCATGTAAGGCGTTCTGCTTGACGGTATCCGGCGCTGTTAGCTTTGGATATGGCGGTGGGCAATGCGCCTGTTACAATGCCCCGGCGTAAGTCCCCTTTGACTTCGCTCTGTTGTCCGAGACAATGAAAAGTAACGCTTTGGAAATTGCAGAGAAATAAATGCAAGAAAGCAACCCACCCAATACTACTTCTCAGACCTAGCTTGCCCTTCTGAGAATCCTCCCGTAAGTTTTATTTTCCACTGCCGCAATCTGGCGGATGATCCTAATCTCAGAGTCCTTTTAGCCTACCAAACGAGCCGCCACGCAGCCTAAGCTCCCTGAATATATCCTATGTGATAATCCTCGAGATATTAGCAAAGCCTGCTCGTGCCTCATTACTAAACCGGCCGCTCCCATTACCAAGACAGCTACTGCCTACTCAAAGACTATTACGGCCACAGTAACAAAGTGCAAGACGGTCACAGTTACCAAACCAACAACAGTCACAAAAACAATCCAAAAGACTGCCACCACAACTCTGCACCAAACTGCTGTGAAGACAGCCTACAAGACCGTCACCACCACCCACCATAACAGCGCGACAGTGACCAATACTGTTACAAATGAGGTCACTGAGTATAATACTATTACAATGACTGCCTACAATACTGTCTCTGCAACAGAATATAATACAGCATACTTTACGAGTACGAATATAGTCTCTCAAACAGACATAGTTACTCTCACTGCTATAAATACTAACTATGAAACAATTACTAATACTGTTACTATTACTAAGACTAGTATTGCTACATTTACATTTACCCCTTTAATAGCAACTGCAATAGTAACTCAAAATGGATTTGAGTATGGGTCTTAGATTATAAATAAGAAATTAATAAATAAGTAGTAATTATTAAAGTATAATTAATAAGCCTAATATTTATATTATATATTTATATTAGCTATATAATTAAGACTTAATACTTATGTTATAAGTATATATTAATTATATATGAAATATAAAGTAAAAATTATATAGCCCTTAGTATAATAATTATAAATTATAAACTTATTTTTAATATTAAAGTTTAAGTTATATAAAAAATAAAAAAAGTAATTAAATTACTATTTAAACTTTTTCCCCTAAGGAAAGTAATTACTTAATTATTTTTAAAAGCTAGCTTATAATAAACCAGTTTATACTAAGTAGTATAAGGTAGATTTTTAAGGTAATAAACTGTTTATAGTTTATATTAATAAAGGCAGTAGGATATAATTAAGTAATTTTATTATATAGCTAGTAAGTTAAGTATAAAAATTAATCTTATTACTATATTAATAACTAACTATTTAAGCTATTTAATAAGTATAAATATCTTATTTTTATATAGTAAGTTATTCCTTTATAAAGTAATATAGCCTATTGCTTTATTATCTAAGGGAGTAATTACGTAAAGCACTCTAGCAATTAAGTTTAGCGCTTTAGTTTTTTATTAGTTAAAGTAGAATAACCTTATTCTAGGTATATATTTATTTTAGATTATATAAGAGGTTAGATTAGGTTATAATATAATATCCCCCTTTTATTAGCTTTATCCTTAAGGCTAAATAAGGAAACTTATACTTAATTAACTCCTAGTATATAATCTTAGTAAGTTTATTTATTCTTCCTATTATAATACTATAGCTAATATTATAATAGTTTTTTAAAAAAGGTATAAGAATTTTTCTCTTACTAAATAAGTATTAACTTTTAGTATAGTAGTAAATATACTATATTCTAATTATTATTATTTAAAATATTAGTGTATTATATTAAGAATATTAAGTTACTATTTTAGTTACGTAAAGGTAAAGAAGCCTTATAATAGAATACTAATTACTAATACTTATAAGTCTTTCTTCCTTATTATTAAAATAGTTACTAATTTTATAATTAAGCGTGTGTTAGTGTAAAAATATACTCTTAAGTATAAGAAAAAGGAAGTTAATAAGTAGTTTAATTCTCTAAATACTTAAATAGTTAAGTTATAGATATAAATTACTAAGGCAGCTAGTTAACTATTTTATATTTAAAAAATATATAAAAAAGCTAAGGAGTAGGGTAAAAAGTTATTTTATTATAAATTAGCTAAGGCTAATACTAAGGTAATATATAAGTAATCTATAGTATAAGACTTATAATTATTAAGTATACTTAATAATGTTAATTAGTTTTCCTTAGGTATAAGTTTAGAGTTTTTAAATTTAGGTCCTTTAGTATTAATAAAGGATATTTTTTTATTATTTTCCTAGTTAGTTTTATTTTTATTTAGTATTCTTAGGTTATTTATTTTATTTTAAATCCTATTTCTATAAGGAAATTATTTAGAGTTGCTTTTAAGTAGTTAAAGTTACTAATGGGTTTTTATATATTTTTACTTTTATTATAACTTTTTTATTTTATAAGGTATTTACGCTATTTTTATTATTTATTAAGGCTAGGCCTAGTAGTAATAATTATTTTAACTTTATATTTTTTTTTAATTACTTTTATAGTAATTTTATTATAAATAATTTCTTTAGTGTTTTTATTTACTAATACTTTTTTTAATAGTAAAATATAAAAAATAAAGTATAATTTAATATTTTTAAGTAGTTTAAGCTTATAGTTTACTTCCTTAATTTTTTTTAAAATTTTATATAGCCTAAGCTTATAATAATTAAGTTTATTACTTAGTTTATTTATTTTAATATTAGGGAGCTTTTTACCTTATATATAGTAAAGTAAGTAAATTATATCTCTCTCCTAAAGGTTTAGTTTTTTAATTTTTCTTTAATCTATGTATTTACTTATATATTTATAAATAAGTTTAAGTTATTTTTATAGTTTTTTATAAAGTTTCTTTATATCTTTTATATATATTTTTACTTTTTTAGTATATAATTTTTATTTTAGGGGTTAATATATTTACAAAGTAAAACTATAGTTTATATAAAAAGGTATTACTTTTATTAATTTTAACTTAATATTATTATAGTATAGCTAGGTTATTAATAATTTTATAACCCAGTTATCTTAAGCTAGGTTAATATAATTTCTTAAGTATACTTTAATAATTTAGTTTAATTACTTTATTTATTTATTAGTCTATGGATAATAAATAGTACTAAGCTTATAATTAGTCCTAAAGTAAGCTATAAATACTTACTAAAAATATAATATATAAGTAAATCCTTAATTAAAAATTATTTTTTCTAATACTTTATATTTACTTTTTATATATTTTATATAAATATAAGCTTAGTTTTTAGCTAAGCTTATTTCTTTATTAAGGATAAAATAGGTCTTTTTAAAAAGCCTATTAATAATAATAAAAATATTATTATATTTAAATTTTATAACTAAATTTTTAAATAGTAGTAAATATATAATATAATTAAATATAACTAATTTTTATAATAGCTTTAGTATAGGTAATAGTTATAGCTTCTTATAGGGTAAGTATTAACTGTTTTTTATTTTTCTATATATAATATAGTATAAAACTACTTTCTTTACTTATTACTTAATTTTTTTAAATTTATAATATTATTAAACTTATTATATAGTTTTAGTAATTCCTTTATAATTATATAGTTTATATTTATAAATATAAGTAATTACTTTTTTATATAATTCTTTAGGCACTTATATTTTATTATTAAGCGTAAGGTATTTTAATTTTATTATAATATCTTTAAGGAATTATTTTTATTCCTAGAGTTTAATATATTTTATAATTTCTATTAGAAGTAGATTATTTTCTTTAACTTTAAAAATAAGGTTAATTTATTATTACTCTAGGGCTTTTTACTTATTAGGCTATAGGACTTATATAATAAAATCTAGTATTTTTTAAAAATAATTAAGCCTTTAGCTAAAAGCGTTAGCGCAGCTGTTTTTAAATCTTTTATAATAAATTATCTTATAGTTAAATATAACTAGGAACTTAAAGTATTTAACTTATTTTCTAAATAACTATTAAGTTATTATTATAGGCTGTAAACTCGTCTCTGACGTTAGGGTTCGGGTCATATAAAAAAAAAAAACTAACTAAACTACTAA